TGAATGGGACGTACTGCAACATCCACCATATTCTCCAGATCTGGCGCCTTCCGACTACTATTTGTTCCGGTCCCTGCAAAATTTTTTGGATGGCAAAACCTTTACCTCAAATGAAGATGTCAAAAACCACCTGAACCAGTTTTTTGCCAGCAAGGACCAAAACTTTTATGAGAGGGGAATTATGTTACTGCCAGAAAGATGGCAAAAGGTGTTGGACCAGAATGGCCAATACATAATTTAATAAAATATTTATTCATTATACGAAAACTGTCTTTCATGTTCCCCAAAAAAAACGAAATGACTTTCCGAACAACCCAATAATTTATCACAAATTCGTTTAAAAATCGTTTATTACTTATCTTGTTGTTAAGATGTTATGTTATTTCATTAAAACCGTAAAAGTAAAAAGAACTTTCTTCAAATATATTTTTTCTGAAGGACACTAGTTGGTAGCTCCCTTTGTGGATTGCTTCGGATTACTTAGAGTTGGACAAAGACTCCACAATTCTCAGCTTTCTTTTGACATAAAACATCCATTACTTCTCTCCTTCGTCATCGAACACGTTCATCAAAATAATTTGCACCCAGGATTGAAAACAATGCAGTACCTCTTGCTGCAACAGTTTTGGATATTGTCCCCTCGTAGTGTTATATATAAGTGCCTTTCTAACCGCGTAAGGTGTTTTAAAAGTAAACCTAAATCTTACAATCCGTACATGGCGGACTTACCCCCCATGAGAGTCTCACAGCTACGAGCATTTCAGTCGGTTTGTATAGACTTCGCTGGTCCTTTTCCAATCCTAACGTTCATACGTCTGTGTGTTTGTATGCACCGCTACTAAAGCGATTCACTTAGAACCTACATCTGAATCCTTTCTAGCGGCATTTAGACGCTTTGTCGCGCATCGCGGTAAATGCACCTCGATCACTTCCGATCAAGGTAGCAATTTCAAAGGCCCATATCGAGAGCTTACTAAAGCTTTTGCCGAAACTCTTTCCATAATACTCCTGGCTCTCCACACTTCAACGGCCTTGCTGAGGCAGGCGTTAAATCCTTCAAGAGCCACCTCTATCGTACCGCTGGCTCCCAAAATATGACCTCCGAAGAGTTTGCAACTCTCCTCAGTCAAATTGAAGCAGTTTTAAACTCACGCCCACTATGCAGCATCAGTTCAGATCCTAATGAGATGCAATCTTTAACTCCCGGGCATTTTTTAGTTCTAGAGCCGTTGTGTAGCCCAATTCCAGATCCCTCTTTGGACCAACTTGCCCTAAACCGCCTAAGCAGGTGGCAATACATTCAAAAACTTCAACGTGAGTTTTGGAGACGTTGGTCTCTTGAGTATATTAACACTATACAAGAACGCCATAAAAGGTCAAACCCTTCAACACCTATTTCAAGAGGGGACTTGGTTTTCGTTAGGGATGAACAACGTCCTCCTCTCCAGTGGTTGTTAGCTCGAGTCACCGACCTACGTCCAGGCAAGGATGGTATAATTCGTGTTGTCTCCCTTAAAACTAACCACGGGACCTTGCAACGCCCTGTCGCAAAAATCTGTCCTTTGCCAGGAAATTAAATATTGTCCAAACATAAATGTTCGTGTCGTCATTAGAATATATATATATATATATATATATATATATATATATATATATATATATATATATATATATATATATATATATATATATATATATATATATATATATATATATATATATATATATATATATATATATATATATATATATATATATATATATATATATATATATATATATATATATATATATAATGTAAAGAGAGAGGGAAACGATAAAATATTTAATTTTGAGAACAGGGTTCTACAAGAATGACCACGAGACTTCCCCAACATTTTTGTCTGCGAAAGAATCAGATATATCATTGATAAATATTATAAATAATAAGGGTCCTAGTATGCTTCCCTCTGGGACACCGCTGGTGAGTTCTTTAGATGAGGATCTGTTGGCCCTGCGCATTCCTCTTTGATATGGTCAAACAATTCCTGGAATTTTTTATAGAATAAGTCAAATTTCTCTTCAGCTGTACCAACATCGTCAAACAAAAACTGCCAGTCCACCCTAGGTACTTCGACCTGAAATTCATTTATGTTGCAAAATATTATTTGTTCATAGAGAATCGATGACATCAAAAATAAAATTTATATAGAAACCATTGGAGAATATAAGAATAATTTTTATCTTAGAAGGAATCAGTGGCGTACCATCAATGTCCGCCAAAATTGACCGGTGAAATTTCCGCGGCTGGTGTATTTTAATAAAATTTCATTAGAATATCCAAAGTGGTATTACAGACATTAAAGAAATATATTTTATTTTTGAAAACTGCTTCAATAATTTTATTATGGTTTTATTAATAAAAAAATATCATATTTTGCGATCTTATAAAATAATTATAGACTCTGGATCCAACAAACTTGAAATTTGTGAAGTTAAATACAAACTAAATTTTTTTGAATTGTTACAAAAAAAAATAATTTCAAATAATAGCATATAGCTTATAGCTTTTTTTAATTCTGTGCAATTTTACCATTTTACGGTATACCGTGTGTACCGCTGTTGTCAGTGACCACACTGTATACTTGGTAATCTAAAATAACTATTACAATCGACAATTAACATCGATATTGATAATATCTTTTTAGGGAAAACAATGGTACGTCGCTGCTTTTTTTTTTTTTAAATTTGGCATTTTCGGCATTTTGGCATTTTTGCAATATCGGCAGAAAATTAAAAAAAGGTTGGAAAATATTGGAGATTTTGGTATAGCCAAAATCATAACCAATAATAATTTACAGTCAAATGAAAACCTTAAACATATATTAAAAAGAATCACCATGAAACGCTGACTTAAATGCTGACAGAAAGGTTATTCAAATTATGAATGAAAACAAATACAATTTCACGGCCTAACATTGTTTAGGAATCGCTAATGCACACAGGCACGACAGTAAACAATTTAAAAGCCTAATGGCGAACACAGAGGAAACTTTCCATGTACCGTGTTTTAATTGGTTTAAAGGATCGCATTATGATTCTAGTACAGGAAATATCAGAAGCGACTGCTAAAATCAACGCGGACCGAGTAAAACAAGTTAGTAAGTTAGTAGTTTTGGTTAGTATATTTTTAATTAATTAAGCAAAATAGTAAAACTCCATCTCTCCAGGTGTAAATTATCAAAGTTGGAGCATTTTTCCTAAACCTTCCGATTCTGCAATCAAAAATAAAAATTTTATCTGTCAAGATTTTATTCAACTGAATACGTTGTATTTCAATGTATCAAGCTATTGCAATTTTTCGCCTGATTTCAAATACAAATACGAGGAGTTAGGGATATTTTTGGATGTAAAGAACTCAATAAAAATTGTTTCGAAAATCGAATTAGCCATGATAGTTATTGTCATGGAAACTGGCGTAGTTAACTGTCAGCATATATTCAAATGGTGATTACACCAACGGAAAAGTAGGACATTTTGTCGGTATTTTTGAAACGTAACCAAAATGAGGCTTACAAAGTGATTCCAAAAAAAAAAAAACATTTTGTAACACTTATAGTAGGTTACAAAAATAACTTAGTCGAAAGGAGAAGAAAGCAAATAATGCGAATGAAGAGCTCGATGTTTTGTTATATTTTCAATAATTATCGATAAACTTCTTTAGCCCGTAGTTATAATTTTTTTTATATCTATCCTTTGCTTTGGTTATGGAGATAAGAAATTTATTGCTCGCTTTCCCGATTTTGTTAAATAATTAGAGCCTATATTGTGCCGTTCTGTAATTGGCAATTTAAATATAAATAAATAAATAAATTACCAATATTACCCTACAGAAAAATTATGCAAATAAACTCTTTTGATATGCTTAAAAAAAGCAACTAACTTGGTTTTCATATTTTCCAATATTGGATAAAACGGGTGACATTTGAAAATCTGTCAAAAATAACCCAAACAACTCAGGAGAACAAAATGCAAATCGATTGACACATTCAAATATAGGATATTTAATTTCCAACTTGTCAAAATTTGACAGATAAAATTTTTATTTCACATTTTTTATTGCAGAGTCGAACGGTTTAGGAACAATGCTCTCAACTTTGGTAATTCAGCTACTAATTTAGTGTTCAACAATTCATATAGATTTTTTCATTATTAAATATTTCATATATATTTTCTTTTAATATCAGATAAAATAGGCGATATTTCAAAATCTGTCAAAAATAACCCTAACATCCTGGAAAAAAATGCAATCGATTGACAGATTCAAATACACGGTATTCAGTTTTTAAGTTGTCAAAATTTGACAAATAAAATTTTTATTTAATATTTTTGATTGCAGAATCGGACGGTTTAGGAACAATGCGCCCAACTTTGATAATTCAGCAACTAATTTAATGTTCAATATTTCATATTTCAATATTAGATGAAAAGGGCGATATTCCAAAATCTGACAAAAATAACCCTAACAACTCAGAAGAGAAAAGTGCAATCGACTGACAGATTCAACTTATAACTCGTAAAAATTTGACAGATAAAATTTTCGTTATATATTTTTGATTGCAGAACCGGATGATTTAAGAACAATGCTCCCTACTTTGGTATATATGGTAGATATTTAGTATTTCACTATTAGATAAAATAGCCGATATTTCAAAATCCGTCAAAAAAAAAACAATCGATTGACACATTAAAATACAGAAAATTTTCATTTTATATTTTTGATTGCAGACTCGGAGCAATGTTCCCAACTTTGCTAATTCAAACTTCATCGTGGGATCGGCATTAACAAAGTTATCCATTTGGTAAATTTTAATGGGACACCCCGTGCGAACGAAATCGATAAGGAGACCACCACCACTGTGGAAAAATGCGGGTCCAGGTGTGTGACAACTTGTTGCCCGTTCCGACTTTAGTCGAGACAACCGCCTGTGGCTGAAACACGCACAAAATCGACCCCTTACCTCCCTAATCCCCGTCGCTTATCGTAGTCCACCGGAATACCGCGACGTCTATATATAAATCGTCGCGAGAGATTAGGACATTACCGGCGCCCGACTATTCCCGGACCAGTAGACGGGATCGGCAGCGAGAGAGCACTGTCCCCGGCTCAGCGAGTTTCACGGGAGCCTGGGATGAAGGCGCAGGAAGAGAGAGAACGTCGGATTGAAGCAGGACGAAAGATCCACACTCGCCCTGGTCGGTGGTGGCAGCCTGTTGTTCCACGTCCGTCCGGAACTTATGGTCGAAGCTAACTTCTTGTTGTTGTTGCAGATCGAACGAGGAAATTTGAATTTACACTGTCGCTTCGTTCATTTGTATCACGGATGCGTCGCCTTCTGGCCAGGACCCTGCTATATGTTTCGCTTGGGGTGCCACAAGGCTCAATACTAGGTCCAATTCTTTTCCTTATATTTATTACTTATATTATTACTTAAGATCACATATAGTTTCTTTATGTACAGATGACACAACAATACTTAATTTGTATTCATATTTCAGGAGTTTCTTAAACTAGTCTCGCCATCTGGCGACTAACGTTTTTATGGGGACATTTCGAGGTTAGGTTTTGGCGAAAGAGTGTTGTTTGCGTTTTTTGTGATAAATTAAAAACTCAACTCAACAACAGTGCATCGATTAACTTAATTCGACTTTCCGAGTTAAAGGACCATCTTGGACTACTGTTTATCGCTGGTTTTCAGTCGTAGTTTTCTTAAGGATGAATTTCGTGCAGGTCGTCCAAAATCGGCGGTTGTCCAACAAAACATTGATGCGGCGCGGAAACCGATCTTGCAGGATCGTCATGTGACTTACCATGAGATTGAGGTATCTTTGGGCATTAATGGGACCAGCATACATACATGAACATTGACCGCTAAAAAAACGCTCGTGTTAATCGGTCGAAGGAAGTGATAAAAAAATACGATCGCGGTGATGAATCATGGACCTCTACATATGAACCTGAAAGTAAGCAACAGTGGACTGTGTGGGTCTTTCAGAATGTAACAAAGCCCACAAAAGTTGGCGATGTGGGAAAAGTGATTTGATGATTGTTTTATCGAATGCAAAAGTGTTGTGATCATCGGGGTGAATATTTTGAGAAACAGTAAAGTGATATTTGTTGGTAGCTTGTAGCTTTTTATTACAAAGCGCAAAATATAAAAGGTAGACCTCGTAATAGACTTAAATTGAATGAAAATAAATCGGGGGTTGTCCTTTTTTATTAAGGTGCACCTGACGTTAGTGTGTTAGCGGGCTTAACTGGCACGTGCATATAGATATGCTGGCCGGGAGATTAAACAAAGTTATGTTTCAAATTCGAAAACTTATTCAACTTTTGAGACGGCTTTAATGTCTCATTTCAGTAACTTCGTTAACGTGATTGTGGGGAGACACTCCAGATGCAGATAGAATCTTTAAAATTCAAAAAAAGATTGTTCGAACTTTGCGTTACGCGAAATAAAGATCACTGTAAGCCACTATTTAAGAAAATGAAAATACTAACTCCCCCTTCAATTTTTATCTGTCAACCAGAATGTATGTCAATGCAAAATAAAAAAATTAACACAGACAGACAATTGAATTATTTTTTAAATTACATTAACTCATTACACAATCGTATAAAATTCTATATTAACTATTACGGAAACGCAAAGCAAATTAGATTTTTCCATTTACCATAAACCTTCACACACCCTTCAATCACCCTTTTACACACACGCATTTCACTCTTTTTTACACAGACTTCTTAATACGCCCCTCTCAATATAAAATTACAACAAAGAACTTAATATCATTAAAGCAATTGCCCTGAACAACGGCTACAATCCGTCCATTATCGATAAAATTATAAATAAAAAACAACTCCAGAAAACAGTAAACTCTATTTATCCGAAACCTAATACAGAACACGAACAATTTAAAATAATTACATACATAGACAAGACAATAGGAAAATTTTTAAAAAACAAAATCTCAAAAATTAGGTGTCTACAGGTTGAATGGTTCATTAACTTCATTGGTATTAAACAAAATACCGGCAACTCTCAAAAACAATTGTTCCCCTTCAGAATTAAAAAAAAGCTATCAAACACATTTTAAGAGAAGAAAGCTGTTTGTTACATACATTGTATGTGTGTAACATACTCAAACTCATACTGACAACCTTAAATGCGTTGTTTATACATGTTTGGGCAATAAATTATTTTATTTTATTTTATTTATTAACCCAATTATCCCGTTGGCTTCTTCAGAGCTTAATTAAAACAGACTTATATACAACATGTTTCTTTTATAAGATAGTAAATTACAAAAGCCCTGCTGAGTAGCTTATAGAAGAAACAAATTTTAACAATTCCATCACACCATAAAGAACTCTGTAAGCCTTCCTTCTGCTATTGCATAGCATGTTATATAAATAAATTTGGGATAAATGATTACTCGCCTCCTCTTGCAACATTTTAAAGCTGGAACTATTTAGTCAGCACTAACGTGTTTTACAATATATGGTATGATTTTTATTAATTAATTTTCTTTGTTCCACAGGTATTGGAGGGGGGGGGGGTCAACACGGCCCCCTGGGGCAAGAAGGCCCACCTCAAAAATTCACCAAAAAAATTTTTTTTCGTCATTATAATTATAAGTTCTGGTTATTTGTAAAATCTTATAAATACCAATAATAAATTTTTCATCTATAGGAAAATAGTTACTAATAAGTTTTTTTATTTAACTTCAACAAAACAAAAATAAATCGACTTGATGGTTAAAAGTCACAAAAAATAATACTCTCCGCTACACTCGACGAATTCTTCATTTTTGACCCTCCGAACCGTCCCCTCCCCATGACAAATTTATTTATATTTGTATACTTTTTTAAACTTGGAGTACATTATAATATCTTAAAATAATAAAAAACAAATAATAAACTTTATCGACAACTTTAATTGCCGATTTATGTCAATTTGTTCCAATAAAGCAATTGACCCCTAAAAAAAACATATCCCTTTTTTAAATCAAGCGAACTTGATCAGTATATTTGATTCAAAAAGCTGGGGGCAAAGTTAGTTTAAAAACAAACTAGTTCCAACCCAAACCGAAGTTTTTAGCATCCCTACACAAATTGGGCAAATTCTGTTAAACATATAGAAATAGCAGAACAATTATATATCGCATATAATATAGAACAAATAATAATTAGAACAGGTGATGATAGCGATAGTGATACTGATATATTATGTGAATAATTTTAAGTAATTTAAGTAGGTAATAAAAATAATTTGTAATTTTATTTTAAATTTAAACATAAATACTTTCATAAATAAATATGGTTTAGTATCTTTCCTAACAAAACCCCAAATAATTAAATTCTAAGCAAAGTACGGACCTGTTCGGCCATATTTCATTCTTACAGCTTGCCCGGGTCTTTCCTTAATTCGTATCAATTAGTCACTTTCTTATATCTATGAACAGACTTTAGCATAGTAAGACTTAGCAAAGAAATCAGCATTTAAAATGTCTATCTAATAATTTATCATTAGAAAAATCCTGTCTGGAATGTAAGGTAAATTAGTAATAAAACGCTCAAATTTATTTGGATCCATCCATCTCACACTCAGCATACAATCTATAAGAATTAATAGCTTAAATTCATTACGAGCATCAAGATCATTCTTAATCTTCAATTCTTCAAGTATTGTAAAGTTTGGTCGACCCCCCCTCCAACCTTCGATGTGCTACCGGGTCCGCACTACGGTCTCGACGGACCGGCAACCCCAGCAGCCGACACCATTTTGCTCGGGCTCTCCAAGTGCGACGACCTTTGACCTACAGACGGCGACGCCGACTTGGCCGACGCATCGTCGCGCATTTTCCGACTATAAACGCACCACGACGTCTATTCAATCGGCGCTACGAGAACCCCCACCCAAAGGCCCGCCCCCCACCACGCGGGCGTCAGTGATAAAGCAATCTTATCTCCACGGTAATTGTGTGCGCGTGTGTTAATAACAGAAATTGGCTTTATTTGCCTAAAAGTGGATATTGAGCAAATGCTATCGTCGCATTTAGCCACTAGAAATGTAAACGAAGGGAAGTTATAAGGTCACAATTTGCAAAGGTACGCTGAGAATAATTACAATTATCTTAATGCTAAAGAGTAAGTAAAAATATTTTTCTACTCCCCCTGTAAAATGCCTAATTACACACCGATCTAGCGTGCGGGAAGCGTCACTTTACCCCGTCAGTTTCGTTTGTTTATTCTGACGGTTATGTCAGTGAATGCATTTGTGTTGATTTGCAAAAATGTACCCAAAAACTAATACACAGAAAAATGTTATGCAATACATAAGACAATATAAATACTATGTGCTACAATTAAAATCTAGTGGGTAAGTAAAGTGACATTTATAATTTAAGTTTCCCACAGAAATTTTACGTACCGTTCGCAGTACAAACAAAACAAAATTGAAGGTTAGACCTGCTTTTTCTTAATCATCAATTACAAAAGTTAAATACCTTTCAAAATTGTGTTTATTTAGCTATATAGTACCAAAATAGACAAAAGGCAAATAGTAATAAAATCATACAAATTACGCACTTGAAGATTTAATTACCTCCAAGACATTATTTATTTATTTCAACTGCTGAGCCAATTTACAAAGAAAAAATAACAATATAAATATAATATAAATGGCAACATGACAAAACAACAACTTAGATAACAAGCACATAAAAATACAAAAACAGTTAGAGACTGCAAACAAAGAGTATCACACTAGTTACAACTACTATCAACCACCTGTTTTACCTGTTTTAATTTTGTCTTAAATAGTCGAAGATCGCCAGCAAAGGAATCAAGAGAACAACTGCAACCTCAACGTTCGAGTTAAAGGAAAAAAATAGCCATAGTTGACGTGATGAGATGGAATAGAAAACATTGGGGAGCCCTGGCGTCTTAGATAGATGCCAACCAACCCACACAGAACCGTAAACTATATCAGCCCGAGTCACTGAACCCTGAATTAAAACACCTCACCTCTGCTCTGTTCTCTCATAATTTCCACATTAAAGATATTAAGCATTCAATCAAAAAATACACTTCACCACAAACTTCCAATAGCAATGAAACTGAAAGCAATCCCACACTTGCCACTGTTGTCGTTCCTTAGAAGCCTGTGGAAGTTTCTGGTTTTGCACCCACAAGACACATTTGATTTGATCCACGCCGATGGCGGCCACATTTGACGTCACTGGGCCCTTCTTTATTCAGACGGACTTTAGCAGAGTGGCTTTTTATTAGCCGCCTTGAAGATGTTTAAGTAAATAAAACGGGAGGCGTGGTCAACGGATATCCTTTTATTTTTGAGATGTGGAAAACAACTATTGCATCTAAACTATCACAGAATTATCGCTCATCGCACGTGAACAGCGGAATCATCAAGCTAACGCACGAGCGTGACCAATCTCCTGGTCAACCAGTTCCCAGTTTTGGCTTTGTTTAATTTTTTCTGGTGCTTGAACTTTTTCCACTCATCATAATTGTCAGCATCGTCAGGTCCCCAAGTCTCCGTCGAAAACGTCCTAGCGAATACCTAAAACCACGAAGTAGAGGCCACCACCCAAAAACTTACCTCCGAAACTCACCTGAGCACCGGGATACTCCCTGTTGGAGCACAAGTAATACCCAACCCAGAAGAACATTTGAAGCACGCCGATGCCCAGTATCGACCACCCGAACGCTGGAATTGGGAAAGAGAAATGCAGAGTGGCGTTTGAGGTTGTTGCAGACTACTGCGTTACCGGTAAGGGACGTCGGATACAGCAGCCCGTCGCCGTACTTCAAAGGCTGCAAGGTGGCCACGAAGTAGACGAATATGACGATGAGCAAAACGGGAGTTATGAGACCCCAGCATATCCTCCAATATGGGCCCACCTTCGACTTGGACATGAACTCTATGTCGGTGCAGAAGTTGTCCAGTCCTAGAAATTTTGTTTTTTTTTTTAAACATTTACTTCCGACCTCTAAACGAGCCCCAAGGCCTTGTGAAAGACAAAAGATCGTGGCCATCACTTTTTTGTCGACTGGCCAACTCTGAATTTTCTTGTAGGTGCTTCACCCTTACGACGCCACTCCATTGATTCTTTTTTCGATAGAGGGTCATAATAGATAATCATAGTTTTGGTTAGTTCGGTTCGGCTTCGAAGACAGAAAAGTTAGGCGTGTTTTATGTGCTCTGCTACTTTCTGCATAAAATATTGGTTAAAAAATAGAAGACAGTCCTGCAAAACACTTGAAGTGTTGACAACGGCATATGGTGAAGCTACGCATCGCTCAAGAGCTGTTAAACGTGATCCTGATATGCTGAAAAAGATCATAACTGGTGACGAATCATGAGGTTATGAAGTCGAAACCAAAGCCCAGTTGTCCCAAAGGAAGAACCCAGAATCGCCAAGACCGAAAAAAAGCACGTCAAGTCAATTGTGAGAAAACAATTCATGGTTTGTGCATCACGATAATGCACCTGCTCACTCACTGTTGAATGAGTCTAGCTTTTTGTCCAAAAACAAAACCACAATCATGCCTCAGCCACCGTATTCACCGGATATGGCCCCCTGCGACTTTTTCCTGCCTCCAAAACTCAAAAAAACCATGAAAGGAAGGATGTTTGGGAAGGCTATACCAGAAAGTGCTTACCAGAAGGGCTTTCTGATAAAGTACAGGATACTGGCCGACGTCAGTAGTATGCTGTTTTACACCAAATTTTACGAATGGTGCAATTTTTTGACAGCAGAAAATCAAAGAGCACAGAAAACACGTCTAACACTCCTGTCGCACAAAAAAAAGGAAACTTGCAAACTGGCTTAAACTGTGAACATATGGATGCAAACATATAAAAAAATGTATCGAACACGCATCGTACTTATTGAACACACCTCGTATTTTTCTTTCATCTCGATGCCTTTCGACATTTTAATACCTGTGACAACTTTTTGTTTACTTTGTGTATCTTTAAACTATACAAGTAGTGGAGGAACTTTCTTGGTACTTATTCGGTGGACCTCCTTACTGATATAGACTTTTAATGCTTCAAACACCTTTTGTATTGCACCTTGGGGTTCTTCTTCCTGACCTGGGAGCCCTGGGATTACTAGATTTCGTTCTCTTTCCTTCTGTTCGGCATTGTTTATTTTGCTTTTTAGCTTTACTTTGCAGTTGTCCCCTTTTGGCATACCCTCAATACATTTTTTGGTCGGATACTTCAAGTACTTCACTTCCTCCTTGATAGTAACTATTTCCTTTTTAGCCATTTCTTTTCGGTTTTCAACTTGCTCCTTTGCTATAATCTCACTTTCGGCACGCGCGGTGCAACAATTAATTTCGTTTTCTCTATTTGTGAAACTTGCCAGACAATTTACACAGTCCAGTGACATTAAAACGTTTTTTTTTTGAGTGTTTTGCACTTTTTTTTAAGTTTTCCATCTGTAATGGACATAACCTGATAAAATGGGGTCGAACTTACCATAGAGGTAAACCACGGCAGTAACTTCCAAAATAGCGAACACGAATATGATGAAAGTGCCGCCGAAATGGTCGACGAGGTCCAGCACATACTGTCCTCCCTGAGATAGAAAATCAAAGAAATGTATCCAGGAAAAGTAGAGCCGGAAGTAGAATTCAAAATTTTCAACCAATAGGAAGTTGGCATTGTGTCAATGTGTACTTACTGGTGTGACGTAGAGGAGGCCAATGAGGAACATGGCGCTTGCGCTGCCCGCGGAAATGATCCACGCCTTGACTTTGGGGAAGGCGTCCTTCACGACCGTGTTGACGCAGCTCTGGAGAGCCACCAGACTGCCCACTCCGAGAACGAACAACATGAAGAAGAACAGTATGGCGAAGAGCTAAAAAAGTAGTTTGATTGTAACAAAATAAATAAGAACTAAAAGTTCAGATTTTGGCGAAACGTCTGCAGGATTATATATATCCTGTAAGTTTTATGATTGTTACGTTGGAGGTTATGTGCCGGCTGTATGTTTATTAATGATTTAATTTTAACCTTATTGTCATCCCTCGATTGTAGAGGTGGAAAGAGGCACGTTGTGTAAGTTTTATTACATTTATTTTCTCATTGTTTAACTCTGATGGAATGTATTTCTCCATATTGTATAGGGTCCTGATGAAGCCTGTATCCATGGGCGAAAGCTAAATTTTAGGACATGATCCGCATTTCAACCTGTAGACACCTGATTTTTGAGGTTTTGGACACTTCGTTTTAATGTTTTTTAAAAAAATTTCCTATTGTGTTGTTAGTTCTGAAGACTATTTTTAAACCATATTTTGACAAATGTTTTGAAACTTTTTCACTGGGTTCTCCTATGTATGTAATTATTTTAAATTGTTCGTGTTCTATATTAGGTTTGGGATAAATAGAGTTTACTGTTGTCTGGATTTGTTTTTTATTTATAATTTTATCGATAATGGACGGATTGTAGCTGTTGTTCAGTGCAATTTGTTTAATGATATTAAGTTCATTGTTGCAATTAAGAAGTCTCTGTATAAAAGAGTGAAATGCAGCCATTTTGTGTGTGTAAATATCACATTTGATACAGACACGGTGTTGCCGAACTTTTAGTTCTAATTTATTTTGTTAAATTAATTTTTATCAAGTAAACGCCACCTCAGTTCAATCAGAGAGTAACATTTAAAAAGAGTGTTTTTTACCCATGGGACTTTGTTGAACTTGGCTATGGCCTCAGGGTACGAAATGAAAGCTAAGCCGGTACCACCAGACGAGACCACCTGGGAGGGATGGACGTCCAGCTCCTTGGCTAGATTACCGAGGATCCCGAATATGGTAGACCCGGCTAGTAACGACGTAAAAGTGTCTAGGGTAGTCACTACCAGAGCGTCCCTGGAATCGAAATTGCCGCGCTGTTATAATTTTGGAGATTCCGACGTACCTGTTGATGTTGTGGTCGAAAGCGTTGTACGAAGAGTACATAATAATTGACCCGAATCCCACGTTCAACGAGAAGAAGCACTGCGTCACAGCCGCGTACCATACCTACAAGATTTGGTTTAGTGTCGTCATCACCAATCGGATTGATACGCTTTACGTCAGCTTCCAGGAGCTTGCTCCATTCGGTCTCTATAAAGTACATCATGCCGTCCCCCGCGCCCTCTAGCGTAGACGCCCGAATCAACAGCGTGATCATGATGACGTACGGGAAGAGCGCTAAGAAATACGAGAACTTGCCGGAACTTTTCACGCCTCTCATGGACACGATAAAGGTGATCGCCCAAGAGCCCAACAAGGCTAGAGTCAACCTCCAGTCTGGCGCTCCGATACCGTCGCTTATGTCGTCTTTGGATTTCAGAACTTCTCGTCTGAAATTTTGATGATAGCTGCAAGCCTTTATCGGATAACCAAGAGAGTTTTACCTGAACCACAGCTCGGAAGAACTGATATTTCGACTCCAACGCCCTACTGGATGATTTGGATCGGGTACGGAAGGGATACAGTCAGCTTGCACTTCGTTCAGGTAGTCGTTCCAAGAATCCAGGCAGCTCGTCCAAGGCAGATCGGAAGTGAAGGAGTTGATAAGGTAAATCAACGTGATCGCCATCAGGCAGCAGTAATAAGTGGCGACGCAGATGGTACCGATGAGTTGACCGTAGCCGATACCTTTGAGGACCGGCGAGAGCTTCTCGTACATTTTGACGTTGCCTCGGCTGGAAAACTGCCCGAGGCTCATCTCCATGTAGTAGAGAGGTCTACCGATCACAGTCAGCACTATGATGTAGGGGATTAGGAAGGCGCCGCCTCCGTTTTCCTTGGCGGTGAAGGGGAACCGCCAGATGTTACCCAGTCCGACCGACATCGCGATGCAAGACATCAGAAACTCCAAACCATTGCCCCATTGGGCACGTTTCTTTTCGGGTAAGTCGCTGGGTGATTCTGCGATACCTTTCTGAAGACGATACGGATTTGGTTATAAGATTTTTTGATTGTTTCAAACTAATGCAAGTGTGACGTGAAATATATTTTAATATGGAACCAAGAGTTTGAGTTAATGATTTTATTAATCAAGTAAAAGTACCTTCGCGTGTTCAATTTTATAAGGAAAACTGAACCAGTTTTATTATTGAATTATAAATTGTATTATAATTTTTTTTATAATCACAGATAAGATTTTGTTACTATAAGATTTTTATGTTTTCCAATATTGGGGTTGCTTTTTTTCCGCTCCTGTCACCGTAATACTCTAATGTTTTACATTTTTTTTTTGTAATTTGCTATGTAAGCGTCCACGAATAACACACATTGATTGCGTTTGTTTTTTTGAAATTGGATAATTTTCAAAGAAACTTTCACAGGCTACTGTAACGCCATTTAAAAATCTTGTGGGTTCTTGATGAATCGAATTTGATGATGTTTCGCCAATCATCCTGTTGGCTTCTTCAGACCTTATATATTGTTTGAGGGGGGGGGGGGAGCTAAATGAAGGGCATGGACATTGACTGTGATGATACATGGGTGACTAGTTGATAATTTTCCTCATGTCTCTCCAATGTATTCTTTGCCGCACATGCATCGAAGATGTTCAGAGATTTTTGGACAAGTTTTTTGAAAGTGTATTTTGGGATGCAATACTTAATATCTCTAATTATTAGAGAGAAGAGCAGATGTGAAGGGTTTTAATTGTGGGGCTATCTTCTCAAATGCTTCTATCAATATATTCGCGATGTCTGGTGATAATGGAGAACCCATACCTCTTCGCGATGTATATTTAAAAATGTTCCCACTAAACGAAAAATATGTTCCACAAGCACTTTACAATTAAGATGAGAAGATTTGGTTACAGAATTTTAACATACCTGACATAATGTTGAGAGAGACTTTAGTAAACCAGAATATCATTTGCGTCTAATGTAGGGGTTTTTTTATTATTCCATGAAATGAAAGGAATTGAGTACGAAACTATAGGATTTCGCTGTAAAGAGTCTTAATGTACGAGGTGTGTTCAAAAAGTAAGGTGGCTTTTGTCATGCATGTCTCCCTAACATATGTTCATAGTTTCAGTCAGTTTGCAAGTTTACTTTTTTTCGTAGAACAGAAGCGTCAGAATTGTTTTGCGTGCTCGCCGATTTTCCGCTGTCAAAAAAAAATTTACATAAAATTTTATGTAAAAAATGGAATACAGCATATGGGGCAAAAAAAAATTATAAGTGGTACAAGGTGTTCCAATATGGCCGAGAAGGAACCAATAAAGAAGAACTCAAGGCTATACCAGACTATATCTTTGGGGAGGGGGGTGATTACTTTGAAGGGGAAAACATTAATTTTGATGAATAAATATTACTTTTTATAAAACCTAAAAGGCAATCTACTTTTTGAACACAGCTTGTAGAAGCGAAAGAGTCTGATTCTGATAGAGAAGAAGCCTTAATAACAGATTTAAGGTTGCGTTCCATTGATGACGTACGATCTTTTTTATACTCTTTAAAATGACATGTTCATGATTTTTCATAAAATGAAAATGCATATTTGCATTATTTGTTCATTTCAAGTACTCAAATACTTCTCGCCATCATCATGTTGTCAAAATTATTAAGGACTAACCCTTTTACCAAGAATTATATATTCGAAACCAAGACTTGTACACAAAGAAAAACTTTTGTCCATTTCATGCAAAACCAAGTCAAACATAAAACATTTTAGCATGAAGAATTAAAACGAGATGAACGTTTGACTTTTATATGGTTTTCTGCTTAGACGCGTGCACGTGAGTCGTAAAGATAGGAAGTCATAAAATCGTGGCGTCTGAGTATTGTTTGTATAAATGATTTCCCAACTATCGTTTGAAATATCTTAAGGTTTAACTCCTAACTGGTTGGGACGTATACAGGGAGTCCGAAATACGAAAATCAAAATTCATTCGGTATAGTCGCCCTCCCGCCGAATGTTGTTATGTTTACGATATCGATTTTCGCAGGAATAACGTCAAACGGGATTAACTCGGAGTCGTTAAAGTATCAATTGTTATTTCTAATGGAATGATTGTTCCGGACAATCTTTATTGCCCGATTGTTTAAACACTCGCCTTCGAAGGATGACGGGGAATTATCGAAAGTCTATCGATCTTATCGGTGGCGGGTGGAAAACAAAATGGTTCCCTAAATGCGTAGTTGTATTACTCCACTAGAAAGCCTGGGAGACGATTGGATGGCGGTCTGTATCACAATATAATCAGAAAATAAAAATCTCCAATAGGTTTAGTATTAGTATTTAGTATTCAAACCATCACAACGTCTCAGTTGAAGTAAATAACAGTCCGTTGTTAAAATCAGATGCTCCACATCCAGCTTAATAACACTGGTCTGCAATGAAATCCTTCTCCAAAAAACTATGTCATAAATATGAAGATCTTAATGCTTATCTATAATGGACGGATTGTTGTTCAGTACAATTTGTTTAATAATATTAAGTTCTTTGTTGTAATTTTCTGTTGAGAGTGGCGTATTAAGAAGTCTGTGTATAAAAGAGTGAAATGCAGCCATTTTGTGTGTTTAAGGGTGATTTAAGCTATTATCTATGACTTTGTCCGTGTGTGAAGATTCGTGATAAATGTAAAATTCTAATTTATTTTGCGTTTTGTAATGAATTAATGTAATTTAAAGAAGAATTCAATTGTCTGTCCGTTCCAACAAAGCAAGCACAGACATCATCCACGTATGTTGCGTGAGAAGGGATTTTGATATCTTTAATTGTGTTGATTAATTCAAAAGATGTTTTTATTGCAAATTTTGGTTTAAATTCTGTGTGTGTGTTGAGAGTTTAACTGCTGGAGCCGTTACATAAAACACGACTGGTCTAATGGATATATCTTGTTTATGTAATTTAACTAAAGAATGGTGTAAAGGTCTTGTTTAAGGTGGCTTCCCACGGCCCGTACTTTTACAGACGGGCGGCGCCGCGACGCGGCGTGTTTGTGCCCAAGTACCTTTTCAAAACAAATCAGCTGTCTATATATTTTTGTGTTTACTGTCATATTTTTATAATTGTTGTTACATTAATTATTAAATTTACATTTCATTCAAAGTCTATGTGATGTACTTATCTTCCTATTCACAAAAGAATTAAGGAGAAAAAATTATATTTTTTGCAGACTATCAAAGTAACTTCCTGCTACCCTCTCCATTATCCTTTCCAAAGGATGTAGCGACACCATTTATATTTGATTCAGCGGTTGATTCCATGCATGCCCATCTCACGCAATTCTTTCGGCATCATGCAGTGTTATATTTATTAAGGGTTTTGCTTTGAATACCCATCTAGTCAGTCATCTAGTCTTCCATTGTTCCTAATCTTCTCCCCACACTGATCTGTGTCCACTTCAATTTTAAGGGAGCAGGCTTCAGACACATCATTTCATACTTATCACATGTGGATTGGGAAGAGTTTTTTCATATACTCTATAAAATTATGGATCAATTTATTCCCACCACAGGTTACTCAACACTAAAATTCCCCAGATGAAACAATAATGAACTTTGGAAAGTCAGTAGGAGACAAGTTTGGGAAACTCAGAATACCCACAATACATGAGTCTTGACTGGATGGATGATGGTAGTACAGAGGAGTACTCAATTTATGGGGAGAGTTTGTCGATTGAATTTGAGACAGTGAGCATCGAGCAACTGGAGATATCTTCTTGACACAATCTGCAAGTTAAAGCAGAGTCTAGGTGCAGAGCCGGATGTCCTTTGAAAATTATATATTTCTTCTATTCCAGATTTTGTGTAATATTTTTAATTTGTTACTGAAAATCTTTTATCACGCCTGTTTTGAGTATATGTTCAATGCAGACTTCAAAAACGTCATTATCACTAAGCAACATGGTTTTATGGAGCTTTTCGACAAAGTTGATCATAAAATACTCCTTAAATGTGTTAATATAAATAAATATATGTCTTCAGAGGTAAAAGTTATTTTTGGTGTTGCCCATGGTGGACCGTTGCTATCCGAATGATATCAGTATCAATAATTTAACCTTAAATATCCATATCCATATAAATATATTTACCAGGTGTAAGAATCGTTATTAATTAAATTAAATTAAAATAAATTAAATTAATTTAATTAATTATAGACTATGCATTTGGAAAGCAAGCCATGATGACAGATCTAGCTAGCTAACCTTTACCAACCATATTGATAGAGTTTAAAAGGGTTTGACAATAAGAGAGGTCTATTGTGGTTTGTAGGCTCGATCCTAGACTATACACTACTATACAATGCATACAGAAAAGCTGTAACGATTACAGAATAAATTTCTAAGAGGACTAGATGGTAAGTTAAATATACCATATGAAAATATCAGTTCTGTGAAAATTTTTATGTCTTCAAGTGTCCAGATCACGAATATATATATGAAAGCACTGAATGTGCTCTTATTTTTATGATTTTCACAAATCTTATAATTTGAACAATAATCAGCTTTTTATTCATAAAAATCAATATTATCAGTCATGATTAGGCTTCTGCACAACTTTTTCGAGCATACAAACATCACGTGATCCTTACTCTTAGCGATATGCTATATTTAATGATAGTTTTAATAAATTTCGTACCAAAGTCGGAAAGTATCTGTGACATAATGTTATTTCTGTAGTCAATTGGTGCTTTTAATTATTTTCTAAATAAAATTTTATCAAGTCGTCTACTTTTAACAAATACATATTTTTATTATGTGTCAATTTATATTACTTTCGATTACTGAACTTAGTGGCGGTGACCACTTTCATAATTTGACCTTCAAAGGTCTAAACATCCAGAAAAATAAGATAACTGTACAGATACTAGTTTTACATCTAAAAATCTGGAGCTTCTGCCAGCAATAGATAAATACATTTGTTATTTAGTGAATTGTTGCCTTGAAATCTTGTATTTCTCAGCTTTTTGGAAAGGGGCATGGATCGTATTCCAAAGAATACTGATCTGTCCGTATTTGAAGACTTGAAGTCGATAAGCTTATTACTGATTTTGTTCAAAATTTTGGAAAAGTGGTATACAGACAGATAAATGAATAATGTGGCTGTGAACGAGCTGCTTCCAATTCACCAACCTTGTGGGACGAAATTTTGAGAACAAGTCTATGGCAACAGCTTTGGTTCTACTGGATTTTACAAAGGTCATCGATACTATTAATCATAAATTGTTGATTTCCGAATGGATTTGATGAAAGGACGCTCAAAAATCAGCTCTTGTCATCTCTAAACATTTTATCGGGGGCGCCGCAGGGCTCAGTATTGGGACCCTTATTATTTGTGATTTATACTGTGTGGTCGCACAGTGCCAGTGCTTAGGACACACAATTGTATCACAGTTTTAAGTGCCACAACTCTGTGGCAATCAGTAGTGCCATTATCAGGATGACACCATATGTGGACAATAAACCTATTCAAGTTGTAGAGTCTAATAAAAATCTAGGTCTGTATATTGATGAAAATGTGAGTTTGAGGTTGTTGTAGTCAAATAAAGATGAATTTTTGTATGTCTCTCTTTTGTCTTGCCGCGATATTGAATATTACCCTTGCTTATTATGTTATAATAAGGTTCTTCTTTGATGTGTAGTTTAAGGTACATCATAGTTTTATACTTACTTTTATTTGAAATGTGCAGATTGTATTTAGATATCTAAATAAATTATATATTAAAACTATTATTATTATTATTATATTTGAGTAATTATTTTGTATAATTTATGACCAAATATTGTAAGTGCACAAATAAAATTTTTGAATGTTGAGACGTTTCGATTTTTTGAGGCTTTACCACTTACTTTCGAGTATCCGTTGGAGCCATTTTCGAGGTCACGTGGTCCCGGAGAAAATGCCGGATTTTCGATGCCGTTAGTCTGAAACATAAAACAAAGATCTTTTAACCGCCCCGCACGTTTGTCACTTTTCGTTTCCTTTGTCGCAATTACCGGTAAGGATTTGGGTTATCGTTTTATTGGGCCGGTAATATAAAGCGTTCATTCAAATTTAAGATAACGGAATGTGAAGGTATCGCTTCAAGGGGACGAAAAGCGATTATTTCCAGTTCCAGACGGATTAACAACCAGCCAATTGGAGTATCAATTGTGACCAACAACTTGACGCAAGCGTAATTATTTGACGGATTAGTCGAATAAAATTTATAAGGAGAATTTTTGCAATTACGTTTTCAAAAACGAGTAAATTAGTCTTTTGCTGGTTTTAACATTTCGCGTGACAAAAAAGAAATTTTTCCCCATACGGAAAAAAGGACTAACTAAGAATATTTTTTTGTTTTAATTTCTTTAAAAAATAATTCAACTGAAAACCAATGTAGAACATTTAGTGCATACCTGTTTAAAATTTTAACATAGTTCTTCATAATACGTGAAAATTTGATATAAATGAGGTACATAAAAATGAGCAAACATTATTTGCATAATTACACAATACACATCGATTGACTCCTTGGTAATTCTTCCAAAAATCCTCCAATTCTGACAACTTCCCTTCAGAATCGATTAAAAATCTTGTTTTTAACCAATTTAAATTTAAAACTGAGCCAATTAGTAGTACACTGGGGCTCTCGCTCAGCATTGACATAAGTTTTGCTATGCTTGTTATTGTTTTGTTTGTTTTTTTTTTTCTTTCATCTGTGAGGGTCTTTCCAATATTATAAACTTGCTTGCATAGAAATCGGCCCACTGCAAATTTTTAAATTTAGTTTTTTTTAAATTAGTCAGAAGCGCATCGAGGATATTTTATCAGATCACGTGGTAACACATGTCGACTGCATTGGAGAAGAATTCACTTTTATGCATGCCAGTGATAATTACAGAAGTCATACAGCTTTTTTTGATCTAATCTGCCAAAAAAAAGGAAACTAATCTCAAAAGTTCACAACGGGCCGATTTCTGTGCACGCAAGTTTAATTCTGTATACACATGTTGTCAACTGAAATGGTATTCGTTTTTTACATATTTTAGTTTGAAACGATTCCGTTCGCCTTAAGTTTATTCAAAGACTCACAAACCCAAGGAAAATGAAGCTGGTAATACATACCCCAGATCAATTGTTTTGTGAGAGAAACTTTTAAACTTTTGTGATACCAATAAATTTTCTATACAGCCTAGCACATTGAGTATAAAAGTCTACGTCTTTGTTAGGATTTTTGAAAGGGGTTTTGGGAAAACTTCTGCAAAACTAGTTATCTTTCCGACTATGGTGAAAAAAAAACAGAAGAGGGACAAAAAAAATAACACGAGGAAGAATTTGCTTCATTAGAAAGGAGAAAAAAATAGAAAGATATCTTCTATTATCCATAGAAATATCACCCGCAAAGAAAAGCAACTTCGTTTTCATAGCAGTTCTACTTCACCTTCTAGGTTTTTTTATGTTTTTTTTTACATGTAAAAGAGTTTAACAAGGAAAGAAAAGGATAAAAGGATGTGACAAGCAAATTTTCGTAACTAATTAGGTAAAACCACATGTAAACTTAGATGTTCTACAAATTGGCGAGGTGGACCAAGCAAATCGCGGAAAAACAGAGAAATGGCCGACTCAACGTACAGGTAAAAGTTAAATCAATACTAATTGCAAAACTGCAGTTTCAGTGAAGCTCTGAAGAAGCCAACAGGATGATGTAAATAGTATTACAGTAGCCTGTCGAAATTTCGTTGAAGAACCAATTGAAATTTAAACTCGTTATGTTCGATATTTCGCTTTAAAAATATCGAAAAAAATTATTGAAAAAAGTTGTTTATAAAACAGGGCCCAGAAATCAAGATGAAATTTATGCCAGAATAAGACAAGCTTGTAAAACAATTAACGGAATTTAAAGGACTAGTCATTGCCATTTGTACTATGAAAATTACTGTTTTAATTATTTTCTTACGTTTAATCGGTTATATGCGAAAAATTATTGTTTTCTTAAAATAAAATCATTATTTCTTTGTGCTAGTGTCGTTTATTTTGCTGAACTTAAATTACACTGTTCGATATTGCCATTGCTTTTTTCAGTGTCTATTTTTTTCTTTCCTTCTTTTTTTACATTTACCCCCTTTGATTTGTTTAAAATTGTCAAATTGTGAATTAAGGAACTTATTTATATTTGTTCGTTTTTTTTCTTGTTAAATTCTGAATATTCTACTACATTGTATTGGTGGTTAGGTAGAGTAGCGCTGCTAGACCTCGCCACCTGTTAAATTCTATTGTGGTATATTCTTTTTGTTGTACTATAATAAAGGCTATTTATTATTATTATTATTATTATTATTATTATTATTATTATCATTATTATTATTATTATTATTATTATTATTATTATTATTATTATTATTATTATTATTATTATTATTATTATTATTATTATTTACGCACCTTGCCTTCCGCCATTTGTGGAGTTCGTAGTGATCGTTAGGTATATCCGATAGTACTGCACCAACGCATCGATGTGTTAGACCAGTTGCCTTACGAAACTTTCGATAAAGTGCGGCGAGGAAGCGGCGAAAATTTCAATCGAGGTGGCTTTGGAAAGGGTGGGGAATTAAACACTTATCGCACCTAATTCCGTAGATATAGACGGCTTAGATCGCGGAACATAATCAGACAGTTCGGGATTAGTATCAACATTTTCGTGTCGTCCCGGAATACCCGTTCACGAAGATGCGACGATGAGGCTGATGTCCGAAAAGAACGAACAAGATAGTAAAATAATACAAGTTTTATGCAGGCTGTCCAAATAGTGCTTGAAACATTTATTTTTTATTTAATATAACATGTATTTATTACTTAAGTTATAGATATGATTAAAAGAAACAATCAAAAATTATTTTCGAATGTGGGGGAACCAAAATTACATATCTTTAAACACCCAGTGATTGAATGTAAAATGTTAATTGATTAATTAAAGATTAAATCATTAAATCATTAATATTAATGCTCTTTCAATTTTATCAATTTTATCAAGCTTAGCATTTTTTGAGGTGTACACACATTTTTACGAAATTTAGTGCAAATGTAAGTGGACCATGCAAATATAAGTTTGCAAAACTGCAAAAAAAATTGTTTAAAGACCGTGTTAGACACATTTAGAGCAATAAATAAACGGAATCTTAATTTGACAGTTCCCTTTTTTTTGCGTTTTGTATTTAGATTTTAAATGAAAGTCCCAGTGTTATAAATTGGATAAAAAAATATAATTAATAACATGCCAATTGAATTGAATATTATTAATTCTAAAACACAAAAAATTGTTAACACGGGCATTGCGAAATAAATAAGCACATTGCCAAACATCTGTGCTTGAATTTTAAGGCAGAGAATAAAACAACTCCTTCTATATGAACTTTAGTGTCTTAATCCTTTGTTTCCGTTCCATGGATATTTTACGAAAATTTCAAATAGTGATATTATAATTCGGTGCGCTGACGTCACTTGCGACAAGTGTCGCATCTGTGTGGATCTGTTTCTGTGGCACCCACTCTCCGCCCGTCTATCATTAAAACGTCGAAACCAGACGCGAATTACAGTTTCATACCTGCCCCTAATTGTAATAATAATTGTCAATTACGCGCTAATACCGCGCAGTGTATCCATTACGGCCGCTGTCTGTTAATTACCGACGGTAATTGTTACCCCATTTTTTTAAGGGCGGAAACGGAATCACCCCACCGGAACGGCGTTGATTTATACTAAAAAGTTACCCCCTTCCTGCTTCCCCCCCCCCCCGTTCGTTTCAAAACCGCAAATTTGCGGTCCGGGTGAATCTCCGGGGCTCCGGCGGGTGGGCTGGTGGCTCGATGTTTACGTCCGGTAAACAGAGAGAACGAATGGACGGGACAGCCATTATTATTATACGTACACTTTTAATGTTTGGAAAAACGGAAAAAACCGCTGAAAATTGTAGGGCACAACGAAAGGGAAGTCGTTCGTTGCGTCAGACCGTCCCATTTTATTTGTTCGCGTTATACAGAGTGTTATTGAAATTGCATTATTTTCAATGGATGACCACGTAGGTGTTCATCATTGCCTAAGACCACAAAGGGCACGTCAGATGGAAATTGGTCATACGCAAACCTATACATTTGAATGCAGCTGACGCTGACTTAATGTGGGCAGACTAAGAATTTGGAGACGGTCATCGTAAGGTGTATGTGCAAGTTGAAGTGGCCAGAACATCACAGTCAAGCAATGGCCACGGGTTCCAGACTGGGGAAGCAAATTCCAGGATGGGGCGAATGTAAGTGGTGAAAAGCCTGCAAGCGATGCGAGGACTAGGATTTTTAAAAGTCTTTTTTAACAAAAATAACACGCAGTTTGCTTTCTTTTCAATATTTGATACATGTAGAGACCACGCAAGATCATTAGTTACTGTCACACCTAGGTCCATCTGAGAATCGACACTTGACACAAAGTTTCCATTGATATAATAGTTCAAACCGGGATTGTTCTTGTCAACATGCAGCACAGAGCACTTTCTGCGGCCAAGTTAAACACCACTTGGAAATAGTATTCAAGTCTCTCTGCAATACGTCAATTGTCAATTAATTTAGTGTCATCAGCATAAGCGTTCACATGAGAATCAATGCTGGAGAGCAAATCCACGGTATACACTAAGAATAATACTGGTCCCAGCACCGATCCCCGGGGAACACCACTAGGCACGTTTTGTGGCAGTGAAAAAGCGTTACCAGTTCGAACTCTGAACGACCGGTGGCTTAAAAACGCCGCTATCCACTCTAGCAGTTTACCCCCCACTCCGACCTTTTCAAGTTTAAATAACAATATAATATAATATAGGTATAGTATAGACCTGAGTCAAGAGATAATGTCCAGTGATTCAAGCATGTCAATGTATTTGATATGACTGATCTGCAGGGAACAAAGCCATGCTGCGACGACGATGTAAGTAAAATATGGCAGTCGGTCAAAAACGGTAACAGCTGAGTAACGGAAGAAGCCAACAGGATGATTGGCGAAACGTCAGCAATTTCGACTAAGCAAAAAATCCTGTAAAAAGTCGCTCTTCTGAAAACTTGTCCGCAACTCTTTGAGGATCATTTTAGCTGGCGAGCCCTTTTTTGGACGACATGAATTTGTTCTTAGGACACCAAAAACTAAGTTCATTTTCAATTCTTTTAAGAACTTGCCACAAAATTGACTTTGACAACTTGGTTCCATTTTTTACCATGTCTCACTTAAAGGTAAAGATCCCTATACTGTACCGTTCAATATATCTTGATAACATTTTAATTGACTTTAAGTGACTTATAAAACAAAGCACTGACACCCTGTTTATTATATATGTGTTTAATACATTATGTTATTTATATTTTAGTCCACTGGTTTTTGACAAAAATGTTATATCAAAGAGTGCCCTGACTGACAAATAAAAATATATTTGTTTGACATATTAGTAAACAACGTTGATGGTTGAATTATCGTCCAAGTCATTAGTGCTAAACCGCTTGTAATCTGCGTCAGAGAAACCAGGCCCTTAGTGGTGTATGGAAAATGTCTAAAATTATGCCCGTCCAAAAAACTATAGAGCTAAAAGTGAATTTTTTTATTAGTATTAACATCTTGTTTTAATTTATTTTGTTGATTTTATCTATGTTTTCTTTTTTTCAGTAGGTGTTCTATTGCAATTGACCAAAGCATTAAGTACGCCTTACCCTCTAGAGATCCTTGCTATAGGAATGCTCGTGTTTCCTTATAAATAAATAAAAAGCCTTAACTTTTCCCTCGGCGCTAACAATAACAACCGATTAACAATAACAATAAACATGAAAAAAAAGGTAATACTGTTGAAACAGGCAAAAACAAAAATTTAAATAAGAGAACAACAATGAAAGGTACAAAAATATAACTTATATAATTTCGATATATATATCGATAATATGTCGATGTCAATAGTCACTCAAAACTAACACTTATTACACTTCTTTATCGATTTTTTTATGTCAACGTTAAATTCAAAATTTTACTGATTATTAACGATTTTAAAGAATAAAAAAAAAATGTAAACAAGTAAATATACCAATTGACCTCGTGCAACGTTATCGAATAATTGCCATTTCCCTTTCGCATCTGGATCAAGGTAGATCTGTGAGGTCTCGTCGATACCGATCTTGTAAACCTTACCGAATTACACGTGAGAGACCGGTAATATAATATTAATTAATAATGCAAATGCCGAGGGCCTACTTTTACACCGCGTCAAGGTCATTGTTAAGTTGCAATTTATTTTTTCCCATAGACATACTTGCGGCGGGTCACGGTTATACGAGGTGTGGTCAAAAAGTAGGGGGACTTTTGTAACGTTTTATGGATTGATGAAAGTGCGTTCACTACAGGAAAGGGTTGTAATAGACAAAATATGCTAAATTGGTCTTTAAATAATCTTAGACAAATACAAATTAATGTATGGTCCGGTGTCATAGATTGGCATATATAAAAGTTCACCGGAAATCATTATTTGTAACTTTCAGAGCACCAAATAGAACAATATACAGAAGATTTACCCCTAAATATATCAGCGCTAATTATATGGCAGCAAGACGGTGCCCCTCCTCACAATGTTTTGCAAGTTCAAAATTTTCTTAACACAGAATATCGATAGCGAACGGCGAAACTATGGATTGGTCAGCCAACAGCCCCGACTTAACTTTAATGGATTTTTTCTTTTGGGGACACATAAAAATTTCAGAAAATTCAGTACTTTCTTTTATACGTCACTTGGAAAAAAACGATTCTAACCTTACATTTTGTTTTTTGTTTACTTTCATATCTCTAAAAACAAAAAAAGTTACAGCCAATTAAAACGTTATCAAGAGAAATTGAAATCGCGGGAAGTATTAAACCCAAAACGATGTACTTTGAGATACACCATACCCGCGAGTTTTGTACGTGGTGAAAGTTAAAAAACGAAAAAAATCCACCGAAATAATAAAAAAAAAATTCTGGAAAAAAATCCATCGTATCTAGCAGGCTTAACGCTTGGATTTACGAAAATTTCGGTTAGTACTACTCGTGGTGGTATCGACGTCGAGTTTATTGTGATAGATCGGCTTTAGCGACGGGACAGTTTTATTTATAAATATTATTTTTGGCGAATATCTCTTAATGGGCTTTTATCTATATACCGGTATTATAAATTCCAACGGGAGATTAATTTAATTGATGCGTGATCGAGACAACGTAAAAGGGGGAGCTCAAGGGTTGTAGGGGGGGTTGTCGGTAAGTGTCTGAGGTGCGACATCACCTTATCTCAGAAACTGTAGGGGGTGGAGCCAAAAGTTAATTGGGGTATTACGAACCTTCCATTTATTTTAATGTTGTGTATACATTTTTCTATACAAAATTCTAGACATATTTTATGTATAAGCAGGACTCGAATAACGGATTTCATGAGAAATTTCGATACATATTAATACAGGGTATGCGAAAAATAAAACTAAAAATTCAATTAAAAAACTGCCAAAAAACTTTTTTTTAATGAAAATAATACGAAAGGTTTTGAAATATTTCCTTTCCTATCACAAATAGTATGCTGTTGTCATGTAAATTCAGTTAGTGTAAGGTGGCTGTGGCGATGTTTAAACAAAACAAGTGCTACAATGCTGCTTCCTTGGACACGTGTTTTGTTGTCATAATTCTAACATTTTTTGACACATTTTTGATTTATTTATTTATCATTTATAAATTTCAGAGGAAAAGATTGATATGTTAGAAAGTTACATATAGTACAATAAAACCGAACCCTTACTCTTAGAGATTGTATAACAAAATTTCCATCATTCCGACGAGATCCACCAACACTTTAGAATATATGGAACCTTGAACAAAGAAAAGAACAGACGTCGTCACATTTTGAACTTAATATTTTGATGGATCTTGTAGAGGCCGCTGAAGATTGAACCCGAAATGCGTCTTTAGATCTAAATGTCAAAAGAACAACGCTTCGAACGTGCCTTCAAATAAACAACTGGAAGTCCTAAAAATTCTGTACAACATCAGAGAGACACTTTTCAGGAAATATATTTGCTAATATTATTTGGACAGATGAGTCCATATTTACAATCCCAACTAATATTTTTAATAGGAAAAATACCCATTATTGGAGCAACAATAATAATAAAAAACATATGGAAATTACAAGATCCGGTAGAACTTTTATCAAAGTATGGTATCCCATTTGGAAGTTCCAACGCTACTTGGAGCTTATAAATATTACCCAACCCTTTGTTGAAGATGAAGTGCCTGAAAGGGAACGGCAAAAATTTAATTTGGCAGCAGGACGGAGCTCGTTACCACAGAAGTCAAGAAATAGCACCTATCTAAATGGACAGTATGGATTGGAGAGAATGGTGGTTACGCCCGGCCTCCAACGAGCCCAGACTTAAGTCCCCTACATTTTTTACTATTCAGACACTTAAAGATTTAATTTACAAACATAAACCGTCAACTGGCGAGAAACGTCGGATAATAGAAGGTATCAGATATTTATCACGTATCTGGTCTTATTGTCTATAAATAAAGCATACATAATCTTTGGATCATCATAAGCGCACCATCAAAATTATGGTCAACTGTGAAATGGTTAATCATAGTGGCAGCGATCTAGCACTTGTTTTGCGCAAACGCTGTCATAGCCACCTTACACTAACTGAACTTAAATAGCAACAGCATATTACTTGTGATGAACAAATGTTCAAAAGAAAATATTTCAAAAAGTAATTTTTAATGCTAAACATGACAAGATTATAAAAAATGTATATTTGACAGTTTTTTTAATTTCATTATTAATCTTTTTTTCCGCGCACCCTGTATTAATATTTATAGAAATTTCTGATGAAATCCGTTATTCGAGTCTTTTGTTTACAACAAAACTTACTCAAGTACAACAATAAATGCTTCCCAATGAATAAGTTGACATCAAAAATTAAAAATGTCAAAAAAAAAATGTTTGTATAGAATTAAAAATTGAAGTAATATACCAGATGTTCGAAAATAAGAAAGTTGATATTCGCACACTGTGTATACAACATTAAAATAAAGTTTCTGGGATAAGGTAGTTTCCCAATTTTTAAAATAAGATTAAAGCGGTATCTACTTCAAAAATCTTTATACAATGAAAACATTTTTTTAATATAACCTTCAATTTTTTTAGTGTCTCTATACCTTTGTCATTGTACAAATTGTTCAAAAAAATTGTCTGCATCAAAAATAAAAGTAGTATTATTATTGGAGGATAAAAAGCAAGACACAAAAATAATGTTAAAAACAATTGAATAGCCTGAAAGGAGGAGAGAAGGGTCTTGTACATACGGGTATCAAAAAAAAGCTATTCCCTTTTACTTTACACAAAATAAACCAGTTAGCAAAACAAAATTCTTTAAAATGTAAAATTTCAACTGGATCACCCTGTATACTGGGGCTGCAAGTCTTTAATCGCCTTCCTGATGACGTAAAATGTGACTCTTCAACAACTTTTAAAATAAGATTAACGCAGAATCCACTCCAAGAATCTTTATACACTATAAAAAAATTTTTTGACATAACCTTATACTTTTTTTAATGTCTCTATACTTTTGGTCTGTATTTGTCATTTTTTTATTGGATAATTCCAATGCAAATTGTTAAAAAAATTGTCTGCATAGAAAATAAAAGTAGCATTATTGTTATTAGCTCGGAACCTATTGAAGATTAAAAAGCATAACTCAAAAAGCATCGCAAAGGAGGAGAACAGGGTCTCGTAGATACAGGAAATAAAAAAAAGAAAAAATATTCCCGTGTAGGTTAAAAAAATATATATTATGCTATAACGCATCATCTGCCTATCAGACTGCACAGTTTATCGGCTAGTTTTCCTCTCAACTTCAGCGCCCTCGTTGTCCTCTGCAAACTTTTAAACTCCAACCAGTCGGCTTTTTCGGCTGGATCCCTCGGTCCCCAGCCGGTATGCTCGAACAACGATTTTAATGTCTGCAAAAAATATCAAAAGTTGTAACTCGCGGTCAGACGCCTGGAATTGAGCGTCCTACGTCTTTCGCGGTCATGTTATATCTTCGTCTTCTCCGCAGTAGTTCGATACCGAACCAAACCAGCGGCTGGACGTTGCCAAACGCCAGCAGCACCCAACCCCAAACTGAAAACGTCGACTTAAATGGGAAAAAGGTAATAAATATAAACCTAAATAAAATATATACGGGGTGGCGCAACAGTGTGGCAAAGGATTAGATCTAAATAGAAAAAATTGCGTGCTATCGTAATGGTTTTTTTTAAGTTTACGTGACGATGGCTATTTATCGGAAAAACGTAGGAAACATTTCACAAAACATGCTTTCATAAAATTTCCTACAAGAGCTATATGCTAATTTTTCTCTGAATTTTTAAATGCAAATTCAATCCTACTACTTTGGCGTGTTCGGTTGTTGCCCTTTTGTCAATTTGGGTTGTGAATATAAAATAAAGTGGTATTACTTCTTTATAAGAAAAAAGAATAAGTATAAATTTAAATAATAATAATAATATAAGGTTGTTCGGAAAGTCATTTCGTTTTTTCCCGTCAGAGGACTTAATTACGTTTTTTCGAAACCAACTTCACACTTAAGCCGCATAACCATTACATGTCTTGAGAGCTGATATTGCAAGGCTTGTGTGTGAAAAAGTTCTATTAATTTTACGCAGTAGTTTTTGGTTGGTGCCCTTTAAAATATGGAGAGCAATAAGCAGCATTTTCGTCATATTTTACTTTTTTACTTCAGAAAAGGTAAAAATGCTGTCCAAGCGAGAAAAAAATTGACGGATGTGTATGGAGAAGGCGTGTTAACAGTACGCCAGTGCCAGAACTGGTTTGCAAAATTTCGATCCGGCAATTTTGATGTCGAAGATGCACCACGGTCTGGAAGGCCGGTCGAAGCTGACAAAGATGCGATAAAGGCATTAGTTGATGCAAATCGGCGAATAACCACACGATAGATCGGTGAGAGATTAAATTTGTCGAATTCGACTGTTTATGGTCATTTGAAAGGCATGGGCTTAACCTCGAAGCTCGATGTGTGGGTGCCCCATGTCGTTGCGGAGCGAAATTTGTGTCGTCGCGTTGACGTGTGTGATTCGCTCCTCAAACGTCAAAAAAATGATCCATTTTTGAAGCGGATTATTACTGGGGACGAAAAATGGGTTGTATACAACAATGTTAAACGCAAGAGGTCATGGAGCAGCAAAGATGAACCGGCTCAAAGCGTGTCAAAAGCCAACATTCACCAAAAAAAGGTGATGCTCTCCGTTTGGTGGGATGTCAAAGGAATCGTTTTTTTTAAGCTTTTGCCGGACAATACAACGATTAATTCAGAAGTCTATTGTCATCAACTGGACAAATTAAATGATTCACTTAAAGAGAAGAGGCCCGAATTAATCAACAGGAAGGGTGTAGTGTTCCACCAGGATAATGCGAGACCTCACACAAGTTTGGTCACTCGCCAAAAACTTTTACAGCTTGAATGGGACGTACTGCAACATCCACCATATTCTCCAGATCTGGCGCCTTCCGACTACTATTTGTTCCGGTCCCTGCAAAATTTTTTGGATGGCAAAACCTTTACCTCAAATGAAGATGTCAAAAACCACCTGAACCAGTTTTTTGCCAGCAAGGACCAAAACTTTTATGAGAGGGGAATTATGTTACTGCCAGAAAGATGGCAAAAGGTGTTGGACCAGAATAGCCAAAATATAATTTAATAAAATATTTATTCATTATACGAAAACTGTCTTTCATGTTCCCCAAAAAAAACGAAATGACTTTCCGAACAACCCAATAATACACTCAACAAAATAATACTGAAAGTATGGTCTGTTCATATATATGAGAAAGTGACCAATTGCTTTTGAATGGGATTATCCAAGGGTGGTCATTAACATACAATGCAACAACATTATTACCTAAAGGTTAGGCATTTAAATTCAGGTAAAATTGTAGTCCGTAATAGAAAATAATTTTATATCTACCTGTGTTTAATATTCTTTGGTTTGGTATACTACTCAGTTTAAGTTTATTAGTAATCATTCATATTTCGTGTGTAATACAGCGTGAATCGTGTGCGAATTATGAAAAATATGTGCGAGTCTAGTGTATCTCAGGAGATGCTCCCGCCCAAATGTAGAAAACACTATTCTATTGAGACTAAGGGAGTTATAAACAATGTTTATTGGACTCTCATTGAACGTGGTGCCAGCAAGCAAGCATTTTTAGAAGAAACGGCCACATTGACGAAAATTCCAACGTCAACTATATATAAAATTGTGAATAATCCCATTTCAGCGAGGAAAAAAAGAAGCGATGCTGACATTTTCTCGAGTGTAGATGAAAGTGATCAAGATATAATACGGCGTAAAATTTACCAGTTATACGAGGAACAAAGCGTGCGGAAATGGCGACTATCTAGAAAAAATAGGATTTTACAGAGAACGACCAAGGTCAATTATTTACTTGGATGAAACCTGGTTCGACACTTATTATACCCCGTAAAAGGGTTGGGTTGACTCAACTGATAAGTGTAAAACAATCGCGCCATAAAAAATAGGTAAAGGAATAACTATTTGGCTCTAAAGATGGTTGGATTCCAAACGGACTTTCTCTGTCTGCAAAAAATATTAAAGATTCTTCTCTGGATTACCACGAAGACACCACCGCTGATTTATTTGAAAGTTGGTTTAAAAACAAACTAGTTCCAAACATTCCCCCTAATAGCGTCATTGTAATGGACAATGCAAGTTATCACAGTAGACAGTTGACTAAAACCCCTTCCTCATCTGACACAAAAGCAACAATCCAAACTACATGTATAATAAAGACATTTATTTTCACGAAAATTATACCAAAAAGCAATTAATTGTGGTTCTACAAAGCTTGAACCTACACAAGGCATACGTCTGTGATATTTATGCAAAACATCTAGGGCCATTCGTCGCAACAATGTTTTTCTCCGTGTTAACTCCAATGTCCCCAAAACTTTAGAACCCGAAGTTTTTAACATCCCTCCACAAAGTGGGGCAAATTCTGTTAAACACATAGAAAAAGCAGAACAATCGTGTATCCATAGCGATAGTGATACTGATGTATTATGTGAAAAATTTTAAGTAATTTAAGTAGGTAATAAATATCATTTGAAATTTTATTTTAGATTCAAGCATAAATACATACATAAATAAATATTGTTTCGTATCTTTCCTAACAAAACCACAAATAATTAAATTCTAAGCAAAGTACGGACCTGTTCGGCCATATTTCATTCTTACAGCTTGCCCGGGTCTTTCCTTAATTCGTATCAGTTAGTCATTTTCTTATATCTATGAACAGACTTTACCACGAAATTTTCCTAGCCTTATGGTTGCAAAAGAGGAGTTTCTAAATTCCTCCAAGCTGCAAAGTATAAAAAAGTATTTGACTAAGTTTTTGATCTCTTTTATTGGGGAGTCTAGTCACATTATGACGGAAGAAATCGTCATTCACATGTAAAAAATCTGTTTGATTCTCGTAAGTCCAAACTAGGCAATTAAGTATATAAGCGCTTAGCAGGGTAAGGATTTTCAGTTCCGAAAATTTCGATCTAACATCCAACATAATAATTTTGGTGTAAAAATGTTTCAGAAAAAGTATCAATTTTAAAAAGTTTTTCTTCCTACTGGGGTGCTATTTGAAAATACTAAGTTATCCTAAAAAATTACTAGTTCATTACATTCAATGCTATTTGCCATTTGGCAAATATAGAAAAGTTTCATTCACAATTTTTCATATGGTCAGGTGACCCCATAAATAGTATTTATGATGGTTACAGCCTCCTAGACACAATTTTGAAAAATTAAAAAAAAAACGTAGTACGATCTCCTGAGTCGAAAAATGCAAAAAAATGTAGGTTGTGACATTTAAAATCCGAAAGTTACTTCAGCCTATAATAACCTTTGCAAATTTTAAATAGCTGTCTCAAGCCGTTTAAAAGTTATAGAGCGTTCCCACTGTCTTGTGTCACCCGGTATAGTCGGGTGATTAATCCCTCCAACCCTTAGCTTTCGGTGATAAGTTTCTATGTTCTCCCCATTGATATTCTTCGTTCAGCTTTAATGTGTGTCCATATATATTGTACGTTTTCAATATTGTTATTCCATATTATATTGTATACATTCTCTATGTAAGAAGCTAATAAATGAAAAAATGAAAAAATAAATAAATTAAATTCGACAACTGACCAAAACAACCTGGTTATTAGTAAAAATAAACTATTGATCATCAAAAAGCTGTCATTTTTTCTTCTTTTGTTTAAGAAACAATAATAATACTAATAATAATAAATTGCCTATTATACACAAATATACAGTAGAGAAGGGGCGAAGGCTAGCAAAAGCTACTCCGCTTAACCTCTTAAATGTTTAAATTGAAAACTAAATAGGAAGTTATAAATACATTGATAAATTAAATATAGCATAATAGAAAAATGTAATAGTAAAATCGAACAATGGAAAGTAATTATAAGTAAAAATAAGAAGAATAACATTGAAAATCAAATTATTTGAGAAGTTAGCAGCTTGAACCTGAAATATTTTTAAAGAATTTAATTGAATATGATTTTACTGAATCTTCTATGATAATCTTCGTTCAGCTTTAGTGTGTGTCCAAATATATTGCATGTTTTCCATACTGTTTTGTAAAATTGTTACTCCATATTATATTGTATACATTCTCTATGTTTGTAACATGCTAATAAATGCAATGAAAAGTCGCAACTCAGTAGGTTTGTATGCTGCTAAACCCATGTCTAAAAGTAGCTTCGAGATATTTTTACAGTACACCAGACCTTCATCTTCACTAAAATATTGCAATAACTCTTTCTCTCGTGACCTGTATGTCGTAATTGTGACTGGTGGGGCCAATAAATTTTTTTCTTTCAATCCTGAGGCTCACAATTCTTATCCTTGTTATCATAAATAGAGATCACGTATTACGTCACTGAGTTCATTTTATTACTACTACTACAGTACTATATTTACACTTTCTTCTTGACGAACTATATTTTAAAAGACAAAACAAATGTATATTTAAATATATATTCAGTAATTGAAACGAAATATTAACTCATAAGAACTTATTTAGATTGACGTGTAGGTACTTCGTATTATCGAATAACTGAGATCTCAGCTGTTCTGCAGGGCAAAGGGCTGGGACCGCTAAGAGTAGGGATCACGTGATGTTTGTATACGCGAAAAAGTTGTGCAGAAGCCTAATCGTGACTGAGGCGATTTTAATGAATAAAAAGCTGATTATTGTTCAAATTATATGATTTGTGAAAATCATAAAAATAAGAGCACATTCAATGCTTCCATATATATATATATATATATATATATATATATATATATATATATATATATATATATATATATATATATATATATATATATATATATATATATATATATATATATATATATATATATATATATATATATATATATATATATATATATATATATATATATATATATATATATATATATATATATATATATATATATATATATATATATATATATATATATATATATATATATATATATATATATATATATATATATATATATATACAGGGTTTTTCACTTAAAACTCCGCACGCCAATAAGTCCAAAACGAAAAGAAATATTTAATTTATGTAAAAAGTAGTCAAAGTGTGGGGTCAAGTAGATATTTCCTAAAGTTTAAAAAATTCGACGCCTGCAAAGAGCTGGGCGTCGCGACGCGTCGAAAAATTATTCTATTGCAGAGACTTTGGAAATACGCGCATACAAAAGTACATATTATTTAAAAACTTTTTTGTTATTTACTCAAACTTATTTACTTTACCCGTTTCTAAGTTATACCGATTTAAAGTAAACATTTCTTGATTAATAAAAAATGTGATTAACGCTTATTTTTACAAGTATGCCATGAATGTTAGTTACTATGGCAACCATTGTTATCGCAGTTGTTTTAAGTGCAATTACAAACGTAAGTTGTGATTGCTGTATCAAAAAATTGTCACATTTTGTCACAAGAAATATCCAAATTTGTTCGGTTTAAAAAAAACTAAGAATTATTATGTGAAAATGGTGCAATTTAGCAATGAGGAAAAAGTAGACATGTTACTGGTGTTTGGAGAATGCAGATGCAATTGTAGAGAAGCAAAAAGAGTTTACGCACGGCGTTATCCGCATAGAAGAGTAACCGATGCAAAAACCTTTTCAAGTTTATGTAAAAACTTAAGAGAATTTGGCAGCTTCATAAAACCTAAAAGAGATAGGAACAGGACGGCTACAAATCATGAAAATACTGCTGCTGTAATTCAGCAGGTTGATAATAACCCCAAGATATCCCTATCAGAGATAAAAGAAAATACCGGTGTTACCATAAGTTCTTCGTGGAGAATGCTACATAGAAACTCTTTTCATCCGTACAAAAGTAAACTAGTTCATAAACTAGAACCAGGCGATTATGCTAGAAGAATATATTTCTTAGCGACATTGTCCGATTTGTATAGCCAAGATGCAAATTTTCTCTCGAAAATTTTATGGAGCGACGAAAGTCGATTTCAAAATAATGGAATCGTTAATAGACACAACTGTCGTTTTTGGTCCGAAAACCATCCTCGTTGGATTACAGAAAGAGGTAACCAACGAATTTTTAGTATCAATGTTTGGTGCGGCATATTAAATGGATTCCTTATTGGACCTTACTTTTACGAAGGAATTTTGAATGCAGATCGCTATTTAAGATTTCTTCAAACTACACTTCCGGAACTATTAGAAGAAGTGCCTCTTGACACTAGAATGAATATGTGGCTACAGCAGGATGGAGCGCCTGCACATAATGCCCAAATAGTAACGAGGTATTTGAACCGAGAATATCCCAATAGATAGTTTGGTACTAATGGACCGGTAAGGTGGCCGGCGAGGTCCCCGGACATTACACCACCAGATTATTTTCTTTGGGGCTACCTAAAAAACGTTATCTATGAAGAACCTATTGAAGATATGGCTGATCTCATTAACAAAATTAGTGCAGCGTGTGCCGCTATCACAAGAAGGACTCTCCTACAAGTGACCCAAGCTCATCTGTTAACATTCATGGCATACTTGTAAAAATAAGCGTTAATCACATTTTTTATTAATCAAGAAATGTTTACTTTAAATCGGTATAACTTAGAAACGGGTAAAGTAAATAAGTTTGAGTAAATAACAAAAAAGTTTTTAAATAATATGTACTTTTGTATGCGCGTATTTCCAAAGTCTCTGCAATCGGATAATTTTTCGACGCGTCACGACGCCCAGCTCTTTGCAGGCGTCGAATTTTTTAAACTTTAGGAAATATCTACTTGACGCCACACTTTGACTACTTTTTACATAAATTAAATATTTCTTTTCGTTTTGGACTTATTGGCGTGCGGAGTTTTAAGTGAAAAACCCTGTATATTCGTGATCTGGACACTTGAAAACATAAAAATTTTCACAGATATCCAGGGCAACAAAAAAAAGAATCTTTATTTGTAGAGCTTCGTTACCTATGACCCTCGTCGGATAGCTTTTGTCCTCGTAGGTCAGTTCTTGTATAGTGGTGACGAAATAAAAGAAGACGGCGATGAGAGTGATCGGGATTAAGAGGCACCAGCATATCCGCCAATAGAAGTTCGTCTTTCTTTTCAGCATAAACTCGACGTCCAAACAAAACTCCTCCAGCCCTGAAATAGTAGCGTCCGCTTTTTTCTGTCCTCGAAACCAAAACGGGGAGATGATTGGGACGGAATTAAAATCGAATTTGCAGCGTACGCCGGTTCGAGCCCTTAGGTCTTTCTTTTAATGGGATTTCTAAGCGCGCCTTTTACGAAAACAATCTCCCGATTCCGACTAAAAGCGGGCGTCGCCACGGCCTGGCTTTGTATATGTTTCCAAACCGGGAATTGAAATTACAAGCGACAACATTTTTTTTATCAATTTTAAAAATCGAAAAATCTAAAAACCGGAAGCCGATTGGTTATTTCAGTATTGTACATTAATCAAAGAATTTTTGAATCTTTTTTTTTTCTTTTTGAAAATTAATGAGCAGCCTTACCGTAAAACCAGAAGACGGATATGATTTCTATCACGTTGAGGACATAAAAAATGGCAGTGCCGCCGAAAAAGTCCACCATTGTGAATATCCACTGACCGCCCTACAACACACGAAAACATACCTTCGAACGAGCAAAAATGAACAAATCAACTAATTAAAAAGGCGATGACTGTTTTCGTTTCCGTAGTTCTAATTCAAATACAACTGGCACAAGTTTTGTACAAGTTTTGACGCTTACAACACAGTTGTTAATCATTGTGACTCTTTAGAATTAACTGTTATACTTCGGCCAGGAATATAGTGCTTTTACAAAAGACCCCGTGATTAACCTTGCCTACTGTTTATTACTCAAAAATCCTTATAGAACACCAGTAACCATTCCAGCACCGTCCTAGGACTTTATCTACCTACACTAACAAGCGAGATATATAAGTATTTCATTACATTTCTACATCGTATTATTATTAATATACATAATATTAAATATGTTAATAATAATAAAGTATCAGTCACTTAAAAAATCGTCACTATCGCTACTGTCGTCACGTTTATTATATAGTTAAAACACTATTTCACTTAAAAACCAGCATCTTCTCTTAATTTTTCTTACAGATGACTTCGGAAATTTCGTCATGTCACTTGTTACTTTCGAAAATCGATGAAATCGAATTTTCCAAAGTATCTGCGCTGGTATAAAAATTTTATATCTCGGTAACGATAGGTCCTATGGGATCGCCGTTTTTTTGTCTGTTTGTCCGTTCTCCGTTCTCGTTTTTTGGTTTTTCCTGAATAACTTTCGAACCGTTGGAGCTACAAAATTGAAATTTGCATCCTTTTTCACTATCCACGAGGCACATAGGCTTATAAGAAATGGCCCTGATCCGACTCCGGTATCCATCTTTTTTCCGCGATTTTCGACTGTTTTTTGGACCTTGTTATAAAAAACAATAAGTATCCGAAATTTGAAGCAAGCATATTTGCCACATATATGCAGCTTTGCTCCGTGACGAAACCTATTGAAAATGGGGGGGGGAGGTCGGGAAGTATTCTAAAAAAATAAAAAATTGCGCGTGCAAGGGTCTACGAAAAAAATCATTTTTCAAAAACTGTTTATGAGACCAAAAAAATTCTTGAATCTGTTCTATGGAATTCGTCAACTGGCACAGTTGTTATTCATTTCGACTTTGTAGAAGTAATCAATTTTGATCACCTTCGACACTTTAACCACAACTGTCATTAAATACACCGTTTAAATACAAGTTTAAGTATAGTTCGTTTCTGTTGGCAAGTTACAAAAAAATCTTACTTACGGGGGTGACGTAGAACAACCCGACCAGTAAACTACCGACCACGGTTGCCAGGGAGACGTGCCAGACCTTGAGACGGGGAAAGGAATCGGTGATGACGGTGGAGATGCACCCCTGCAGCGCTACCAAACTGCCCACGCCCAAGATGAACAGTACGGAGAAAAACAAGATGGCAAACAGCTGTAGAAGAAGGGCTAAAGCGTAGCGGTTATCAAGTGACAGAGAGGTAGCAACCTACCCAGGGTACCACCTCGAACCTGGCGATCGCTTCCGGGTAGGATATAAACGCCAATCCGGTTCCGCCGGATTTGATCACTTGGTTCACCTCCACGTTCATTTTATGGGCGAGGTTCCCCAGAATCCCGAAAATGATCGTTCCCGATAGCAACGACGTGCAGGTGTCCAGCGTTGTCACCACCATGGCGTCCCTAGGGCAACATTCTTTAGGTCAAAATGCGAACGTATTGGTAATGGGTAACCTGTAAACGTTGTGGCGGAAACTGTTGTACGAAGAGTACATCGTCACGGACCCGAACCCGATGTTTAACGAGAAGAAGCACTGGCTGACAGCCGCGTACCATACCTGAAACGTTGGCACCAATGCTTATGTGTTTGTTCTAATGGTTCAGTATTTATAGGTTTTAGAAATGGAACGGAGAGATCAGATATTAGTCAGTCAAAACTTCAATATTGTCTTTTCTTTTCTTTGAATTCAATTTATCTTGATAACATTTTAATTGGCTGTAACTTTTTTCTTTTTCGAGATGCCGAGGTAAACAAGAACGAAATGTAGGGTCAGTGGCAAAGTTTTTTGCCAAGTGACGTATAAAACAAAACACTATCAATCAACAATGTTGATGGTTGAATTGTTACTTCAATCAGTTAAGAGACAATCCGGAAACGTTACTAAATGCAAGACATCATACAATTAGAGTGTATAACAAACGTGTTAAGGAAAAGTGTGGTCACATACAGCAGTATTTAGAATAGTTAAAGATTTTTTTACTTTTATGTCTTTTCATTTTTAGTGTTTTTGTTCTACTTTAATTTGTATCATAATTATTGTGTTGTAGTCAGTCACGGCATAAAAATTCCATATTTTGTCAAAAATATAAAGTGTGTTACGTCATTGTAATTGGAATAAGATATTCTATTAAACATAATAAATATATAAATAATATACAGGGTGTTGGGTAGCTGTCTAAGGAACGCGCGAAACTTAAAATATTAGTTTCGAAATTGAAATATTGTTTCTAGAGGGAATTTTAAATGAAAAGTTTAAACTTAAAAATAAAATACATTAAATACATAAAATTATATAGAAATTTTACACATTTTATTTCCGCCTACCCCATCGCAAATCGTGTCGACCATATGCTGTTTCTTTTTTTTTAATAAACGCTATTTATTATTATTATTATTATTACTGTTATCACTTGCTAGCTATCGTTGGGTGTGTCGGGATACCCAAAGGAATAAAAATACTACGTTATAATTAAATGATAATGAATAAAAAACGCTTTTTTGGGAAGCGCGGTTAGAAAAACCGGGCGTACCTTGCCGTCGAGAAGTTTGGGCCAGTCGGGGTTTATGAAATAAATGATCCCTTTGCCTGACCCTTCCAAAGTGACCGCCCGTCCCAGCAGCGTCAGCAAGATCACGTACGGGAACAGGGCTAGGAAATAAGACGCCTTGCCCGAACTGCGCACACCTTTGGCGCAAACGGCAAACGTCGTCGCCCAAGATATCACCAGGCAGACAGTGAGTCGCCACTCCGGCCAGCCTATACCCTCCGAGATGTCCACTCGTTCGTTTAAAACTTCCACCCTGTAAAAGGACGAACAAAAAAACAATAGAACTGTCCATTATACGAGGTTAGCCCCAAAATTTCCAGGCCTGACATAGATGCAGATATATATATATATATATATATATATATATATATATATATATATATATATATATATATATATATATATATATATATTGGGCAAATTCTGTTATACATATAGAAAAACCAGAACAATCGTATATCCATATTGCAAATAATATAGAACAAATAATAATTAGAACAGGCGATGAGAGCGATAGTGATACTGATATATTATGTGAACAATTTTAAGTAATTAACGTGGGTAATAAAAATATTTTGTAATTTTATTTTAGAATTAAATATAAATACATACATAAATAAATAAATATTGTTTAGTATATTTCCTAACAAAACCCCAAACAATTAAATTCTAAGCAAAGTACGGACCTGTTCGGCCATATTTCATTCTTACAGCTTGCCCGGGCCTTTCCTTAATTCGTATCAGTCAGTCACTTTCTTATGTCTATGAACAGACCTTAATAGCATCGTTAAAGTTTTATTGGGGAGGGTCCTTCGAAAGCCAACACGACAAAGATTGAAACAGACTATAAACCAAACGTTAGATGTTATAACTCGCCTATAGAATATCTCTGCGGAGCTCATGGTGTCGGAACCGTTGAGGGCGGCTACGTCGTAGCTGCTCGACGCTACGCAGGTTACGTTCGCGAGCCAGCTGACGTTCCGCCACTCCTCCTGGCACGTGGACCACGGCAGACTCGATGTGAACGAATTGTAGAGATAAAAAAGCGAAATCGCCATCAGTGCGCAGTAATACGTGGCGATGCACGCTGTGCCGACCAGCTGGCCATACCCGATCCCTTAAAATCGACCGATATACAGGGTGTTTTCTAATTGAATGTCAATAATAATAAGGGGACGATTTTCGATTTTTGAAAACTTCATATAAAATATATATTGGGTTGTTCGGAAAGTCATTTCGTTTTTTTTGGGGAACATGAAAGACAGTTTTCGTATAATGAATAAATATTTTATTAAATTATATATTGGCCATTCTGGTCCAACACCTTTTGCCATCTTTCTGGCAGTAACATAATTCCCCTCTCATAAAAGTTTTGGTCCTTGCTGGCAAAAAACTGGTTCAGGTGGTTTTTGACATCTTCATTTGAGGTAAAGGTTTTGCCATCCAAAAAATTTTGCAGGGACCGGAACAAATAGTAGTCGGAAGGCGCCAAATCTGGAGAATATGGTGGATGTTGCAGTACGTCCCATTCAAGCTGTAAAAGTTTTTGGCGAGTGACCAAACTTGTGTGAGGTCTCGCATTATCCTGGTGGAACACTACACCCTTCCTGTTGATTAATTCGGGCCTCTTCTCTTTAAGTGAATCATTCAATTTGTCTAGTTGATGACAATAGACTTCTGAATTAATCGTTGTATTTTCCGGCAAAATCTCAAAAAAAACGATTCCTTTGACATCCCACCAAACGGAGAGAATCACTTTTTTTTGGTGAATGTTGGCTTTTGACACGCTTTGAGCCGGTTCACCTTTTCTGCTCCATGACCTCTTGCGTTTAACATTGTTGCATACAACCCATTTTTCGTCCCCAGTAATAATCCGCTTCAAAAATGGATCATTTTCTTGACGTTTGAGGAGCGAATCACACACGTCAACGCGACGACACAAATTTCGCTCCGTAAGGACATGGGGCACCCACACATCGAGCTTCGAGGTTAAGCCCATGCCTTTCAAATGGCCATAAACAGTCAAATTCGACAAATTTCATCTCTCACCGATCTCTCGTGTGGTTATTCGCCGATTTGCATCAACTAATGCCTTTATCGCATCTTTGTCAGCTTCGACCGGCCTTCCAGACCGTGGTGCATCTTCGACATCAAAATTGCCGGATCGAAATTTTGCAAACCAGTTCTGGCACTGGCGTACTGTTAACACGCCTTCTCCATACACATCCGTCAATTTTTTTCTCGCTTGGACAGCATTTTTACCTTTTCTGAAGTAAAAAAGTAAAATATGACGAAAATGCTGCTTATTGCTCTCCATATTTAAAAGGGCACCAACCAAAAACTACTGCGTAGAATTAATAGAACTTTTTCACACACAAGCCTTGCAATATCAGCTCTCAAGACATATAATGGTTATGCGGCTTAAGTGCGAAGTTGGTTTCGAAAAAACGTAATTAAGTCCTCTGACGAGAAAAAACGAAATGACTTTCCGAACAACCTTATATATATTTTTTTTTAAAAAAAAATACACCAGTAGCGCACTGATTTCTCTTAAAATAAAATTATTCTCACCACCTGAAATCATTTCTAAATAAATTTCATTTCTTGTTATGTTGCATTCTGTTCAATCTCGATAGTGAATTTCGTATCGTATAAAATTTCATATCGCATAAAATTCACTATCGAGATTGAAGAGGATAACTCTATTAATTTTTTAGACTTAACTATTACGAATGCGCAAAACAAATGAGATTTTTGCATTTACCATACACACGGACACAGTCATACATAACAGCTCAAATCACCCTTATACACGCAAAATGGCTGCATTTCACTCTTTTATACACAGACCTCTTAATACGCCACTCTCAACGGAAAATTAAATTAAACAAATTGCACTGAACAACGGCGTCCATTATCGATAAAATTATGAATAAAAAAACAAATCCAGACAACAGTAAACTCTATTTATCCGAAACCTAATACAGAACGTGAACAATTTAAAACAATTACATACATAGGCGAACCCAGTGAAAAGTTTCAAAACATTTGTCAAAATGTGGGTTAAAAATAGCTTTCAGGACTAGCAACACAATAGGAAAATTTTTAAAAATCAATAAAACGAAATGTCCAAAATCGCAGGTTGAAATGCGGATCTTGTCCTAAAATTAATATCGGACAACCAGGTAGATCCCTCAAGAAACGCATTAACGAACATAAAAGAGCGTTGAAAAACAATAGTCTAGATTCTAATTATGCTACACATATTTTACATACAGCCATTATTAAACTTAAATTCTCACAACAACTTTAATTATGTTTTTATTGTCATTTTTCAGTACATATAGTAGCACGTAGTTTGTAAATATTACATTTGATAAAGACACGGTTTTGTCGAAACAATTGTAATGTGAATATATACAGGGTGCTTCAAAAAAATGTATACACACTTTAAAGTATTGTAGTTTTCCCGCTCTACAAGGCTAATGTTATATTTCTTCGCCAGGTGCCAGCATAATCGTCCCTCTATGTTATATTATCAGTTGGAATTTGTAATATCAACATGGGGAACGTACGTTTGAGTTTTGAAGAACGTAAGCAGGTTATTAAGTGGTACTGGAAGTTTGAGAATGTAAATGAAGTTCAAAGTGGAGAAGGGAGTATGATACAGAACCACCTTCAAGATTAACAATTACACGCATACGAGACAAATTCGAAGTTCATGGAACAGTGTGTGATGTGCAGAAAGGTCATTCAGGTCGGCCTCGAACAGCTACAAGTGATGAGTCATCAACGGCAGTCTTGGAACTGTTTCAACGCTCTCCTAACAAATCTTCAAGGCAAGGGGCACGTGAAAGTGATGTAAGTGCTAGCAGCGTGCTACGCATTCTGAAGAGAGGCAAGTATCGTGTTTACGTTCCAAGGCTGGTCCAACAGCTAAATGACGATGATCCAGATCGAAGGTTGCAATTTTGTGAATGGATTCAGGAGATGGTGATACGTGAACCGGGATTTATGGGTAGCATCATTTGGTCGGATGAAGCCCAATTAAAACTTAATGGAACTGTCAATAGGCACAATTGTGTTTACTGGGGTGAAGAAAATCCTCACATTACAATTGAAAAAGCTGTAAATTTGTCTGGTGTAAATGTGTGGTGCGGTTTGTCTTCAAGGGGACTCATTGGACCTTTTCGATTTGAAGACACTGTAACTGGTATTAATTACCTAACAATGCTTGCTGATTGCATATTTCCTGCCATTCGTGCATTATACGGTAATGATGATTTTTATTTTCAACAAGATGGTGCTCCGCCGCACTATCACAGGGACGTACGAGCTTACCTGGATCAAAATTTGTCGGGCCGGTGGATAGGACGCAGGGGGCCAATCGAGTTTCCAGCACGGTCTCCAGACCTTACACCACTGGATTTCTTCTTGTGGGGCACAGTAAAAGATGAGGTGTACAAACGTAAACCACGTAACCTAGACATTCTTTGGAATGAGATTCAAGCAGTGTGTAGAGAAATCTCATTGGACGTTTTGATACGATGTACAGAATCAGTGGTGACTCGTACTCAGAATTGTATTGGTGCTGCAGGTCACCAATTTGAACAGTATTAACATTTGTTATTTATGTTTCATTTACATTTGACTTTCAGCTTTCTATTTTCCTGAAATTTAACTTTGTAGAACGGTAAATAAATTTTCTATGGAAGTTCAAAGTGTGTATACATTTTTTTGAAGCACCCTGTATAATTTCGTGAAAATCTGAACTTTTAGTTCTTATTTATTTTGTTAAATGGATTTTCATCAAAAGCCACCTCAGGTCAACATAAATAATAAACAATTTTAAAAAAACACTATCTACCCTTAATAATTTTTAACGAAATTGTTAATAAATTAACAACAACCTTTTTGAAAAAAAGTAGAACATGAAAACTAGATAAGTGGTTGAAAGTGTCCTCCATCTTGAAGGACGCACGCTTCAATTCTTTTCCTCATATTGCTGCGACTCTGAAGTATACCTCCAGTGTTTTTTATTAAATCGCAGGAAGCTCCTATACGATCTTTCAGCTCGTCTACAGTGTTAACTGAGAACTATTTAAATCTGAGAACCTAGAGGGCCACGGTTGAGGTTACTGCAACACCAAAAAGGTGCGATTCAGTAATTCTCAACAATTTCAACCCAAACATTTACAGAAAACTGTTCTTGATGTTTTAATTGTACAGGGTGGTCCAAATTAGAGGGGCCTCTATAGAAATTTTTTTATGGGCAAATACCTGTTTCACCGATTGTGTTTTAAAGAGATATAACACAAAGTTACATTTTTTGCCACTTCAGCAAAATAATGAGCTATACTTTCAACATGACGGCGCACCTCCTCACAATGCACGAGACATTACTAATTTGCTGAATAATGTGTCTGCCGAAAACTGGATCGGAGATAAAGGTCCTATATATTGCCCCCCCAGATCTCCGGACCTGACCCCTTGCGACTTCTTTTTGTGGGGGAGAATCAAAGCCCTTGTATTTCGCCCAACTACTGAGAGAAGAAGCAATTCGTAATGCATTCAGACAGCTTCGTGAGATAGAACTTCTTAATGCAGAAAATACAGTCAAGAGAATTTTTTGCAAAACATAGCTTCATTTGTAAACAGTATTTCTTGCTTGAACTGGTGGAATATGATATGGGTATTATGTCCAATTTTTCCAGTACTAAGTTCCGAATTTTCATCAATAAAATTTAAAAGTGCTTCTTCTTATAGTCCTACGGGTCCCTTATAAATAATTAATTAAGCGTTCTTGATATAATCGCCTGGCTTCTGGCGATACATAAAACGCACATCTGCGAACTCCTCATTAGTAAACTCCATCATTCTTTTTTAAAATAACAATAACAAACAATTTAATAACAAATTAATAACAAGCGAAGAAATGAATTTAAAAACTGAAGTCAAAGATTTCAAAAATACGTATCATGACTGCCAAAATAGACAGTTGAAATTCAATAGGCCCGCCACTGGTATATTTTTTAGAAAAATGTGGTACACTAAACAATGTCTCCGATACACAGTACATGTGTGCAGAATTTCGTTAAAATGTATTAATTAAATGTAATTATAATATGCTTTATTTTTGAAAAATTTACCACCCTGTAGGTATCTCAAGAGTTAAGACGCTTATGCAATATGTTCATATAAAGTTTTCTTTTTGAACTGGCCCCAAAATTATTGACATTTGATTAAAAAACGCCCTGTATAGCCTGTTCATTCGTGAGAGGGAGTGGTTAAACTTTATAGTTTAATTACCACTCCCTCATGGTAACGAACAGACTTAACCATCTGAAAACCTAAATGCGCAATGGAAAATGGAAAATTGAAGATGAAAATGTATCGTTCATCTGTCACCTTTTAAGGCCGGGGCCATCTTCTCGAACATCTTAACGTTTCCCCTGCTGGAGAACTGTCCCAGGCACATTTCCAAGTAGTACATGGGCCTGCCCATCAGGACGAGGACCAAAATGTAGGGTATCAAGAAAGCCCCGCCTCCGTTTTCGTATGCGACGAACGGAAACCGCCAGATGTTGCCCAGGCCTACGTTCATGGCGATGCAAGACATTAAAAATTCGATAGACTTGCCCCAGGTCGCCCGATCCGCATTGTTGGGATCCGGCTGCGTTCGGCTCTGCAACCAACAGAAAATCTTTGTTTCGTCGCTTTACCAATGAAAACGTGTAAATTAACAATGACGATAACGCACCCGGTTTCCCATCCATTGCAAGTTTTATGTGAAACAAAATAAATATTGTAGTGAAACTTGCATTTTTTCTCCCGATTTCAAATATGTATGAGTTGTTGGGATTATTTTTAGCAGATTTTGAAATATCGCGCAATTTAGCTAATATTGGGTGCAAAAGTAAGTATTGTTTCAAAAATCAAATTAGCCATGAAAGATGTTGCCATGGAAACTGGCGTAGTTGACTGTGATTATATATTTCAAATATGTATGAGTTGTTAGCATTATTTTTAGCAGATTTTGAAATATCGCGCAAGTTAGCTAATATTGGGTGCAAAAGTAAGTATTGTTTCAAAAATCAAATTAGCCATGATAGATGTTGCCATGGAAACTGGCGTAGTTAACTGTGATTATATATTTCAAATATGTATGAGTTGTTAGCGTTATTTTTAGCAGATTTTGAAATATCGCGCAAGTTAGCTAATATTGGGTGCAAAAGTAAGTATTGTTTCAAAAATCAAATTAGCCATGATAGATGTTGCCATGGAAACTGGCGTAGTTGACTGTGATTATATATTTCAAATATGTATGAGTTGTTATCGTTGTTTTAGCAGATTTTGAAATATCGCGCAAGTTAGCTAATATTGGGTGCAAAAGTAAGTATTGTTTCAAAAATCAAATTAGCCATGAAAGATGTTGCCATGGAAACTGGCGTAGTTGACTGTGATTATATATTTCAAATATGTATGAGTTGTTAGCGTTATTTTTAGCAGATTTTGAAATATCGCGCAAGTTAGCTAATATTGGGTGCAAAAGTAAGTATTGTTTCAAAAATCAAATTAGCCATGAAAGATGTTGCCATGGAAACTGGCGTAGTTGACTGTGATTATATATTTCAAATATGTATGAGTTGTTAACGTTATTTTTAGCAGATTTTGAAATATCGCGCAAGTTAGCTAATATTGGGTGCAAAAGTAAGTATTGTTTCAAAAATCAAATTAGCCATGATAGATATTGCCATGGAAACTGGCGTAGTTAACTGTGATTATATATTTCAAATATGTATGAGTTGTTAGCGTTATTTTTAGCATATTTTGAAATATCGCGCAATTTAGCTAATATTGGGTGCAAAAGTAAGTATTGTTTCAAAAATCAAATTAGCCATGATAGATGTTGCCATGGAAACTGGCGTAGTTAACTGTGATTATATATTTCAAATATGTATGAGTTGTTAGCGTTATTTTTAGCAGATTTTGAAATATCGCGCAAGTTAGCTAATATTGGGTGCAAAAGTAAGTATTGTTTCAAAAATCAAATTAGCCATGAAAGATGTTGCCATGGAAACTGGCGTAGTTGACTGTGATTATATATTTCAAATATGTATGAGTTGTTAACGTTATTTTTAGCAGATTTTGAAATATCGCGCAAGTTAGCTAATATTGGGTGCAAAAGTAAGTATTGTTTCAAAAATCAAATTAGCCATGAAAGATGTTGCCATGGAAACTGGCGTAGTTGACTGTGATTATATATTTCAAATATGTATGAGTTGTTAACGTTATTTTTAGCAGATTTTGAAATATCGCGCAAATTAGCTAATATTGGGTGCAAAAGTAAGTATTGTTTCAAAAATCAAATTAGCCATGATAGATGTTGCCATGGAAACTGGCGTAGTTAACTGTGATTATATATTTCAAATATGTATGAGTTGTTAGCGTTATTTTTAGCAGATTTTGAAATATCGCGCAATTTAGCTAATATTGGGTGCAAAAGTAAGTATTGTTTCAAAAATCAAATTAGCCATGAAAGATGTTGCCATGGAAACTGGCGTAGTTGACTGTGATTATATATTTCAAATATGTATGAGTTGTTAGCGTTATTTTTAGCAGATTTTGAAATATCGCGCAAGTTAGCTAATATTGGGTGCAAAAGTAAGTATTGTTTCAAAAATCAAATTAGCCATGATAGATGTTGCCATGGAAAATGGCGTAGTTAACTGTGATTATATATTTCAAATATGTATGAGTTGTTAGCGTTATTTTTAGCAGATTTTGAAATATCGCGCAATTTAGCTAATATTGGGTGCAAAAGTAAGTATTGTTTCAAAAATCAAATTAGCCATGATAGATGTTGCCATGAAAACTGGCGTAGTTAACTGTCATTATATATTTCAAATATGTATGAGTTGTTAGCGTTATTTTTAGCAGATTTTGAAATATCGCGCATTTTGTCTAACATTGGGTATAAAGGAGTCGATAAGTATTGTTTCAAAATCAATGAATATAGGACATTATATTTTCGCATAGTAAAGAATCAAACCTTCTTAGAAGCTGCATGCGTGCTGATAATGGCAAGATAACATCTTTTGTGAGATAAATTTAGTATACTAAAGACAATGAAGTAGTGGGTAAGTAATATGTTCTTAACTTTCTACCAGTTTTAAGAGGAATTCGTCAAGGCAAACTTTATTGTTCTCGAGTTACACGTCTGACTTCTCTGGGCACCTAAATAAATGTTATTCTGATGATATGCAAATATACTTATCATTCTCGGTCAAAGATGTAGCTTTTTCTTTCAATGACGTAAATAAGGATCTTGAAGCGATTTCTAGAATCTTCAGTTCCCGTGGCCTGATATTAAATGATTTGTTGTTCTTTTTGGCAATAAAAAAGAGGAAATTATCCAGTATAATGATCTGAAATTTTCCTTGAATGGTGCTCCGCTTGAATTTGCCGACAAATGTAAAAACTTAGGTGTCTTTCTTTTCTTGCTTTTTGGTTCTTATTTACTGCAGAAGTCCTAAAAACTACTTATCTAGACTTAAATTGTGTGACTCTCTTATACTCTCTCCATTAGGAAATGCAGACGTTGTATACTGGCCGGCTCTAAGACAGCTTAAAAAATTGCAAAATACCGGCCCGAGTTATGGCTATGGTTGACGTTGAAGACATTTTTTTCCGCTAAAACTGACGCCTTTAAAGTGGTTTTATTATACTAATTTTAATCATTTTATGGTAATATGACAAAATTTATTTTATATACTGTAATTTGTTTATTGTATTAAATAACATGCACCAGGCGAAGTTGAAAAAAAAAGTGAAATGTGATTGGGTAGTAACACTACTGTACATACCCACTACTACAGTAACACTGAAGGTTAGCACATAGCACATAGCTTTATAAAATGAAAGGATTAAAATGTAGAGACAAAGTTAACAAAATTTCGTTCGTTAAAAAGGGTTTCTTTCCTTTTCCTAGTTGGAACCTAAATTTGCGCGCAAAAACGGCAATTTTAAGGGTCTTTTTGATTTTTTGTCCATAATCGACAAATCAACACACACTGTACCGTGCGTTTCATTTATCTTGATAACATTTTAATTGACTTTGACTTTTTTGTTCTAAGAGATATCAAGGTAAACAAAGAAACAAAATCTAGGGTTAGTAGCCAAGTTTTTTTCCAAGTGACGTATAAAACAAAACACTATCAATTTGCTGACATGTAAGCATACGTCATCTTTTCTTAAATGGGACACCCTGTATATTATATATGTATAATAGAACATCTTATTCCGATTACAACGATGTAACACACTTTATATTTTAGTCACAAATCGTCAAAAATAGTAATTTTTTATATAATTTCACAGAGTACTTGGACCTTTTTAAAGAATATATTTTTTACAGGTGTGGTTCTTGGGATTTGGTCCGTTATTTATTAATAGGCTTTATTTCGAATTGACAAATTTATTGGTTGAAGTTTCCGTCATTTCGACCTTCAGAACATTCTGGTCATCTTAAACGAAAATGATTTGTTCTGCGGTTAAAATATATACGGACCGGTACACAAACGTATATTTGACGAACAACAGTTAAAAAAAAAATTTAGAATATATCTGCACACCTCTGCCGTACCATAGAAAAAAAGGAATCAATCATTTAAGAGACAATTCGGAAACGTTAAACAGTTTTCGAGAAAATAATTTTGCTCTGGAAGTCAAGAATACCCCCAAAAAATCTTTTTTTTTTACAGTTTAGATGTGGATGTAGACTTTAACTTCTGTGCTAAATTTGAAGTTGATAGCTGCAAATTTCGGCCACTTCATAACGATGTACGAAACCCAGACGAAAATAACGAAAAATAGATAGACGGCGAGGTCCAAAGTTTTTATGAAGTATCGACAGACAAAATTAAACAATTTTTTTTCATTTCTGTACTAATGGGTGGATTTTTTTAAAGGAACAACTGGGCGAACCACTAGCCGCAATTGATGCGCAAACTCACGTCTTCGTCGGTGCTTGTCCCACGCGACAGGTCTATCGTGTCCACCTCATCGCCTGCAGACTCGAACGCCTTATTGCTATGCCCGTTTCTCTAAAAATTACGCTTGCCAACTTGATCCGGAGAAAATCAAACCCGCCGCTGACACTTACCGTCGCCATGACTACACTTACTTCCAAATCCAAATCACAGATATTTCTGCAAAACGCGACTGCTTTTCGACAAACGCCCCATCCAGGGCGGTAATTGAAAAAATGCGGCCGAAAAATAACGCCCTGCGAGGGGCAGCGCATTTGCGCTCGGTGCGGGGGGACTGCCGCGATAGGGGCGCGTTTTTAAAATCCCTAAAACGTTTTTGTTTGTTTCGCCTTCTGCGATACGTTCGCCCAATTTTTTTAACTCGCCGCTTTTATTTCATTCGAATCCAAACCTGTATTCAGATTAATAGTTTAGTGTGTTTACGGTTTTATAAAGATACGAAAAATTGCTCTAGGTAAATATGAGAGTCGTAAAATGCCAGATTACCTTTAAATATTTGTTTGAATACGTTTTTAGGGTAGCCATACACCGTGAAAACGCGCTTTTCGTGTTTTCCGTCGTAAAATATACGGTAATATTGTACCAAGAGCGTATATATGGTATAGCCCATCGGACGTGTTATTTCTCGTGTTTTTTAAAGCTCTCCCGGTGTCGCCATCTCTCGAGTGTTGGCATGAAGCGACGTCGGCCGCTAATCCGCGGTTCCTCCGCGAGATTCGACATCATTTAACAATCGTTGAAATAATTACCCGTTTTTCCGCGAACGACGAAGCGATATAATCTAAATAATCTTAATGAGCGGATTTCTAATTGAGTTATAGCGCAGAGTCTCCATGTGACCGCGATCGCCACCGATGGTTGTAGGTTATGTTAACTGCGTACTTCAAAAATTGATTCGCCAGGGCCTGTTTTGTAATTTTCAGCAACGTCGTCGAGCGGTCAAGCTTATTTTGAGTAACGCGAGCTTCCAACGACAAAGGTAAGCCGTTCTCGGGGCTCAAGTAACTTTTACTGGACCGTATTTCACAGGTGTACTTCGGACTCGACGAAGATGAACGGCGACACGTTCGAAGGGAAACTCGATCGGTTCGAGGGAATCACGGTATGGTCGGACCAGGAGAGTTGCGATATCGGCGAGTTCCCCAAAAAATTAAAAAGTAATAATCGTATCGCAATGTCGGTGGTAAAGTATACGAACGGTTTCGTAATTTTAGGATCGTTCCAGATTCGTTGACTTTGTGGAGGGACACGAAGAAGCGCGGTATCTGGTTCAGGGTCCATTTAGAGCAAGCGGATTGGGTGCCCGTGCTCGCTAAAAACGGATTTAAATATCACCACGCTAGAGATGATTACGTCACAATGTATCTCTGGCTGCCTACCACGGAAACGAGTAATATCCCTCACTACGCTCACACGATGATCGGGGTGGGGGCGGTGGTCGTGAACGACAAAGATCAGGTGCTCGTGGTTCAAGAGAAATTCTTTTACAAAAGACCGATGTGGAAATTACCTGGCGGTTATGTGGAACCGGGTGAAAATTTAGTGGACGCCGCCATTAGGGAAGTCATGGAAGAGACGAACATACGTACGGAGTTTGATTCGTTGCTGACACTTAGACACGTCCACCAGGGCATGTTCGGATGTTCGGACATCTACATAGTCGTAAGCCTTAAGCCCATTTCTTTCGACATCGATAAATGTAATAGGGAAATCGAGAAGTGCCAATGGATGGATATTAAAGAATATTTAAAGCATCCTCACGTGCACGAGCTGAACAGGTTAGACACTGAATGAACGTTTTTGTTAAGCACCCAAGTTCTTTATTTCAGATTTTTTGCCCACAAATACCTGAAGCACAGGGAGCATAGCATCAAAATCGATGTCCATCACGGTATACATCAGCTGGTCAAGATACCGTATACCGTGTATTCCGTGGAAAAGCTAGACCAAAGCGATACTTTGGAATTTGAGTGGTCTGATACCCAAAGCAAATAAGTTTTTGTTTTAAAATAAATAATTTGAACATACAAATGGCTTTTTATATGCGTTTTACATAATTAAGGTGGTAATTGTTACGTGTCATTTCAAAAACATAGAGGTTTGCTTGTTGGTGATATTTTTTCAAGGCACAGACCGCGAAAGAGATAACTTACAATCTTTGAATAGTGGCCACACTGGAATGATGTACACAAGAAAATAACACTTACCATTGCTTATCTAAGGTTTTAATTTTGCGAATGTGGTATTTTACTCAGTCGGCGTATTTGATCCGTAATTGCCGAGAACATTTTGCAAAACTAAAGAAGTATTATGAGCATAGAGAATAAATTAACGCAACTGAGAATCAGGGAAGATTGTCAATCTAATTACCAATACATTGAAGAATTTAAAGTAACAGGTAAACATCCAAAACTATTTTTTACGCGCTCCTTGGTTTCTAGAATCCGAACAAACTTCCCATAACTCAAATCCATCTAGAAAAAACATGGAAGCAGCTGAGAAAGGACAGACCCAGAGGCATGGTAAATAATGAAATATTCTTAAAACCGCTTGCAATATTGCATCACATTGTAGGACTTTTTGGAAGTGTCACCTGAGGAGGTGAGCAAGTCCTATTTTGAAGTTAAAACAGAAGTGATTCCGGCGTTGGACAAGAGATGGTTGCCTAGATGCGTTTTCCACAATTACGAACCTTATAGCTTCACTGCAAGCAAAGAGGAAAACCTAACCTTTCTGACAAGAAACGTATTATTCTTGGATAGTATAAGTTATCTGTTGAATTGCAACTTTCACCAGTTCTGGTGCACCATACTATTTGAACCGTCAGCTGTGATTGCTCTAAGGAGTTTCCTTCTTTCGCCCATTTCGCCTTATCAGGTTAGGTATCTTGAAGATGAGTATTTGGAAGTGTATAAAGCAATATTTGAAAACTTCCTGCTAGTTTATGAAAAACTGGTGAATTTTAAATGGTCGGAAGTATGTGAGGGAAAAGTAAATTATTTACAATTTTGGTTTGTGATACATTTTTCAGCATGAGTACATACCTGAGCCTTATGGAGTGAAAAAACTGTTAGAAAAAAAGCTTTTAAATTTGCCGATTGTGATAACGCTGGTGTTTCTCTATAGAGACAGCAATTTAGGATTAACTAATAGGATAACGCATTTATATTTCAACCAATCGGAGAGGCCTGAATTTTTGACAAAAGAAATAGAATACACCATCCAGCAGGGTCTCATCGTAAGCCCTCTTTCTTTTGGTTAACGGAAAACTGACATACCTAATTTGCGTAATTTAGGTGTTAAAGACAATCAGAGGTCATTTATGTGACGCTGAAGAGTCGGCTGTGGTGGTCCCCATTTCCATAGACAAACGACCAGCAATCTTTAGCCTCGCTTGGGTTTATTCCTTAGTCAGTTATCTCCTCAACACCGTCGCTACTATGGACATACTATTTCAATGTCACAAGCCCGCGGTGCAGGTGGCCTTAGCATTGGACTTTCCTTATAGGTAATAACTGAGCGTTACGCGGAAAGTAGTCTTCCACAAAGCCTTGATGTTTACTTTTTAACTATTTTTATATTGGCTGTACGCATTGTCAGGTCTTATTTGGATAATAAATTTATTGCTGCATAGTAGTGATATAACGTTAATAGCATACCCTCGATATACGTCAACGTGTATCGGGAACTCTACGAGCTCCTCGACAACAGGGAAGAAATGGTAATGGAAAAGGAGCTTTCTAGTCACGTAGTGGACGAGATAAATCTGGGCCGCCAGGAATTCGTAGAGATGTATCACGCCTTCGTGTCCTTTTGCCTCGATGAAGCACTGGTGCATACGTGAGTAGCTACCATTTTTTGTATTATAAACCAACCTCATACTTTAAACTTCAAATTACACTTTGAAACCAGTTATCATTTCAAAAGGTACATTATCTGTAGTGTTTTTTTACAAAACGCAGAGGAGACCCTGTCAAACAGCAACCAATAATCGAAACTTACCTGAGACTGATCCAAACTGCCTTAGAAGAAGATTATTTCATCTGCGACTATAATTCCACGTACAGCATCGCCACCCAAAACGAAATGTTCGAGACCTGCTGCGAGGTGTATCCTTTTTTTCTTTTCGCGCGCTGTCGGATGGTGCATTTTTCATTGTCACTTAACCTCAAACCGCAGCGATAAAACTTGCACAGATTTCCTCGTGTCGTGCGTCGACCGGTTGCCACGCAACCACAAGCTGCAGGAGCTGTCAAAAATGAACCGTCAAACACTAGAGGGCGTGTTTCGCGATTTCCAACCGCCGCCGTCGCACGTTGCCGAGGGCGCCACGGAGCCGTCCGTCGAGACGCCCGAGCGCGACGCTGAAGATGTCGAACGCAAAATCAGGCACATTCTCGACATGTTTCCGCACCTGGGCGACGGTGAGTGACGTTTTGCGCCGTTGTCAAGCGTCGTGCCATACACGGACGATTCTTTGAGGACTTTTAAGGCAAAAAAACGGCAAAAACGTCTCACAGTAGTACCATTTTGTATTTCTGACTGGACACACATCAGTAAACACTATTTCAGCCATAGTGTCCACGAATGATACAACTTTTTCCCAATATTTTCTTCTCAGAAAAACAGATAGGATTGAAGTGAAAAAGTTATTCTTCAAAGTAACCAAAATAAGAAAAACAACATTTTGTTCACAATTAAATTAGAACAAAAAATGTTCAGATTTTCGCAGTTTTTAATGATTTATGACGGCTGTTTGGACAACATCGTGCTTTTATCATATACAAAATATGACATTATTCTGACACACACACACATATATATATATATATATATATATATATATATATATATATATATATATATATATATATATATATATATATACAGGGAGTAAATAGATGTTGAATTACCAGTGTAGGGTTATAAATTTAAATTTAACAACGGAGAGGCATTTAAATCCAATTGGTCATCAAGTAATAGATTTGAATATCTCATTTTGTGAATCTGCATAGCTTCCAACAAATTTAGTTTTTTGGTTTTTGATTGATTATGTAAAATATGAAAATTATCGTCAAACTTGTGCATTTCTGAAGTTTTAATGCGTTTCTTGACTGTTCTACCTATTTGTCCGACATAAATTTTAGGACATGACATGTCAACTTGTAGAGTCCCGGACTTTTGTGTTGTTCGTTATTTAGTTTTATTGTTTTCAGTTTTAAAAGCAATCTTAAGACCAAATTTAGATAGATGTTTCGAAATTTTCTTGCTAGGTTCTCTTATGTATTTTATTGTTTTATAAATTTTGGGTTCGGTGTTTAATATAGGATGGATAGAGAGGTCGGAACCATTGTTATGAACTATTTTTTTTAATAATTTTAATTCTTTTTCAAAATTTTCTGTGCAAAGTGGTATATTAAGTAGTCTGCATAAAAGGCAGCCATTTTGGTTTATGGTAAATTGACAAATCTAATTTGTTCTGCAGTTAAGTCCAGACAATTTAAAGAGTTATCTAATTCCTTCTCTATGGCAAATTTTATACGGCTATATATGGTGTAAATGATTCAAAAAAGACTGTAGTTGTCTTTACGTTCCAGTGAAAAGCAAAAACACTCGCAGGATGTTTATGTATGACATTATCTAAATTGTCCACGAAGATTTCTGCAAGTAGTGGACTATGTGAGTTTCCTAATCCTTTTTTGGCAATATAATATTGACCGTTAAATTCAAAATAATTTTGGTCTAAGCAAACGATTAAACTATCTAGCAAGTCTTGTTTTATGATAGGGTTGAAATGCTAGGAAATAGATTTTAGACGTCAAATGACACTACAATAGCCTAAATCGGAATTATAATGTCTTTAACCTTGTTAATTGGTTCGAACGAATTTTTGATAATATATCTGGGTTTAAAGGCAATATTCTCAAATTTTTATTAATCTTGTTGAGGATTTAACTGATGGCGCTGTTACAAAAGAAACTACATTTAATCATTTAATTAAAAAATATAATTTTGGAAGTTGAGGGTTCATGATTATTAGTTGGTATTTTTCGCTGTCATTAAAAAGTAATTTAATATATTCTAGCGATGACTGTCTTTGCTTTATCTGCTCTTGTCAATACTATATTATTTTCGAAAACATTTTTAATTGATTTTACCATAGACATATGTGAAAGATCCTCAACTTTTTTTATTAAATAAAAATAAAATGTCTTTGTTGTACGGGGTGTTCCAAAAACGATGTTTTCTTCTAAGATAATCAGATATTATTACACCGAAAAAGTTATTTTTTAAAGTAAAAAAAAAATAATTAAGAAAAACATTTTCTTCCATACCGTCGAGTCTGACCATTTTTGTTTGAATAAAATTGATGTTTCTATAGCTTCTACATCATCAAAATCATTTAAAAAACTTTTGTATGCTGCCTTTTTCAGAAGATTCTACAGCAGATATTGATAGGGATAGTGAATTAAATAGATGTACTTTAAAATCAAGTTATGACATCGGCCGAGATGATTGTAAATCATATTTTACTAGTATTTCAGATATTTTTTTTTTCAGACTTAAACTCAATTAACCTTCCAAATTTTAAATAACACTTACAGTTGTTTTGATAAATGCTTTCATTGTCCTCACATAACTGAAACTATTTAACTTTTAAAAAATCGTCTGGCTTAGATATCTATAATATGAACAGTCATTAAAGAATGTTCTGACTTTTTGGTGCCCAGATCAATTTAAGTATGCAGAACTACCGTCCTATTTCAATATTGCTTATTTTTGGTAAAATTTTTACTGAAAGAGTTGCTGTTAGACTGCTTGCTAGAAATTTCAAGTTTTTTAAAAAGATATAGTTTTTGATGAAGTTATAATATCTAATGTACGTGATAATTCATTAAGTAATGTTATTACATAAGAAAATGACGGTTTGTAATGCTCAGTCGAATGAAATGGTTATCTAAGGGTCCCCTTATACCTAATATTGACAGTGTCCACTTCACTTCTAAATTTTATTTTTTTCATATAAGTAAGGAGGAGATTTATTCGCCAATATCTTAGAAAATAAGTAAATATCTTCGATTCACTCCATACACTGATTGATATATCAAATGCGTTCGACTGTGTCAATCATAGTTTGTTATTGCAAAAGTTTTCTACTATCGGTTTGTCAAAGTGCGTCATATCTTGTTTCGAATCGTATTTTACTGATTCCCGTCAAAGAAGTCAGCGTAGATGGTAGTACCTCTTCTTTTTTTACTTCAGCGTCACGGTGTCCCGCAAGGATCGGTTTTGGGGCCGCTCCTTTTCCTCGTTTATATAAATGATAACATCGTTTGAGAAATCCAGCAGGATGAAGATTGACGATAATAACGTTTTACGTAAATAATAAATAACACAAACACGAGACCAAGAAACCAGTAAAAGAAATAATGTCAGCTGCTTAATCTTTCCAAAATATTAATGAAAGCCTCGATTTTTTACCGTTAATCGGGTTTTTGCCATTTCTGGCCATAAAACAATTCAAAGGAGCGACTATTTTCAAAACACCCGGTATACGTTTAGGGTTTATTTTGCAATGCCTCGAGTCGTACGATTACGACGCCGGCGACGTCATCGACGCCATATTGGAGGGAAATTTGCCGCCGCACCTGTCCGAAATTCCGTTCGATCAGATCCGGATTCCGCCGGAACCGGAACCCGAGAAGCCGGTACTCGCTTACAAGGGAAAGAAACCCGGATACGATGACGCCCTTAAACTGTTAAACGACAAGTCGGACATCAAAGCGACGAAAACGCTCGTATTGGAGGGAGTGTAAATTTTTTAATTATTTTATTATTGTTGTTATTATTATTATTTATTTTTTCATTTTAAGCAGGCATGAATCGTCAAAAAATAGGAAATATTTTAAAGCTTTTTTTTTTTTGCTAAGTGAATATTGAAAATTGGCTTTTTATAGGCATAATCCCCTAGAACCAAATGTAATTTACGTACTAAAAGAAAAAAAAAGGCACGATTGGTCGAAGTGTCGACTTGATGGTGTTTTAAATTATAGTTAAATAGGTATAATTTTAATAAAACATCCAAAAATGCGTCAAATATTCAAAAAAAAAACCTTCATAACCAAATCTAATTTTGCAATTCCTTTTTCGGACAACCTGTACGTTAGAATGATGGATATGTCTTGAGTTATCAATTGCAAGTAGAGATGATACGTCCGTCCTTTTTTTTAAAGCTTGTGCCTTTATTCAGTGACAAAGTCGATATAAAAATAAAACTTGTTAGATACTCCACAAAGTTGGGGATCTCTTGGAAAAATACTCCACCAACAGACGATATACAGGATGTTCTCTAATTGAATGTCAATCATTAAGGGGACAGTTTTTGCTCAATTTTAAAAAGAAATATATATATATATATATATATATATATATATATATATATATATATATATATATATATATATATATATATATATATATATATATATATATATATATTAAGAACTTGAAAAGAAATTTTAAATTTAACATCTCGGTTGTCCTATGTTGGTATGACCTTTTTTTTTCATCAATTTTAAAAGTTCTACAGCGATAAATTGATGTATACAGTGAATTCAATTACGGCGACGAGTACGATGACGAGTACGACGATCGGTTCGACGACGACGTGCCTATACGGGTACCCGACAATCCGATCGACGACGAACCGACAACGTTCAATCCGAATCGTCGTCCGCAACGGGACGAATCGAGCGATAGCGGGGACGATGCCGAAGAGAACGCGGAGGAGGCGGGGACGAGTAGGGCGGGACGTTCGGGGATGAACTTCTGCGAAGACCCGGCGGTGTTGAGGGCGCGCAGGGAGGCCAACTTGAAAACCAAAAAACCCCAACCGGGCCCCCCCAAAAACAAACCCGATGTAGTGGGTGAGTTTTTTTTTTTCGCAAGAAGTCTTGTTTTTGGAAATTTTGAGTTTCTCTCTTTTCCGGATCTATTCGACCCATATAGCTATTAGATAATGTCATACAGCTACTAGCAGAGATGATTTTTTAATTTATTTAAAATCCTGTATTTTAAAATCTTTTTTTATTGAGACCAACACAAAACAAATTTTCCTCTTTTTTCTATCTCCATCCTGTTGCTTATATCTGAGTGTACAAAAGCAAAAGTGCGTTTTGTTTTGTTATTGATAGCTGTTTCGCAATTTCTGGCTCACCCTTTTGTGATGTCCGCCACTGCATTGCATATACTTTTTTTGTTATTTCATCCGAAAACATGTATACAGTTTTCGATGCATGAATCCTACGTTGCCTTTGCTATTTGTTTGTCAGATCCGCAAGATCAAATTTTATGAACCTTCATTCTTCATAATTTTTTAAAATGTACAGGGTGTGTCTGCCCTTATAATAATGATAATTGACCATAACTAGAAGGGCGTTTCAGTTTTCAGTTCAAAACTTTTCTAGCTAAGGTTTTCACATATTGTATAGGGTGTACGGGTTATTCTGTTATATTCAAAAATGTCATAAGCGGCAAATACGTAATACGAAATGTAGAAAAACAGCGTCGCTTTACTACGTTTAATTTGATTCGTTCTGTGATTATTTTTTGTCAATCTAGGAAAACCGAAGGGCCAAGGTCAAGACAAGGACGTGCTCTTAAACAGGCAGAAAAAGGCGGCAAACAAGTCAAGCAAGGCGAACCACAACCGGAAGGGCGGGGCACAGTGGAAGCGGACCCGGGGGATGATCCCCTCCTAAAATCCCGTCCCGGTCGATGTCGAATTAAAAGTTTAATTATCCCGGTGGAACGTCGAATATTAAAAGTTATTTCGCAGATTTTTGAGTTTTTATTTATTTAAAAATGATCTCTGTGACTTAAAGTTAATGCAAATTAGACCCCCTTCTTTTTTTTTAGCAGATGTATTTTTGTATAGTAAAGAAAACTTGATTTAATAGTAAACAAACACAATTTTCATAGTCATTTCCGGTTCAATATACTCTGTAGGTACATCGGATGGGTCGTACTTATCATCGGTTTCAAAAGGATCAAATGTAGCCCGTATTTGATCCAAAAACTAAGAATTAAAAAATTCTGACAAATAGATTTTGTTACAATTTTTTTTTTACTATTTACGAATTTTCTGGAGTCCTGAACTAACAACAAGATAAATAATAAACGATTCTTATTTTTAAAAAATACAACATACCATTCATAATTTTTAACAAAATTGTCTGTCAATAAGTAACAACCTTTTTTTTTAAATTAAAACCTAGAAGCTATAACATAAGTTTGTTGAAAGTGTCCTCCACCTTGAAGGATCCACGCTTCAGCTTCATATCGCCGGGTACTCTTTGAAGTATACCTCCAGTTTTTCTCTTTTAGAAGTACCAAGACTAGGGAGTCAGAGTGGAATGTTTTATCTACGAAGAAGGCTGACTAATAAATAAACCTCTTACCAAACAAATAAATAAAATTTTACACTTATGTGAATGACATAAAAAAAAAACATTTCTGCAATATCTACTTCCAGGTGTGGTAGCTCCTCTTCTAAACATATCGAATGTCTCGCTGCTCCGAAACTTGCTGTGGTAAATTCCAAAATAGGCCTCTTTTAATAAATTTACACCTATCACCTTTATTATCCTCAAATATTTGAATTGGTGTTGCTAATTCCAACGCCATTTGACCAAATTATCCTCCATAACATCCGTTTCTAATTGCTGATGTAGTAGAGTACAAAGACGTTTATACTTAATATACTACTGAATAATAATAACGATATACCTTCAATTTCAAAATCAACAACACCCAAACAAAAGTAAGACACCATAACCTCTAAATACACGTTGCCTGTCGCTACCGCTACGTATACCAATAAGTCCAAAAGCCATCTTACAATTGCCACACATTCAAAACATCACTGACCACATATCAAAAGTTCTTAAGAACTTCAAAACCACTTGTCCAAAAATCTCTCAACATCTTCAATTCGTTAAAGCCAAAATGCCGTTTTAGATACCAGGAGTTTGCAACCTTCCGGGTATATGCTTCAGATACATTACATTACAATACATACTTAAGACTACGACAAATAAAACTCATCTGCAGTTACCGAACACCGTTATTCTACCAACGAAAAAACAATCTTAACTGCGACTCGGGTCACCAAATCTTATTTTGGGATCAAATAAGGGCTACATTTGATCCCTCTGAAACAGACGATAGAAAGTACGACCTATCTGATGTACCTACAGACTATATTAAATCGGAAATGACAATGAAAATTTTATTTTGTTCATTGTGTTTGTTGGATTCATCCACAACTAGGAGAACTCCAGAAGATTTGTAAACAGTACAATCTGGCTACTACTAGTATATTTACCGAAAAATGATTTGGCAAATAAATAAAACGACCAACTTGTCTTCACTGATCAAGAGATGCCGCCAAGCAACTTGTTGTTTTAACTGAAAATCAGCGCTAGTGGTATAGAATTTGGTGAAACTAAGTGAAGTGATTACAATTGATGCCGCTGAAACGCTAATATGGAACGTCCTACTCCACCCGCCGTACTCTCCAGATGTTGCACTTAGTGATTACCATTTGCTTTTCAAAACATATTCCACTTAGACTGTTCTTGTTTATTGCCTTAACCCATATTATCCCAAGCATAAAAAAAATAAAAATATACTATTCTTTCCTCTGAAATTATTTTGTTGTGCTTAAGAATACATTGCATGTGTCAAAAAAAAAACGAAAAATACTGGTGCGTAAACGAACCGCTGGGAAAAAACAATAAGTAATGTTTTGGTTAGTTGTTGTTAGATATAACCTATAATTTATACATGAATATACGAAAGAGAGTTCAAATTCGGCAGAAAACAACTAAAAGTAGAATGTTTTCCAAATAAAACCTGATGAGCACACCACTGGTAACATCCGGTTTCATTTTTGGTGATATTTTACAAAGCATGAAGTATGTAAATGCACAGTACACTTATTACAAACGTAAATTGTGTGGCTGCGGCAGACTCTACATCTCCTTCGGGCTTTATTAGCATGAACAATCATGAGGTGACCTTGATTATCATAACGCACTGCATCTATGGCAGGTGCAAGATTTCTTTGAGTAATTGTTTTATCAGTTTTTAAATTCAAATCAATCACTTCGTCATCAAAAAACAAAAAATATTTCAAGCGTAGTTTTTCCAGAAAGTCTATTTTTTAGTTCCTCACATTATCTAAATTCATATAGAATATAGACCGCGTCAATATGTTTTGTAAATGTTTTTTCACGTTATTTTTAGCATAAATTTACAGGAAATGGAATGCTACAATACGTAAGAATACGTATATCCAACGACTTTCATCGTTATTGTCCTCATCCATCACGATCTCCTCCATAGCCGCCTCTAAAGAACACGCTAATCGTTGGATGTTTATTCAACACACGCTGACTTGTCTAGACTTGCAATAACAAAGTTTTGTTTCATCGCTAGTTTGGTGCATTCACGCACCAGTAAATATTTTCAAAAAATAAAACATAATCAATATAGTATTTCATACATACCGCACGGGTTTGAGAGCAACCGGATGTTTTCGGAGATATTTCCCACGCTTTGAATTTTGACGTTTGTCAATTCTGACGATCACGTCAGTGAATGTATTCGTGTTTTGCGAAAATGTACCCAAAAACTAACGGTCGTAGAAAGAGTATAGTATGCAACATGTTCCGTAAACTTTTTAACTCACTTGTTGCATAATATACTATAATTGGTACTTTTCGTCTCTTCTCTGGCATAATTTTGCTGCGTTAGTTGTTTTTTTTTTTCACGTCACAGATGAAAAAAAATGCGTTTCGAATCGACTATCTTCATTCATTACAATAATACAATATAATAAAATAATTAAAATTAAAATACGCTTAAATTTTAATACGGGCCGCTACGGAGATGGCACACCGGGGCCCCCGGCAAAAAAATGGCGACCAAAAGAAAATCACAGTCTTTAGCTCCGGCTCAGTTCCGGGATCGAGATCACTCCAAGACCTACGCCGCCCTCGTGAGCTATCATATCAGCGGCGTATCTCCATTCGTTGTACTTGGGGTCGTACACCTCCACCGTTACGAGGTTGGAAATGCCGTCGTAACCGCCGACAGCCCAGAGTTTGCCCATATTTGAGGTTAAGGCCACTCGACTTCTCTGTGCGGTCATAGGCGCGACGTACGTCCATTTGTTAGCGCTCGGCTCAAATACCTCGACGGTTTGGAGGAACGAGCTGCCGTCGTAGCCGCCGCAAGCGTATAATTTGCCGCCGAGCATGGCGACTCCCAGTCGACACCTAAAAAGACCACGTGATCTTTTGAGCCCACCCCGTATAAAGATCCTTTCGAAAGGTTTAAAATCCAGTCAGAGCAATCGGGCAGTACGTCATAGCATGAGCATCTTCTTCTTCACTTTTCCATAACGTGGGAATGTCAACTAAGGACATTCGCCGATTACCTTCCAGGGTTTGCACGATATTTTTATCTGGTTGGGCGGTTGGTTCAAGAGTACATTGGACACTTGCAAGAGGGAAGGGGGGTGAAACTTTAGTTGTATTCGGTAATTTTATTTTCAAAATTGTAGAAAAACCTTGCATATAAAATTTTAGGCTCTTTGACTTTTTAGAGGAGGGATGTACTCAATGTAAGTATTTACTGTCACACACAACCACAACTTCTGTATGGATTTCAAGACCACTTTTACCTATTATAGATATGCAAACTCTATTTTAAATAGTAAAATAATACAACAAAACGTGTATTCTTATCATTTTTCAACCAGATATATCGCTTCCTTAATATGATGACTCATAGTTGTGATATAGGTGTTGCTTTAAATCAAGCAGTCCGATTGTTATGACGCAATGATGCAAAGTTGTTACTTACCGTTTGGTGAGCATAGGGGGCGCCTCCGTCCACGTGTCCGTCGCCGGATTGTACCGTTCGACCGAATTGAATATGGAGAGGCCGTCGTGGCCTCCCAGCACGTAGATGTAACCCTGGAAGGCGATAACCGCGCCCGCGCTTCTCGATTTGTTCATCGGCGCCAGCGAGCACCAGCTGTTACTCGCTGGATGATAACGTTCGACGGAGTTGAGTGACGTCACGCCGTCGTAGCCGCCGCACACGTAGATGAGGTCGCCGAGGGCGGTGGCGCCCAGCGCGCTGCCAAAACGTTCTTTTATTTATTTATCTGCTTACAAACGCCACAGGTATAACAGAACCTGATTATCCGCAGTTACTTGTCAATAAAATATCAATCACAGTGTGCCTTGTAAAAACTTTGCCCGGTTGTGATATATCAACAGTTATGGTTGTAGCATATAGCTATAAGATAATATAGTGGCCCTACTACCGTAAAAAGTGATGCGCCGCAGGTGGCTATGACATTTACGTGGAGAAGGTGTGGATCTTTTGCGCATGCGTCACCCCCAAGTAACCGAATTGTCACATTGCTCTAATTTTTATGAAAAAATTGACTAATTTTCAAAACACTATTCTATTGAGGCTAAGGAAGTTATAAACAATGTTTATTTGACTCTCATTGAACGTGGTGCCAGCAAGCAAGCATCTTTAGAAGAAACGGCCCATTTCAGCGAGGAAAAAAAGAAGCGATGCTGACATTTTCTCGTGTGTAGATGAAAGTGATCACGATATAATAGGGCGTAAAATTTACCAGTTATACGAGGAACAAAGCGTGCCTACATTAGATATATTAATTAATTAATTTTACTAGAATTTTTTTTCTGTTACTGTTTTTGTAAGGCCTCGGGGCCACTTTGTTGTTAACTCTTTAGAGGTCTGAAATAAATTGTTATCACTTCTGGCCAATCATTAATAACACAACATAATACAACTATCTAAGTACTTTTTATAAATTAATAATTTTAAGAAAAATTTTTTTAATTTCTCAAAACAAATAACCGATACCGGTGTCCCGCGCCCACCTACCTGCGTTTGCAAATCATCGGGGCGACGATGTTCCACTCCTTCTTGATCGCGTCATACACCTCGACGCTGGAAAGTCGACTGTCTTTGCCGTTGTAGCCACCGAAAGCGTAAAGCTTGTGCTTGACGACGGCCACGCCCAATCGCGACCTCATCATCGACATGGGCGGCGCGTTGTGCCATTTTCCCGACTTCGGGTCGTAGTATTCGACGGTCGACACCGAATCGCCCAGCCTGTTCAATCCTCCCACCACGTAGATGTGACCTTGGACGTCGCACACGCGCGGCTCCACCCTGAAGCTTTGGATCAGGCTGCGTCGTTCGGGGATCAGATGGAAGGTGAGGGCCTCGTCGACCAGGTCTCGACACTGTATCGAGTACCTGATTTGCTCCTCGTTCCTCACCCGGTCCGTTATGTATAGGGGCGACAGGAGCGGCAACCTTACCAAAGACAACAACTCGGGCAGGTGTTCCTTTCGCTTCTTTATTTCGTGCTTTATCCAGCGCATGCACGCCTCGAACACCTGCTCCTCGCTGTAAACCGACGGGTTTTTGCGAGCGACGTTCAACGATTGAGGTTATGTTCAGAGGAGATCAAAGATCAGAGGCGCAACGCACAAAGCGGAGACCAAAGAAAACAACACCATTTTACACCCGTAGAACAAAAGGTAAGGTAAGTTGGTATGTTGTTTTAGTTTCGCAATAGTTTTCAAACACCGTTTTTGTTTTGCAACTAAAAAATGACACGATTAAGTTAGAAGAAAAATGTTCAGATTTTCCGTTTCGGCTGTTTCGGCAACAACAAATGGAAGCAGTCAGTCATTTCAAACTTTTATTATCATAAATTTTGCAACAGATTTGTCAATTTGACTAATACTGCATTTTCGGAGAATGACTCCGGATTACTAGAAAAGGGTTTCAACTTTAATTTACGTTAAGGGGTTAAATTATTTAGGACTTGACTGCGAGCTCTCTCTTTCTCAACTTCCAGTAGTAAATTTCAGGATCTTTCACATATGTCTATGGTAGAATCAATTAAAAATAAGGCTTCCAAAAATTATATAGTATTTACAAGAGCAGCTACAGGGATGGTCATAGCTATCGATTCTCTGGGATATATTACAAAAACTAGACAGTTTCTTAAACCAGACATATACTAAAGTATACAATACGATCCCACCAAATTATATCAAAAATAAATCAAAACTGTAATACAGATTCATCACTTTTTAAGGGCAGGGAAAAGTACCATCTAATAACTATGAATCCTCAACCTCCAAAATTATATTCTCAAATTACCTTTAAACCTAGATATGTTATCAAAAATTCGTTCGAACTAACTAACGAGGTTAAAGGTATTGAAATTTTTAATCCTACAAAAGGATTAATTATGGGAAACCCACTTAGTCCACTAATTGCAGAAATTTTCATAGACGATGTAGAAAATAATAAAAATCATCTGAATAAACGATTTCTATACGTAGATAATGTTTTTGCTCCTTTTACTGAAACGGAAAGACAACAGCAGTCCTTTTCGAATCATATTTACCATTAACCCGAACACACAGGGCACCCTAATACATAATAACTGAAATCCCCACCCACACAAAATGGCTGCCTTCTATCTACCAGTTCCCACACAAATTTTTGAAAAAGAATTAAATATTATAAAACAAATAGTTTTTAACAATGGTTATGACCCTTCTTTGATAGTAGACACGGAACTCAAAATTTATGAAATAAAAAAACATATAGGAGAACCTAGCAAAAAGATTTGGTCTTAAGATTGCTGTTAAAACGGACGACACCATAGGAAAAACTGAAAAATACGAAGCCTACAAGTTGAAATGTGGATCATGTCCAAAAATTATATTGGACAAATGAACATAAAAGAGCGTATAAAAATAAAAGTTCGGAATCGGATGCCATTCATATAAAATTCGTTTGACGATAATTTTGATACCTTACATAATAAGTTATAAAAAACCCTACAATTAATTAAGAATTAAGAATCTATTACTAGCTGTTTAAGTATAAAGCAATTTTTGGTCATTTAAATTTTTAAAGCAAAGAAACAGTCCCGTACAAATGTTACATTTGAAATCTAACCCCATCATTCTCTCCCATTTTTGTCCTGGCTATGAGCAAACTACTCTGTGCAAGTGATAGTGCCTCATGCCAAGTGTCACCATGAGGAATGAGAATCGTATCATAAGCAAAGAATACGATTATGATCCCTGTAATTAGCAACACCATTTCATTGATGCGAAACAAAAAAAGTACTAGACCAAGCACAGCGGTTCACTCTAAAATGCTACTTTCTATCTAATCGGTGGCTAATAAAAACTGCCAACTGCCAATATCCCCCCCGAACCCCAATACCCATTAAGGATGTCAGGGTTTTTGGCATGGTCAAGTCTAAAAAGACACCATTACAATTTTTGTCCAAGTCCAAATTGTTTGAAATTTTTTGTATTAGTGCAAACATTGCTTCAAATGACCTTTTCCCTTTTTGAAAGCCATACTAATGGTTACGGAGAATTTTTTTCCGCACTTTTCAAATATATAGTTTTTGATTTTAAACTCGTCACCAGATATGTAGATGGGAATTACGACAGCAGTTATAAACTGGGTTGGAACAACTCTTAAGCTAAATATTATATTTATCTAATGCTTTAATGGAGATAAAATATGCCGATGATTATTCTTAATTAAAATGACAGGTATATTATCAATTCCTGGTGCCTGAACCAAAACAATGCTTTATTAGAGCATTTCTCGCATACTTTTCATTACATTTATCATATTATTTACCAGTATTAATAATCATGCTGTAATTAAACATGTCCGTGTCATTTCTAAACATTTTGTTGTTTTATGCTAGTATGTACTGTCTCAGTTTTATCTTTGTTTACATTAGTAGCTTCAGAAATGTCGGTTTTACCGAATCTTTTAATAATCTCGGTATAATAATCATTCTTCAATTTTTTTACAAGTTTTTTTAGGTTATTTCTATATGTTTTATGATTCCGAACCTTAATATTTCCTTTATTACTTAAAACATTTTTTTTATTTATCGCGGATTTTCATAGAAGAAATCAATCCTTGAGTAATTCACCGCAGTTCCAAAAAAGAAAAACAGACTTATTACTAAACCCTCTCAACAAATTCTAGAAAAAATTACAATTCACGCTTGAGAACCAAAATATTATCAATTTTTTGGACTTATCCCTACATCTCATAAAAAATAAGATAAGAACAAGTTGGTATACTAAAAAAACAAAATCATCACGTTATCTAAATTTTAAATCAAATCATCCCCTACCCCAAAAAAAAATCCGTCATAATAGGTCTCCCAGACAGCAATAATGTTATCCGATCCAGAATATAGATCAGACGCATTTGAAAAAGCAAAACGCGCACTTCTAGAAAATAATTATCACAAAAACTTAATTAATCTTTAGTAAACGTACCAACAAATTTTATAATAACGTAAACAAAAACCACAATCAAAATCCCCAAAGCAAATATTTATCGCTACCATATGTTCCTGAGTTATCAGAAACACTCCAAACCATTTTCAAGGAACACGAAATTCAAACAAACGTCAAAGCAAAAATTGCAGTGAAAAAAAGAAGTAATATAGTATATGAAATTATATGTCCCACAAACAAGTATTTAAAAATAGAATCAACGGACCTAAGTATGACAAAAAGAAATAAAACAGCTCTTCACACTCATTGTGACAACACCAGACACACATTTAATTTTCAGAAAGTTAAAATCCTACTAACAGAACCTAACACGAAAAAAAGAGAACTTTATAAAAGCGTCTTTATCAAATTTGATAAAGACACGGTGTTGTCGAAACAATTGTCATGTCAAAATATATAATTTCGTGAAAATCTGAACTTTTAGTTCTCATTTATTTTGAAAAATGGATTTCCATCAAGTAACAGCCACCTCAGTTCAATTTTATGAAAGTATAGAAATCCAAAAAAACAAAGAATCAAATAATTACAAAACCGATTCTAAAAGCCTTAACAAAATATATCATTCAATTTTACACTAACAACACTAACAAAATTAAATTATCCAATATATTTGCTAATAAAAAACATCCGTACTTGCTTTGAATGCCATTCCAATCCGCTGACAAATTATGTTTATTTTAAATATGTAATATATTAACACAACCTCAAATGTCATCCATTTTGTATAAATGTCACTTTGACAAAATTAGAATATTTTGAAAAAGATCGAAATTACGATCGAAACGTTAATAGATATTTAAAGGAATCACGTTATTTCCATTCAAGACCGAATGCCCAAGAGAATTTGAAGAAAAAAAAGAATATATGTATAGATATCCCACGGTGTTCCAGAAACAGCTGTCATAAACTGTTTATGGTCTAATTTAATTGTGATTCGTCAAGTAAAAGCCAAGATCAATTCTAAAAAATCACAGATGACAATATTTCTGCTCGCTATTTATGGGCCAGCCACAACTGCTGCCAGATCTTACCCCCTTTGATTTGTTTGTAGCCTTTCTTTGAAATTTTAGTTAACACTGCAAAACATATACTTCGATGGTCAACCCACAAAGGTAATCTCCTTAGGACATAACCGCACCCATTAGCTACTGCACCTGTCGACGCGTAGTTCGTTCTTGTAGAGCAGTGTCTTGATCTCGGCACAGGTGAGGTTGAGGAATTCCTCTTGTTGGGCCACCTCGTGAAAGTAGGACTCGATGTAGCGCTCGGCTGATTCCGCGAGGGCGGAGCACCCCAGCGAATCTGCAAACTGGCGAAACCCCAACGCATTTTGGGGATGTATCCTGCCAAAAACAGGATTTTCGGTGTATGCAGGGTCGCGCTACCCGCTAAGCGTTACCTTTGCAACAGGTAATTGGCACACGCATCCCTGACCTTGCCGAGCTGCAAGTATGACGCGCCTATCATAATGCTCTGCACATTGTTCTTGTTGAGCGTGACCTTGCCCGAGTAGGCGAAGTTTACGAGAGATTCGAGAGCCCTGCGAAACGCCGCATTGGGATTTTGGGGTTAACTCGACGAAATTGTTGTCAAATTTGGGGTTACTCAGTAATTGGCGGCAGTGGAAGCAAGTTTTCAATTTTGCTATATTAATTTTGACGTTTTGTAAATTAGGTAAACCTATCCCTATGTAAAAAAGGACTGAAGCGAAGTTGTTTGTTGTTTCTGTTTTGTTTGGCTAGTTTAGATATAAATAAATACCTTATTTGTAAATTTTTCAAAGAAACTCTGTTGAACTTGTAGCTACACTCCTACCATGTCACACAATGTTAAAACATTTGCAGTCAAATACCAAAGAGATGTAAAGAAGCAGCACATTTTGAAAATACATATAATGCCACGAACTGATGATTGTTAAAATCAAAGATATTTAATCCGTTCAATTCATTCATTAGTGTTTGGGGTTTATTATTGAGTTTACTTTACTTGCCACTTGCTTTGGCTCGCTTACATTGCATCAATACACTTAATTTCGATCTCCTTATTCCTAGATTCCACCATGTCGTTCATAAACATGGCATTAAAATAGGGAATGGTGGCAGCCAAGACGATTTTATGGGCGCTGAAATGTTGTCCGTCGACCTAGAAATTAGCAATAGTGACTCTCACGAACTAGAAGGAAAATAGGAGAAGGCGAACTTTTAAAACGACATCGCACAGCTTCCCTTGCCGTCTGATATCGGCCATCAACGGGAACGCCGAAGGAAACAGGTCGTTTTGCTGGAACACTGAATGGTCGTTGTTCATTTCTAAAACGTTTCTGGTTGTCGACGATTCCCCTAAACTGTATTCCTCGTCGCTGTGCGTCTCGTACTTTATTTTCCAATCCATCCTATTTCAATTGATACAACTTTAGCAATTATTATGATTGTTGTTGATCGACTGTCAACCCCGGAATAAGAGTTGTCAAGAAATTGGTCGTGACGCGCAGAGTATTAAAGTAGGAAACTATAGAATCACAGAAACAATCCACACACAACTCGTTTCCCATATTGTTGGGAAATACTGCCGCAGAGCGTTACGCCTGTCTGTCTGTTGAATTGACGAACTGTCAGCGGCCATGTTGATTGTTGACGTTGAATGCGCATATCGGCCATCTCCATATTTTTTTCATTGTGGGTTCAAAAATTCGTGCATTAGACTAAATAGAGTTTCCTCTTTAGGAGTTATATATACCAAAACTGAAACTGAACCTATAGCACTTGCCAATTTGAAATTGCAGTGGACATATTTCCGACAAATCTTGTTGTACAAGCGCGCGCGTTCAAGCGGCACCCAGGAAATGCAATAGCGCACACAGTACCCTCGTAAATCATGGGACTCCCCCTTTTATTTTTTCTACCATTGTATAAAGCAAAATGTCTAATTTTTGGAGAACGACGAACGGGGACTGGTACACGGGGCGCCAAAAAAAACACACACACAAAGAGCCAACGTTCCGACAATATTTAATATTTTCCTATATCACAAAAAAATCATCAACGTCACGGAGAAACACAACTCAATCGCACCTAAATCTACGCGGTAAGAAAAATATTATCTCGCACGGCAACTAGGACAGGGTTTACTCGGAAAAATCCCTAGAACAAACTAACCACATGTAATAGAAAAAACAACAGTCCGACGAGAACATAGGAAACAAACGACGACCTAACCGTCGTCCTCGTTGGATCTGCGGTTTCGCGCACGCGCGCCTCTCCTGATCTGATTCAGGCAGGCCAACATCCGAATCATAAAGGTCGCGGGCACCGTTATGGTATCCCTGGTCTCCTCCAGCATGATCGCGTTGCGATTTATTAACTGGAAGTTAAAAAAAAAAAAACGGTGGTTTCGTGGCAAAAATCGGGACGTTTCGAGCTTACATCGTCGGCCAGCGACTTGTCGAATCCGCACTCGTCCAGCTGGGGCGCCCATAACTTGACGTCGTGGTCGATGCCGCTCGTCGCCAGTATCGGCAAAAAGGGGTGTGGTCTCAGACAATTCACCACGTGCTGGTCGGCCTGAAGGAGCATCCTCAGTTCGGCGGTGTGCCTATCCCATATGAACACGTGACCGCAGTCCGAACCGGACATCACGTGATCTCGACCCCAGAACGTCGCCTCTTTGATCATCGTCCTAAGAAGGGGCGGGGCAATTACCGCAAACGGTGGGCCGGTGGAAGGAGTTTACCTCGCGTTTCGGTGGCCTCTGTACTGCCTTTTAAACTCCGCCTCGTAGCTATGTTTCTCTTCCGTCTTGTCGGAGGCGGGTTCGGACGATACCACGCAGCCAGTATAGTCAGGGTAGTCTAGCTCCACGTCGGACATCTAAATTTTTATCGGTGAAAATGGTGAAATTTATGAGAGGCAAAGAATATCAAAAGTAGGTGGGCCTTTTTAACATTATTGTAATATTCGATTAATTTTGAACAGATAAGGTCAAGATCTTAAGTTAGACTTCGTCGTCTGAGATTGCGTGCATAGAAATCGGCCCCTTTTGACTTCAATTTTATTATTTTTTTTTTTTAGAAAAGCATAACAAAACAACAACTTAGATAACAAGCTTTTTAAAGAACCATATAAAACATATAAAAACACAAAAACAGTAAACAAACGATATCATACTAGTTACAACTACAAACACCTGTTTCAATTTTGTCAATAGTCGAAGACCGCCAGCAAAGGGATCAAGAGAGCAACTGTTAAATAACCCCAAGGTTCCAGGTAAAGGGGAAAAATAGCCATAGTTGGCGTGATGAAATGGAATTCAAAACATTCGGGAGCTCTGACGACTTTGATAGATGTTAAAATCAATGGACTGGAGGAGAGCAGAACAGTTATATACACTATTTTCCAGACTATCTATCCAAATACCAGAACATAATTAATGTGAAAGTTATTGTATACCCGCTCTATATGCTAGGGATCTCAGAAATGCCCTCTGAGCAGTCTCCAATCTATCAATATGACATCTGTAATGTGGAGACCACACTACGGATGCATACTCCAGTGTAGATCTAACTAAGGGGCAATAAAGGGTTTTAAAACAGTTGAATGAGAGCAGTGTACTATTGCGGGTAATAAAACCCAGACCTCTCATGGCCTTGTTAACAATATCCTCCAGCTGATCCAACAAGCTCAGTTTACTGTCAAAGATGACTCCAAGGTCCCTAACTTTGGTGACACACTCTATCGTTGTATTGTTAGTAATATATCTATTTTGAAGGGTGTTAGTTAAGCGAGAAAAAGTAATACTAAAACACTTTCCAACATTTAGATACAGACCATTTTCTCTGCACCACGAACTAACATTATTAAGGTCGCTCTGAAGAAGCTGAGCGTCTATAAATGATCCAATTGTTTTGTAAAATTTAAAATCATCTGCAAAGGCAAGATGTTCAGAATAAAGAACCGCATCACTCAGATCTCTTATAAACAAATTAAAGAAAACTGGATCTATGTGTGAACCCTGAGGTACACTCGAGTGCACCACAATTTCGCTAGAAATATAATTATTGATTCGGACGTGCTGTTAAAAAGCTGTGACAAAATTCAACCAGAGTACCCCGCAATTACACTTATCCCACAATTAGAAACTCAACACTTATTTTTTAATAATGGGTACGACCCCTTCTTGCCCTAATAACATCACTTTCTCGATTAGGCATAGATCTAATCAAATTCGCTATTGTTTATTGTGGAATGTTAAGCCACTCTTCCTCTACTGCAACAATAAGCTCTGGGATCGAGGTTAGGGTACGAAGTCTGGCTCGGATTCTCCGTTTTAGCTCATCCCATAAATGTTCGATCGGACTGAGGTCGGGACCGACCACTCCGTCATTCGAAAACCGACTTATGTAATTATGTGTAATCTTGCAGGATCCTTGCGGTGTGCGTATTATCATTGTTGTGCATAAAAATGAATTCTTCTCCAATACAGTCGACAAATGGTACCACGTGATCTGATAAAATATCCTCGATGCACCTAGCAACCTCCATAGAAATTGCACCCCATATCATACAGGAACCACCTCGACAAAGGCTGCGCTCTTCAATGCAAATTGCTCTCCTGGTCTTAGGTACACTTTTTTTTTTAATAGAAGGGGGCCTAAATTGCTGCCTTGAGGAACACCGGACGTTGCAACATATTCTACTTGACTACTTGAGTCCACGAAATATAACATACTGGCGCCGAATTATGTAGTGACTAGGAAATAAATCGTTACTGTAAATTGAGTTGTTAAGCCACGTTTCCATTAAAGCTACGATCTGACAATCATTCGACGAAACGGCATTAAAATATTCGACAGTTTTAGACCGCAAGCTTCTAGTATTCTGATAACAAATGGATATACTTTTGTCAGTACATTTATTATTTTCACGAACTTTGGTGCTCATACCAAGGGAAGACCGAGATGAAGCCGATATATATATATATATATATATATATATATATATATATATATATATATATATATATATATATATATATATATATATATATATATATATATATATATATATATATATAGAAAAAAAAACTAGTCAAAAATTTACAGTGGGCCGATTTTCATGCACGCAAGTTGATATTAGTTTATATTAAGTAATTTTGTCCAAACTTTGTGCAATAATTTAAAATATTTCAAGACTATTATTATTATTATTAGCAATAATTAGTAATTGCCTTTGATTGTGAAAGTGGTGGTCATGTATTTCTTGTTTCGGTTTGCATTTTAAAGTATTAAAAAATATTTTGGTATTGTGGAACAAAATAAACTCCTGGACAAACTTAACGCAACGTCATACATTTGTCACTTTTTTGATGCTATTTTTTTTTCTGAATTTATGATTTTTTTTGCATTGCATTCATAGTTTTCGCCGATAACGATAAAAAGTTCATTTTCGATTAATGCCGGGTGTAACAATAATGTTGTTTTTTGTTTTGCATATTTGATACGAAATAGCTGTATGAAAACCACTTTCAAAATCAAAGGCCATTTCATTTTTATAGAAGCATTTTTTTCAAAACAAGATTACGATTACCAATTCACTGGGCGCTTCCTCCGTCGTAGGCCGAAGTTCCCCGGTGTCGCCCGACGTCGAAGCGGCTCCGCCATCGACCCCGAACCGATTGTGGTTCACCCGCAAACTGATCGTCGAATTCGACATGCTCTGCTGCGAGTATCTGCAAAACCACGCCCCCCGGTTCACACCCACCCGACGACCACGTCACTCAAACCCAACCTAAAGCTGACCGATGGTTCAGCGCCGTGCTGATTAATGAAACCCTCCCGAAGGTTCCTCAGGACCGTCAGGTGAGTGTGGAGGTGACTCGTCACCGAAGCCCCGCCCCCGGCGCGAACCTCGGGCGCCGATTCTTGGTGCGGCGTTGCCGGTTCCGACGATGACGTTTGAACGCTGGAAAATCAACCCTTCCAAGTATCGGTCAACCGAAACACGGAGGGATGTTTCACTTAAAACCTTGGCCAAAAATAACAAATCGAAATTCAATGTATAGGCCAATATATCCTTAGGCATTCATATAAAAAAAAAAATTGACGTCAACCTCAAGAATAGTTTATTTTACTCACAGACTGAGCTTTCAATTTTTAGGTCAAGCACAAGCTGCAAGTGTGATCAAAGATGTGACCTTTACAATGCCTTAGCGAGCTTCAAAATATATAAAAGCATTATCCATGATAATGGATGCCAAACTAACAACCCATCAATATAACATTGTTCAATCAAAAGACAAAGATAAATTTAAATGCTATTCATAAATACAAAATGCGAAAATGAAATGCTACCCAGGTCAGGATTCCTAGTACTGGAATAAATGAGGAAGTCATCATAAGATCTCATTGCCCTACAAACTATAGCGGGTGGATGCGAATCGACGAAGACAAGTTTGGCCTGTAGTAACACAACATATTAAGTTTAAGACAATTTAGTTTCTTCAAGATGAAAGGCATAGATGATGCTATAACTTTACTTAGCAAATTTATTTATGAAAACTTAAGTGTTGGCCTACCAACAGTTGTGACTTTGGTAGACTACACAAAAGGGTAATGGCATTAGAAGTCAGCAAGTTAAAACAAATGTTGGAGTGCCTCAGGGCTCAATACTTGGACCAGTATTGTTCATCTTATTTACAAATGACTTATTGGTTTTGAAAGATACCTTAATAGGTTTGCAGTATGAAGCGAACTTTCTGGATATTATATACTCCTGACTCTATCAAAATAAACCGGTACTGAACACAGACAAGTCTGTGTTCAGTACCACTATAGAGACTGTTCCACAGGATTTTGAAATCAAGTTTAATGGTGTGAGCCTGAAAAGAGTTATAATATAAAATGGGATGTTCACGTGGCTAACACAGTGAAAAAACCAGAAGTTTGTTTTTATAGACTCAAGGACTAAAGCTAACTAACTCAACTAACAATAAAGCAGTTATTACAAATTTGGAAAGATGAAAGATGCAGATAGACCACTGAGTATCAAACAAGCGTTTTGTGGTGAATTCTATAGTGTATCAATATGGTGAATTAAACAATGAATATATCCAATATTAAATGAACACTCGTAATAAGAGTATTATTTTACCGCGACACCAATTGGCTATTGGACAAAGAAACGAAACGATGGGATAAGATATTTTAATGAATTGCCTAATAAACTCAAAAATCTCAATGTCGACAAAAATGTGCTTAAAAAAAGTAAAAAGATTTTCTATGTAAATGGAATTTTTTGCCAATAAATATGTTCGCGATATCTTTTGTATGACTGCCAAAAAGTCACCTATGTTGAGTCACACAATAACGCGTTTTACCACAAACCGGAACTCAATTTTAAGTACTCGACGCGCGTTTCGCCAACCAAGTTGGCATCTTCAGTACACTGAAGAGTCGAATAATGTTCCAATACACAAGTGCTTTGAGTTTTGGGGAGATTTTTATTCAGGGTTGATACACTTACAACAGATTCGAACGAATATAATGAGTCAACAAGTATATTACTGAATTTTCGAATTGTACGGTGAAACATCAGAAGTGGGATCGCTACCAAATTCAATAATTTTACCCTTTCTTCTCGTTAAACTATTACTTTTTTTAGACTTATTGTTGCGTTATAATAAGTCAAACTTTAAATAGTTGCATTCCAGCAGCGTTACGGCTACGCAAGAACGAACGGCAGTACGACGTACACCGAAGAACCGAAAGCAACCAATAACGCAATACACAAGTGCTTTGGGTTTTGGGGAGAGTTTTATTAAGGGTTGACACCCTTACGCCCACCCTTAAATTAACATCAGAAGTGGGATAGTTCCGGGTCCAGTTTGGCAAAAGCAATCAATTAATAGATCAATCGATCAATTAATTAATTAATTGTTAGTGAAAATAATGTGTCCTGAAAATAGCGGAAGACAATTGCAGAAACGGTGCCGCGCTGAATCTTACAACAGAAGTCTATTCCTGAATTTTCGAAAGGTACGGTGCAACATCAGAAGTGGGATCGCCACCAAATTCAATAATTTTACACTTTTCCTTTTCCTATTCGTTTTTTTAACTTGTTGTAGGTTTGTAAGTCAGCATTTACAAAAATTTACTTGAATATTCGTTTTTTTGAAAGAGGCTGCATTGAAAAAACTCCTTGGAGATGTTATTGACCGGGTTTTCAGTTTGAATACCACACCGTGCGTCGCCGCAAAAGCACTCACGCCGCCTCCTGATCCGAACCGCCGCTCGGTTGACCGTCATCCGTTTCCATGCTGCCGCCTGCGCCTTCCTGAAGGCTGGCGGTCCCGCCCTCTCTCGCCTCGAGCATGCGCTGAGCGTTCTCGTCGGGATCGACGGAGTCTTCGCCGCCAGCGGAGAGCGCCGCCCTAGTCATGGGATCGTTGAGCATCCGCGACAACACGTCGGTCATGCGTTGCATCAGCGTGGCCTGAAGCTGGGGCCTCGCCTGACCGATGCTGACCGTCGACGTCGCGTCTCGTTCGGGACGAGCGTCCGGACCGGTATCCGACCAATCGCCCCTCAGCCTCAATCTTCTTACCGGGGGCGGAGACAAACGCTCGCGTTTGCCCGTAGCTGCTTTGATCTTGTCCCAAGGCGAGACTTTCCGCGATACCGGTGCGGCAGGCGCCTTGAACTTGATCGAGTCGTTCTCCTTTAACGGAAAGGGGAGTAAATTGGACATTTTTTTATGGCGATCGCGCCTTAGTAACCTTTTCCCATCTGTTTGCGGACTTCTTTATTATCATAATTACAACAAATAAATGCGCACCGTATAGTCTGTCTTAACCTTCATGGTGCTGGCTTTTGCCCGCAATTATGAAAGTTAAAGTCCGTTCATAGATATAAGAAAGTGACTAACTGATGCGAATTAAGGAAAGACAGGGCAAGCAGTAAGAATGAAATACGGCCGAACAGGTCCGTACTTTGCTTAGAATTTAATTATTTGGGGCTTTGTTAGGAAAGATACTAAATAATATTTCTTTATTTATGTATGTATTTATGTTTAAATCTAAAATAAAATTACAAATTGTTTTTATTACCTACTTAAATTACTTAAAATTATTCACATAATATATCAGTATCAGTATCGCTACCAACGCCTGTTCTAATTATTATCTGTTCTATATTATTTGCAATATGGATACGATTGTTCTGCTTTTTCTGTATGTTTAACAGAATTTTCCCAACTTTGTGGAGGGGTGTTAAAAACTTCGGTTTCTATAAGTTTGAGGATATTGGAGCTTTTTGGTATAATCTTCGTGAAAATAAATGTCGCTTTTGTGTGACATGAGGAAGGGGTTTTAGTCAACTGTCTATTGTGATAACTTGCATTGTCCATTACAATTACGCTATTAGGAGGAATGTTGTGAACTAGTTAGTTTTTAAACCAACTTTCAAATAAATCAGCGGTGGTGTCTTCATGGTAAACCAGAGAAGAATCATTAATATTTTTCGCAGACAGAGAAAGTCCATTTGGAATCCAACCATTCTTAGAGCCAGCCTGCAAAATAGTTATACTTTTACCTCTTTTTGATGGCGCGTTTGTTGAGTCAACCCAACCCTTTTCTGAGGTGTCATAAGTGTCGAACCAGATTACATCCAAGTAATAATAATAATTGGCCTTTGTTGTTCTCTGCAAATCCTAATTTTTTCTAGATATTCCAGTCGCCATTTCCGAATTCTAAAAGATTCCATTAAAACTTGATTATTGTCAATTTTTTTAAATCTAAAACCCATGTGTTGCATACACTTCAATAAGGTAGTTCTGCCACATTTAACACCGGTTTCACCTTTTTCAAGCCTCCTAATTAAGACATCTAATGTACGCACGCTTTGTTCCTCGTATAACTGGTAAATTTTACGCCGTATTATATCTTGATCACTTTCATCTACACTCGAGAAAATGTCAGCATTGCTTCTTTTTTCCCTCGCTGAATGGGATTGGATAATCCCATTCAAAAGCAATTGGTCACTTTCTTCTATCTATGAACAGACCATACCTTTTATAATTTGGGATTTGTAATAAAAAACGATAATCTACCAACAAATTTGACTTTACTGTTTCTCAAAATATTCACCCTGACGATCAAAACACTTTTGCATTCGATAAAACCAATGATCAACTAACCAAAATATGCTTTTAAACGCATCAATCGCTTCTTCTGGTGTCAAAAATCGTTGACCACGTAATTTATTCTTAATGTATGGAAATAAAGGGAAGTCATTAGGTGCTAAATCAGGACTATATGGTGGATTTCTCATCAAATCAACGTCCTTAATGCTCAGAAAGGTCTTTGTTTGCACTGATCGGTGAGAGCTAGCATTGTGGTCGTGGAGAGTGGTTCGTCTTCGGCGGTTGGTTTTTCTAATTTCTTCGAAGACTTTCGGCAAACAAATATTTGTGTATCGTTCCGAATTGACTGTTTTACCTTTCATCAAAAAAACAGTTGCAACGTGGCCAGTTTCCCTAAAAAAACAGGCCACCATTTGTTTCGAACTTTTGTGGGCGTTGTCTCATTCTGAAAGGCGCATACAGTCTACTGCTGCTTACTTTCAGGTTCATAGGCATTGATCTATGATTCATCACCTGTCACGATACCATAGACGTGTTTGGAAACACCGCGATCGTATTTTTTTTAGCATTTCCTTAGACCAATCAACAGGAGCCCTTTTTGAGCCCTCAAATTATGTGAAATTCAACGCGAACAAATTTTTTTAGCGACCAAATGTTTATGCAAAATTGTATATGTGCTGGTCCCACTAATGCCCAAAGATACCTAAATCTCATGATAAGCCAAAACTAACCAAAACTACGACCACCACTGAAGTCCGGGAAAAGCAGCGATAAACAGTAGTCCTAGATGGTGCTCTAACTCCCGATGCTGCCGATTACGTGAAACTTTTAACCGTTACAATTTTTTTAATTTATAACAAAAAACACAAACGACACTCCTTCGCCAACACTCAATAATCGTAAACCTAATAGGATTGCCCAATACCGAAATTATCGATCGCACGTGGTCGCTCGTGACGTAAGCGAAGTCGTCTAACGGTTTTTGTGTATTCTGTCAATGCATTTGAAGGCGCATTAAACTGTTGTATTTTGTGTTGTGTTTGTGTTAATTGTATTTCTGTAAAAAAAACTTGGACAAAACAGTGTTTTTAAGCTTTAACATATACTTTAAAATTGTACGTGCTTGGGTGGCGAGAACTGAGAAAAACAGTATTTTTAACATTAAACAAGGACTTAAAAGTCTTGTGTTCGTGTTGCTTATGAGCGGTGTTATTAGTTAGAAGGCAAGCTCAAAATATTACACATAATAATTACCTTTTTCAGTGGGATAAGTTACATCAAAAGATAGTTAGGTAGGCCTGGAACGAGATGTGCTATGTATGGGTGCAATAACTATTTTGATGAAAAAGTAAGTTCTCGAAAATGTACTTTTCATCGCTTTCCCAAAGGGAAAGATCTAGTATCCCGAACTATTCGGAACGAGTGAATAGTTCGATGTAGAAGAGAGGACAAACTTAATCGGGATAAAAGCTATGTCTGCTCAGTTCATTTTACCGAAAATGATTACAAAAGAGACTTACAAAATGAGTTATTAGGTTTTTTTTGTCTTGAGTAACACGTTAAATTCAGAATAAAATTTAAATTTTAGATTGAAAAAAGATTCTAAAAAAAACTTCTGTTCCCACCATATTATTATTTAACCAGAAGCCACCAACAGAAGCAGGATCATCTAGATCAAAAAGATTTCATTTCAAAAATGCCAAAAAAGAAGCTCAGCAGGTATTGTCTGAGCTTTTAGCAACAACATCGAATGCCACAAATGAAATTCTAGAGAAAAATCCATCTCCAGAACCCATGCCAGAATCCCGACCAGAACTCATCTCCGAAACCCCAAAATATAAGGTTAGTCTAAAAAGAAAATCTTTGCAGACAAAAAATTAGAAAGTATGGTAAAATTGTAAAATAAAGATTTAAGTATATGTAGTGATATGTATTTTTTATATTATGTACATACGAGGGTACATATAAATACATATTATTTACCTACCACCTATAGATAGTTATGTATGCATAATAAATTTTTTGTTTTTTAGTATGTTCTTTAATATATCCAAAAATAGGGATTTCTAGTTTATAAGTATTTGTTGATTTTTGTATATTTAAAATGGTACAATGCCGTAAAACACAAAGTTTTGCAAGTAAATCGTTTTGTTCGCTAGTTTTATGTATTTATGTGTAACAATATTTAGTTAATATATGTATTTCAAGATAACACATATAAGCCAAACTTGATTGCAGTAGTATTGTTTTTACCCTACCTGAGACCTTACCCTACGCTACTTTCCAATAATTATTAAATAAGTGCTAAAACAATTTAGTGTTGACATTAAGTGAAAATATCGAGTGATTATCCAAACAAAATGCTATATTAGCTACTCAAAATACTCAAAGTCCATCAAAACTCGGGTCAGTTTCAGATTATTTCCATGCATTGACATAGTAAAAGCGCCAATACAGGACTTCACCTTCGTCACAGCCAGCGAGAGTTTTTGCTTTGCACTTGCGGACAGATTTGCCGGATTAGGCAATCCTACTAGGTTTACGATTCTTGGCCAAAACTTAACGGAGCAAACCTAACCTCAAAATGTCAAACTTCCCTATAAAGCGTTACTCGCCTGCCATCTGGCAGGCCTACTGTCTATATGGTGAGCTTGAAAATCACTACGTTTATTCATTTTCTTCAATTCTCCACTAATTAATAATATCCCCTATCGAGGATATTGGCGTGTTTGTAAGTAGACCGGTTTCTTTTAAAACTTCTTGTTTAACAAGTCGTCAACTGATTAAAATTTCATATACATTTTTCACAACCTGTTTTGGTTAGTTTTGTTATATACTCGTAAAATAACTTTTAGAAAAAAGAAAGAAATATACCTGACCCACCCCTGCCTTGTCACTCAAGCATAAATTTTTTGTTAATAGCTTTACCCCATAGGTAAAAACATTGTTAAAGTTTTATTGGGGAAGGTCCATCGAAAACCAAAATGATGATGATTGCGACAGACTACACTTTTATATATTTGCACATTTATAATGCCCTGCTGTGTGCTCAGATATATGCATTCAAAAATAAAATATTATAGCATTTGTAATTTACATCTTAGGTGGCTGGTCACCAGTCATTTAGCAAAATTTAGGTTCTTTTTATTATAAAATGCCATATTCTGAAAGACGAAGCAAATAATATTCGAAATGTTTGTTAAGTTGGTTCACATGTATTAGGATATAATTACGTATTAGCATAATTTTTCTAAATCGTCGGTTTTATAAACAAACATTTCGTTTTTTGGTGACGACCTATTTCAGAGCCATCTAAGATATAAATTACAAATTCTAGAATATTATTTTATTTTTCAATGTTTCTTTTATGTTAAAAGCGTACTATTAGATGTGGGTATAGGGTATATTATACAAGAAATATGAAGAATTTTTAGGGTATTCCTGCAATACCATGTGTACATAAAAAATAAATCTTACAAATAGCTTACAATTATTTGAAGTTTTTTTTTTTAAATGATCACCTTGTACAAGTGTTGAAAAGTGAAAACACAAATCGCACCAAACAAAAAGAATAAAATTATTTTTTATTATTCAATGTAAAAATCAGTAGATTTTAACCTCAAGAAGATTCTTTAAATTCCCTATTTGAGATGTCGGACCAACATTCAAAAATATTTATCACTGTTGCTCTTACTAGCAGTTAGTAGCGAAAGCTATACGAATCAATTTAAAGACGTGAAAAAAATTGTAATATGCTAAATGAAGAAAACGAAATACCAGAGATATAGGCGAAAAGGCATTGTAGTCTCTGTGTTGATTGGTGGCCCCAAATGAAAACATTTCAATATGTAAAAACATAAAAACAGATATATATATATATAACTAACACTTTGCAAGAAACAAAACAGAACTCACTTGGATGTTAAACAAATACAAGTAATCGGAGGAGTAGCTGACCAAAATGTCCCGCCCGTCCTCGTCATAGCTCAACGAGGTTATCCGGTAGTATCTCACCTCGTCCAATCGGGGCGCGACAAAGGTGCAGAAAGGCTGCGCTAAAAGATGCGCTGCAATTCATAAAAATTCACCTTGAAGTAAACTCGGGAGAAAGAGATTACCTCCCAGCTGTGTGCTCAGATATCTCCTGTCATATATACGGACCCCAGAATCCGCACAACCCACAGCCAACTGATAAGTTGCTCTGGGATTTAGTGTCAAAGCCGTTATGGCCCTCTGACATGACACCAAGATGTCCTCTTTACACTTTTGCTTCGAGCAACTGAAACGGATTATGAAACTCCCAAGAAAAATTGGTGGGCTGCGGGTTACCTAGTTTTGGTTCTGAGATCGAACCAACGGACGGTACCGTCTTCGCCGCAGCTTAGAAAAGTGTTAGGGTCATTTGGTATAGTCATAACCTCATAGGTCGTGGTTCCTCCGTGACATGTAAACTGATTGTGGTATGTTTCCTGTGGCCGGTTGAGATCTAAACACACACCAAGCCACCCATCCAAGTGCTCGATCGACAAACACTGATTATTTACCTGTATGTAAAACGACCCCATCCCCCGAGCACGAAACCAATTGGGTGTCATTAGTAGCGGGTAAAAACTTTGCACTAAAAATGTTTGCGTGATGACTGGTGGAATAGTTAGCTACTTCTTGGTAATTATAAGCATTTGTGATCACTAAATGTTGGTCGTCCGAGCCTGATAGGATCAAATTCCCTTTTTCGTTCCAGCAAAGCGTGTTGACGCAGCCCTGGTGCACTTGCAGCGATTTTATCAGCGCCAACCGCTGAATCAGACTCGGATCGTCTGAAATAACACGCGTTCAGTTGCGAGAAACGCTTCTGTCGGTTAAAAATCGCACCCTTTGCTGTGGTCGCGAAATCGTTAATCTTAACCCCGTACTGGCGGCTGCAAATATCCGCAAAAATCGATTTTCGCTTATACGCCATGTCGTTTCCGTTTTTACGACCGTTAAAAAACAAAGACTTTTGCCGTTAATAATTCCATAACCCTCGGTGAACTATAAATAGACGGGATTACTGTGCCAGCTATCACCTTTGCGCGCTAGAAATAGCGGTCGGCATTTTTTTTAATGTCTCAGACGCGCCTCTATCGAATTCGTCGCGCACCGCCCTCAGCGAGATCGCCAAAATCGAAAAATCCGTGGGTCGCGAATTCTCATTTCATCTCCTTGTCGAACCACCACCGCACGGCACACGCCACGGGCGACAGCTTGTCAATTCACGAAAAACGTTTTTTGACAGTTCGCGGCGTTGCCGTTTATGCCACGTCGGTCCGCATTTTGCAATTTAATAAAATATTTTTGGAGTCGCACAGGGCATGTTGGCCGAGCTCGACGTTGTTTTGCTATTACCAGTTATATTTTTGCGTTAGATTCTTGCGAATCGGCCGTGCTAGGTTGTGATGTCGCGTGGAAACGCGATAGTTTCGGGTATCATTGGCAACATCGGGAAAATGGTGCGCGCGCACCTCGCCGGCAAACATCGCCTGGGGGATTCTGAAAATTTCAGTTGATATTAACGCGAGTGCGAGGGCGAATGTGAGATGGCTTCCCACGAGACAATAATGAGTGACGGGGTGCAGTTTTTCGAGGGCGTCGAAAAACTGCTCGAGATATGGTTCACGACGTCCGACGGCAAGGATAAGGGCTGCGATTTGCGCAAAATACCGAGGTTCGTAAGAGACCGGTCGCCGATTTTCCCGTCACATTTCCTCCGGTTTTTAGCGAGTCGGCTCGGACGTTTTTGGGCCCATCATTGATTTTTTTCAGAGAGTTGCGGTACGCTACATCAGCTGATTTTGTTTTGTTTTATTATACATTGCGGTAGTCGTATTATATCGTCCAGCGGTTTAAATTGGTTTTATTGAGGTTAATTGTAGCGGCATAATTTTATTTCTGCTCCTCCTTTTTGCAGATCGAAACTGGAGTCGCTCCTGAAGATCGTGCGTTGCGAAATAATCAGCTTCACGAAGAACGAGCAAATTGACGCGTACGTTTTGAGGTGAGTTTAGTCTTAATCTGCACGTTTTTTGAGTGAAAAGCGCGTATTTTGCGCGGTGGAAGCGCGCGATAAGCCGACCGACTTAATGAGCCGCAAAGCGTTTTTTTTTTTATAAACTACACACTAAAAATTAAAAAAAAAATAAGTGTTTACCAATTATTGCCCATTTGCGTCGAGCTGGGCTAATATTTGTTTTACGCGTGTGCTCTAATTTGCGACGGTCGATGAAATACAGGTTATTATACGAGGAGCGATCGTAAAATTAAAGTACCCGCTCCCGCGGATTAGACGCTTATTGGGAAACGCGGTCGAAAATGTCGAGGTTAGGAACGCAGATAAGAAAGCTCGTCACGGTCCGATTTTCGAAAATTCCTAATGTATTTTTTGTTTTTTTTTTCTCGAATAGTCGACGACCCGTCGATAACCCCGCCCGCGACGAGGTCGTCGTATCCCCAAGTTTTCCGCGCCTATTTTTAAATTTTAGTGTGAGTCGAGTCCCACGTGACCCATTGGTGTGCAAGTGACGTCATTGCCGTGTAACTTGCTCGTGAATTCGGAAGGCGGGCGATCGTTAAACATCGCGGACAACTTAAAGCTTAAATCGTAAAGTTCATATAAATCGTAACGATAAATTTCGTATTTCAGTTTTTAAGGTCTCGTATCTCGTATTAGATGATACAGATGATACACTATTAAAATCATGATTTAAATCACGGGATTCAACTTTATTACGCATGTTTCCACTGCACGAGCAACTGATATTAATTTTAAAATATTCTTGTGCTGCACGTTTAAGACCAATATTTGACACCTTGTGGTAAGTGGTCGAATCGATTTGGTTCTTATTTTCTTCACAGATTTTTAATAATATATACCACCGAGTGACGTACGTCTTTAGGCAGGGCAGGACTAAAGCTTGACTGAATTTCACTCTAGCTAGATGGTTATCACGAAAAAACTTTGACGTCGGGCGTTTGTAAGTCTTTGCACGGTAAATTCAAAATATGCGCAGAGCAGCCACGAGTTATAACTTTTGAGTCCGTCTTTTCCTCCAAAGTTTTTCTCATAAATTCAAAATAATCAAAATAGAAAAATAGACCAAAAGCAGTTTGAATTTAATGGATAGATTTGCATCTCTAAGGAAGGTTTGATTATGGGAAACCCACTTAGTCCTTTGTTAGCCGAGATTTTTATGGATAATTTGGAAAGTATCATACTAGAACATCCTTTAAGTAAAAGTTTTCTATGGTGGTGAAGAAAAGACTAAAAGGACGTGACGTTTTTTGAATAATAAATATCTTAATTCTTTTGAAAGCGTTTTTGTGAATACCATACGAGCCGAAAAAAGTAATAATAAAACAAAATATTGTCCCTTCAATTTCTTTCTTGCTGATTTACAAATCGCTTAACACACAGATTGATTTGGATGCTATTTTTTCTTCCAGTTTAATGCTCTATTTTCCAGTAGTTCCACTAGTTTGTCAAACAGAAATTTTCTTGCAAAAAGTGCGTTATGACGAATAATTAGTGTGTATATCCTACTATATTGTTATAGTGGCTTTAAAATATTTTATAATTGCCGCAAAAAAAACGGAAATATATAAAAAAAATCTATTAAAATCAAAAAATTCGTGATTTTTTTTTAAATCAATGATTTTTGATTTTTTAAATAAAAATCAAAATTTGCTCAAGGCTGGCGCCACTACTTTACTAGAATAGTGATTATAATAATAATTATCTATGTTTATAATTATTTAGGCGGATAATTGAGATATTAATTATAAAAGAATAAGAAGAATTTTAAAAGTATGAATAAAGTGAAATCTACCATTTTCATTACTACCTCATTGTATCCAGTAAGAAGCATAAAACAAAAAATGCGAATTAAATTGCTTAGGAGCTTCTCGAATCTCAAAATGTTGCGGGGATTATTGTATCCTTTACGAATTATGTATAGGAGTCGAGAACCAATATTTTACGCTATCGTTGACGTTTCGGTTGAAATGACCGGGGGTCAGCAGAAGTCGACGTGTATATAATATACGAATCGCCGCGATTGCTTTTTATTAGTCGATAAAGGTCGTTCTACACGATAGCGCGATAGACGTCTGCTATCCCGCAAAGTATACGGGGTGTCCTATGTGCTATGGGAAAATTTTAAATAGCCAAAATTTTGAATTGCAACAAATTCGATCAAAATGTTTTAAATTTAAGGTTGCGATCCATGTATGATGTCATGGACCTAAATATAATATAAAATATTAATTTTCAACGTAAAAAAAAATCAAATAAAACGAATTTGAAAATAATTACCAACGTTTTCTAATAACACTGTTTTAACACAGAAAAGAAATTATTTTTTTTTGCAGCTGATTTTGTTTTACCTTCCGTGCTCTTCCTCTTTTTAAACTGATGGCTTGCCGTCGAGCTGAATTGGCCGTGACAATGTCGAAACTAGTATAGGTATACCGCGTTGATATAAAGTCTAAATAAAGCACCGAGCGAATACGCTTGAACGTGGCAGTAAACGAGAGAGAGAGAGAGAGCGGTGCGTCGAAAATCTTTCGGCGTCGTAATTAATTTGCCTCCGATATCGATTTTTGTCTCGCGTCGTCGAGAGGACAAGGTCACGAAGCGGAAACCCGGATACATCGCAGCAGTCGTAGACCGTTTTTCCGGCGTAGTTTTTCCCCAGGTCGTTTTGGCGAACCTATTCGGAATTTATGCCGATTTGATGATGGATATATTACCAATGCGCTTGTCATCAAATGAGTTGACCGGGACAAAATGTCACCTTAGATTGGGAAAAAAACGTATAAAAATATGTGGACGGCAGTTGAACAACCTCAATATGAAGTACACTAAAAGTAATGCCGTAACTAATAGGTGGAAACATAACAACAAATTGGTAAACTTAATAAAAAGAAAACTAAACAGCAGATATGGGAAGCAAAATAAATAAGAACTAAAAGTTCAGATTTTCACGAAATTATATATTTTGACATGACAATTGTTTCGACAACACCGTGTCTTTATCAAATGTAATATTTACAAACTACCTGCTACTATATATACCGAAAAATGGCAATAAAACCTTAATTAATGTTGTTGTGAGAATCTAAGTTCAATAAAGGAGAGGTATTTAAATCTATGTCATCGTTAAATTAGTCTTTGTTTGTTCAAGATGCTATTCAATCACACCATTGTGCAATGATCAGGCTACACTTCGCCATTATGTCATTTATTATAAACTAAACAGAGAAATGAAACATGAAAATTTTGTTGTGATATCAGAAAAAGTTAGTCACGATGCAAGTTAAGTACTTTTATTTAATACTAAATTGATATAAGTTTGGAAAATTAAATTTGGTGCGGATACAATTAAAAAAATCAAGTATTTTTCCGATGGAGCAGCTTCACAATATAAGAATAAATATATTTTTGACAATTTAGTTAATCATAAAAATGATTTCGGTGTTGATGCTGATTGGACTTTTTTCGCAACATCTCGTGGCAAAGGAGCCTGTGATGGCTTAGCGGGGAGTGTGAAAAGACAAGCTTATCGTGCTAGTTTCCAACGTAGTAAAAACAACCACGTAAGAACCCCAGTTTCCTTTTTTCAGTGGGCCCAAAGTTCTTTAAAAAAAAATACCAACCACGAATCGAACGCGTTTAACTACAATAAAAAATACTCGCCAATTTTTCACTGCATTCTAGTGAAAAATTGGACGAAAAAGTATTTATTAACAAAGTTTAAAAAAAAAAATAACTGACGACAAATTTACAATTGTAACGAACATTTTAAAAAGCGCACGTCCATGTGTGGCGCCGCACGTCCCAGACGTACCCGTCGCCGCGACCCTCCGCGCTACCGTGCATCAGACGAACCGCGGAGAAGTAGTAGAACCCCGACCGCAAAGGGTTATGCAGCGAATCTCGGAAAACGCGTTTAATTTCGAATATTTCGTTGTGCACCCATAGTATTTTACTTGAATTCGGAATTACATAGTTGCAGTGACACATAAATTGTTTAATTTCGTGTACCCGCAAACCCCCACCTTACACAATTTAATTATTTAATTTGTTTTATAATAATATTTGAGATTGAGATTATTGAGATTGCCGATGTTTACTTGAAATATATTTCTCATTATATGTAAGTGAAGGAAGAAACGAAAAGGAAACTGAAAAAATACTATGTGTACGTAGACTTTTTTGGCAGGTATGTTCAGTGCGTACTAGTAGTTTTTATTTAGATTATTTACATTCTCGGATCTATAAAAAAACTTGATTAAAAAGTAGATTACAAAAAAAAATTATAATAATTAAATGATTTTGTTCTAATCTTGACGTGGTCTATGAACGTAAAGTTCCTCTTTCATCTGGCCAATCGTATTCGTACAACGCCGTGTTTCTGTATTTCATTTAATAACTGACATGAAGGCGCAATTAAAAAAATAAAACATCGAGACACTTGATAGTGTTGACGGGTATTTAAATAAATATGGTTTTGTTACGTCGTTACTGAAGATTTAGCCACGGTTAAAAATATTTACATCCTAATCGGATCGGCAGTCGGTAAGAAAATTGACATTGGAATTTCGATGCCATGGGAATTTTTTCTACTTCTTACTTTAATCATTTGATTTTTTTTTAAATTTAAAATCATGATTTAAATCAAAACCTTTGTTTATTGACACCAACACAAAAAGCAAAAAGGATTTTACACAAATAGCTTTTTTTTAATCTATGAGTAATCTGTCGCGAGTGTAGGACTCGAGGCAGACGGTGTAGTAGCAAGATCTACCGAACTGTGAAGCGACATTCGAATGCCGAAAAAGAAAATAAAAACATTAAAAATAGGTTTCTTTTCTCCTTAATGCTTCATTTTTCACTTGTTCAACTAAATATACAAAAAGCGCATTCTGACGAATACTTAGTGTGTATATTCTATAATATCGTTTATAGTGGTTTTAAAATATTTTGTAGTTGCCGCAAAAAAAAAAACGAAAAATGCATAATCTTAAAAAAATCAACCAAAAAAAAATTTAAACCTGCATAAACAAACCCCTGAATCACGTTGTTTATCACACTTGTTGCATAATAGACTCATCACGTGGCGATTTTCGGTAACGCAGGTGCCGGTCAGATCAAGGCGGCTTGATGATCGACTCGCATTTTTTTAATCGATTAATAGCTTGATGGCAGCGTCTAGTCCGCGGTTACTTCGACAGTGACCGCATGTTAACGCTTCCACGCGTCCTTGAGGGAGTTAGACGTGGTAATAGACCCGAAGGGGATTTATTTTTAGACCCGGATCGTTTTAAAATTACTACACATTTTCGCGGGTAATAATTTCGCCAATCTGGCCGGCGGCGTCACAATAAACGAGTGACGTAATCGCAGCGGCGGACGACCGTTGCTAATAATTTTACAAATTTGCAAGTTTCAGAGGCGGAAACTGATTATTATTGCTGACAAATTCGTTTTAATTGATTTTGTTATTTGATTTGTCGAACCGTTGCAACTGGAAGTTTGTTTTTATCGTCGTCACAGGTAAATTCGTTTCGAGTGCCGTTTAATTATTTTTTTAAATAGTCTGGGACTTCCTCCCCAGGAAGAAGAAAATTTACAGTCTTTTTTAATGTTAATAATAATAATAATAATATTTATTTATAGTTAATTTGATATTATATACATATATTCATTTTATAATTCAATATATTGATACACTATAGAATTCACTACAGACGCTTGTTTGATATTCAGTGCTCTATCTGCATCTTGTTCCTGTACTCAAATAATTATAAAAAAAATCCTTGAGTCTATAAAAAACATATACTAAGAATTTGTTTTTTTTTATATTATTGAGTTGTCTGTGTTGAGTACCAGTTTATTTTGATAGAACCAGGAATATATAATATCCAGAGTCGATGACATGGCTGTTGAAAGTTCGTGCCATAATTTTGCTTTCACTTACATCTTACAAAACCAACAAATCATTTATATATAAGATGAACAATAATGGTCCAAGTATTGAGCCCTGAGGTACTCCAACATTTGTTTTAACTTGCTGACTTTTAATACCATTTACTCTTACAACTTAACGTCTCTCTTTCTGCCATTTGGACGCTAGTCTAACGTGATCAACTGTATCAAAAGCTTTCGTGTCGTCTAAAAAAGTCACAACTGTTGGTAGGCTAAGACTGAAGTTTTCATATATAAATTTACCAAGTAACATAACAAATTAACTCGCCAGGAAATGAGGACGGCGGTCCATTTGTCTCGCCATCGAAATTTCGTGAACTACATAACATAAACATTTCACTGAGGCACGTACTTAAAATAACTAAGAAACAATTACAAAGTTGAATGTTTATCGAAAAAAAATCTGTATATATAGTCCGATCAAAATAGACAAAAATAAGTCAAACTTAGGCAAAATTCGCATAGAGCTGAAAATTGGCTGAGACGCGATATGAAATGTCAAAAATCTTCTTCGATTCGAACTTTTTTTCTCGTACTTTCCCCAGTAGGTATACCCCACGATCTATTGTAATGAAGAAAATTTGATCGGATCGTATCCTATTGATTGAAAGTTTGGCAATATTGATAATTTCTTGTAAATGTTGTTACAATAGATAATTGTCTACTTCTACTTCAACAATTATTTCTTCATTTTCTTGTTCTTGCAGAATCCCTGTTTCGTGTGACACTGTTAATTACTTTTTTAATTGTATTTATTGAAGGAACTCTATTTGTCGATAGTCTCTTTTAACCATTGCAAAATTATGTCCGTTTGAATAATATAATTTCATTGTTTGGCCTTTTTTTCCTCAGTATAACCCCATTTGAAATATCTTAAGTTATTCAACTTACGCCGCAGATCATTAGTTTTGATTAGTTGTGAAAAGTAAAACATTGTTAAAACCATTGCAAACATAAATAATATGGTTTTCTATCAAGGTAGACCTGATCATTTTTCACACAATTTGGGTATTGTCCAGAAGTCGAATGATAATTATTTTTAAACTGAAATACAATGAAAACTCCCTATACCGAAACTCTGTATTACGAACAAACTAATTTGACTTAGTGAATATGATTAGATTAGATTAACAGTTGGGAGAGCTAGCAGTCAGCCTGTCCGTCACTGCGACCCAGAGGATCTATTGTGACTCTCTCCATAGCTATAGGGCTTTATCAAGGTTAGTCTCTCTAACCAGACTCCACAATTTCGATAATGGCTCCCTCGTATAGCTCTCTGCCTCTGGTTTGCCCAGCAGATGGAAACGCGCTCTCGCTAGGCCCTCGTAGAAAACACAGAATCTACATTCTGTGTTTTCTTCCACTTCCATCAAGCTTAGATGCCTCTTAAGCCTGCAGTGGCCCGTCAGCAGACCTACCATTATTCTTACAGCTTTTCTTTTGTAGCTTAGTAGGTCCGCTGTAAAATTGGCCGATGGGCCCCTTAGGAATTCCTTGGCCCGTCTTTGCCCCGGCATGTCCCTCCGCCATCGTCGGGATTCTCGGTCCATCCAATCCCTGATGGTTGTTTGTGCAACGGGTTTGGCCACCCCACAAAAGGGTTCTGGTCTTGAAACAGTGATGAAAGTGATCTCTGCTTGGAACACTGTTGCTAGCTTACCTGGATTTTCCTTTTCGTCCTGGGTTCATATATTCCGGTTCCTACTCCTTCTTGAGTTTTTGTGCCATCAGCATACCAGGTTATTTCTGCCTTGATTGGTGGCCCGTTTTCCCAGTCTTCTCTGGCAGGGATTTGAGTCCTGTAGTGGTTAACGAAGCAATACTTAGGTGTTGTGCTGTCCGTAGGCAGCCCTAGGACATTGTCCGCCGTTACCTCCAAGTAAAGCTTGTTATGATTCATGCTATGTCCACCAATGTTTGGGGACTGGCCTTGCAGTATACTGCGGATCTTGCTTCCCCTTGTATATAGATCTGTATTGGTGGGATGTTCAGTAGGACCTCCAGCACTGCAGTGAGCGTTGTGCTCGTGGCCCCCGTAGCGCACAGACTTGCTAGTCTTTGCACGCTACTCAGCCGCCTTATCGCCTCCCCCTGCATGGTTCTTGACCACCAGACAATCGCCTCATACGCTAACATTGGTCTCACTACTGCTAGATACAACCAAAGTGTCATTTTTGGGATTAAGCCCCAGTTCTTTCCACACATTCTTCTGCATCTACCTAGTGCAATTGTTGCCCTAAGCGTGATCTTTTGAATGTGCGCTCTGCAGGTAAGTTTTTGGTCAAATATGATTCCTAAATATTTTACCCCCCTGGAGAAGTGTAGCCTTGTTCCATCTACCACCGGCGGTTTCAGTCCTTTCAAATTTAATCCTGTAGGTGGGTGTCCAAATATAATGAATAACCCTGTACGTAGCCCGGACCAATTACAAAAGTTGCCTTACTTTTTGAATACACCTCGTATATTAAATTAAATTTACCGAATGGCGACCAGAATTTGCTTCGAGAACATGTGAAAGGAAAACTTTTTGTTTCGCTCTGTATACGGGGCGCGATCGAAAATACGGCGATTTTCTTTTCGTTTTTTTTTTTCAGCGAAAGTTCGATGTTCGTGTCCAAATGCCGTTTCATATTGAAGACGTGCGGCACGACCACGCCCCTCCTCTGTCTGCAGCCGCTCCTGCTTCTCGCCGAGCAGTACGCGGGATTCACCGAGGTCGATGACCTGTTTTATTCCCGCAAGAATTACAAGAGGCCCGACCTGCAGGTCGCGCCGCACCAGCATTTCGACCAGGAGGTGAGCTCACGGAACCCGTAATTGTATTTCTTTGTCGGTGTGTTTATATTTCGAACATAACCTCTAAAACTGGCCCGTAGGTGGCGCTGCTCGACGCGCTCTTTCCGGACGGCGCCGCATACTGCCTTGGCGCGATCAACAAAGACTGTTGGTACCTCTACACGCTGAACCCGTTGCCGAGGAGGAACCGTAGACCGACAGCGAATACGGACGAGCCGGATCAGACCCTGGAAATTTTGATGACGGACCTGGACCCGGAGGTGATGTCGATTTTCACTAAGGAGGAGTGCCTCAACGCCACCGAGGCCACCAAGGTCGGTACTAGACGAACTACCACTACCGAGTTATGTCAAAGACAAGTCAAGGAAGTAGTTAAATTATGTCCATTAGACCAGTCGTGTCTTATGTAACAGCTCCAGCAGTTAAACTCTCATCAAAATTAGTAAATATTTTAAAGTTCCACACAGATTTTAAACCAAAATTTGCAATAAAAAATTCTTTTGAACTAATCAACAAAATTGAAGATATCAAAATCGCTTCTAACGCAACACTATTGTCTTTTGATGTACAAAACTTATTTCCCAGTGTTCCACCTATGGATTTGATAGATTTAGTAGATTTCACTCTCACTCTATCTATCTATCTTTTGACCGAAATTATTTTGAATTTAATGGACAGATTTACATCTCTAAGGAAGGATTGATTATGGGAAACCCACTTAGTCCTTTGTCAGCCGAGATTTTTATGGATAACTTGGAAATTATCATACTTTTTTTTTTTAGTTTTTGACTTCTCTCGAAAATATCTGAGACATGGTCGGCGTCCTTTATTAATGAGCCAGCCGGTACATTTCTGGTACCAGTTGTAGTAAACGAAAATGTGTCTTATTTCATTTGAAAAACATCTTATTCGTCATAGACCGAAACGTACACAAAAACTACGTAACCAATACTTGTGCTCTGGTTACAGAAAAACAATAACAAAAAACGGCCTTTAAACACTTTGAAACCTTCACGGTTAAAAAGGATTCTGTCAAATGACCAAGGCGAAGGCTTTAAATTAAGCGACACACAGCATAAACGATGCAAGTGGTCCGCGGTTTCGGTAAAAATAATTTTGTTGCAGAAATCCGGCATAGACAAAATCATCCCGAACATGTTGATCGATGATTTTCTGTTCGAGCCCTGCGGGTACTCGATGAACGGCGTCACCAAAAACGTAAGTGCTCACGGCCTTAGGAGTTACTCACGAAAAAGACGCGATCCCGTATATTTTGATATATTATTTTGTTACACGCCTGGCCAGAAGTGTTACGAAACGTCCGAAGTAAGTAGTACATTACGGCGACACTAGATGGCGCTGACCCGAGTTTTTCTTTGTCCGCAAGTAACAAAAACGGAAAAACATTAGATATTCATTTTGAAATATAAATATCTGCAATAAACACAAAAAGACAATTTTTGTTAGGTCTTTTTTTAGAATAGATTCCTCTCTGAGGAGTAAAAGTCTCCCTAAAATTGAACTGAGGTGGCTTTTACTTGATGAAAATCCATTTATCAAAATAAATAAGAACAAAAAGTTCAGATTTTCGCGAAAGTATATATTATGTACTTTCGTGAAAATCTGAACTTTTAGTTGTTATTTATTTTGAAAAGTCTCCTTGTTTTTTAAATACAAATTTTTGTAGAATATTGCACGTCTTAAATTTTAGGGACGCACGGCCACCGGTTTTTTTTTAGACTACAATAAAAAATATAAATGTGAATTGTGAATTTTTTTCATCGTTTTCGAGATAAAATCTTGAAATCGTTGACGCTGTTTGTACCGTCAGGGATGCTACATGACGATCCACATCACGCCCGAGCCAGAATTCTCGTACGTCAGCTTCGAGACCAACGTGCCATCTAGCTCGTACGGGGAGATCATGTCGAGGGTGCTGGACACTTTCCGCCCGGGCAAGTTTACCGTCACCGTCTTCACAAATCAGGTAAGATGTCTAGTCCGCAGCTCCATTCGTTGTTTCCGTGGTCTGTGGTTCCCGTCCAAGGCACAAGTGACGATGACTGATGATGACGCAGAATGTCACTTTTCTGACATATACTGCCGACTCCTTCAAGCCAATGATAATGCGAGGTTTAAAAAGTGAACAATTAATCTGACTAATGAGACGTACATAGCTTGCCATCCACGAATCTCCTTAATAAAATATTTTTCATACAAACGTGTGTCATGACATTTATGGCAACCTTATACCAACAAATAATCAGATTTTATTTACAAAACTAACCAGAACTGCTAGAGCGCTGTATTTCGAAAACCTTACCTTGTAAGTATATGAACACCGATAGAGGATATATGAATTGAAATCGCTTTTGATTATCTCACAAAATATTTGATAATAAACGGGGTGTCCTTCTTGCCTTATATAAGACCGAAAAAACACGATTTTGGAAACACACTGTAAAAGAATATATGTTAGTATAAAGTTGTTATGAAAATTAAGCTCAAAATTCTTTTTATTTTTTTTACCTTATTCGTAGCAGTAGGCGGCCATAGTAAATCAACTAAATCAACTAAAAATAAGATATATATTGCTTTAAAATAATAATGCTCTAAAAAGCAAATGTGTCAAAAACTTGCCAAACTGTAGGTTTTTAATTATATATTTATTAAATATCAATTCTTTCTGTGTTTATTTCATTTTAATTAATTTTCTATAATAACGGCACCGTATGAAAAATCTGAAAAATATAGTATGTTGGTATTTTTTATATAATATAATGGAAATGCCCAAGAAGCTTCGGAATTATATCGCCACCAGAAGGAAGAACATTTCTTAGAAAAAGAAAGTAAGGAAACATAAAAACAATTGAGGGTATATATAATATATAGTTGTTAGTTATGTATCTTCCAATTCTTTTTAGTTGGTATGATGGATTTATTTTACATACTAGATATATTAATATATAATAATACTTACTGATTCTTTTTTAAATTATTTTCTTAATATCAAGAAATATATTTTTTATGTACCTATAAAATTTAAAAAAAACTACCTTAAATAATAATATAAATTATTTGATAAATAATATATATATATATATATATATATATATATATATATATATATATATATATATATATATATATATATATATATATATATATAGGGATACAAATTATACATAATTATATACTTAAAATATAATGTTTAATAGAAAATTGGTATTGCGATTTTTTTATTTTTGTGAGTTGAAAAATCGCAAAACTTGAAGAGATGAGAGGACTATGACGATTTTCAGTTAGGGGTTTAAATTTAAAGGTCTGTAAAAAAAATTAATTAAGATTAAAATAAAATACGGAAAAATTAGTTTAATCTAAATACTTGAAAACGCAATTTTTTTCGATTTTGATTTAAGGAGATATAGTCGGTACAAATTTAATATTATAGAAATGGGGAATGGGATACGAAAATAGACTGCCCAAAGAATTTAAAAAAAAAAATGCAAATACCGTATACAGAAATTTAAGGGCGTTCAACATTTTGCCAGAGACTTGTAATATGGTTCATCGAATGTTACTTTTCAAGGTCGGGAATTTTTGGAAGGCCCTAACAACGACGCTTTGAAAATATGAATAAATATATGTTTATTAATACACAAATAATTTTTCTCCGAATTTTCGAAATTATGGGCCCTCGAAATCGACGTCAAAAATTAAATGCAGACATTCCACTTGTTTAAATTAAAATTTGGTTCGCGGAAAACCAGCAGGTTTTGTTGAAAATAAAAATATCATTCGAGGAGAGGCGCCCTGTATATTTTGGAACGTTATCCCTTGTGGGAACCGCCCTCTAGGAACACGAATGTCAATTTTTGTGAGGTTTAGTTTGGCCCCGCCCCCATTCGATTCCCGTGTTTCCAGCTGTCCCCCGTCAAGGACGCGCCCAAGGAGATGCTCTGCCCGCACCAGGTCGGCGGCCGATGGGAGCGGCGCGACCTGCAGCGTTGCTCCTTCAAGAGCTACGACCTGATCTACGCGTTCTACACCAAGTTCCCGAGCTGAGGGTGTCTAGTGGGGGTGCCCGCGGGTACGCCAGTACTGCAGACCGGCCCTAAGCGTCCGCCGGAAGGGTCGCCGGGCTGCGCGCGTCGCCTCCACGACGCGTTCGGCCCCCTCTCATTTTTCTTCGTGTATTTTGCGCTGTGCCCGCCCGCGCTCGAGTCGCCCCTGGTCCTGTGGTCGTGGTGGCGCGACAAGATCTCGTGAGGGACAGCGCGTGGGTCGCCGAAATCGTAGGGCGTCGCGGGTCCCTTTAACCTATGAGGGTTGGGCGGACGCTGCGCAGTGTGATGCGCGTCCCCACCCCCCACACGCGCCTCGTTTCCGGCGATCCGTTTGTAGGATTTCCCCCTCCACCGTCCGTCGTCCCCATTTGTTTTGTTCCGCGGGTCCGGGCGTTTCGGTTTTCCCGCCTTCGGGGTCTGGGCCAAGGTCCCATCCACACACACACGTTGTAAAAAAAAATGGTGTAGTAGATTAGAACCTAACCAAATAATATGTTGTATAGATAGCGGAGCAGTCTCCATTTCGGCGGATGCGCCGGCCCGTGCGCTAGATGTTTCGTTATGGATAATTTCGTCAATATTGATCCCACGATGGAGATCCAATTACCAAAGTTGGAGCGTTTTTCCTGAACCCCCCGATGTAAAATAAAGATTGGGCAAATTGAATGTTGAGTGTGACGAAGCATATAGTTGTATGATTTTCTGTTGTGTAAGATGTTGAACTTTTGTCAACTTATAAGCGTGCATTTTACGTGTCTTTAAAATCGGCTGAGGTTTGCTTTTACCGAAATTTATATCCCGCATGCGAGTTCGATGGATGCTCTGAAAAGAAATATTTGCAATTGAAATTAGTGATTGAAATTCTCACCTTGAAAATATAACAAGACATCAAGTTCTTCATTAACATTACTTTCTACTTTCTATAAGTGTTTTTTTTTTACTTGGAGTTACTCTCACAATCTCCTATACTCAATACAAGCACCTACATTTTAAATATACCGACAAAATGTCCAACAGTTAAGTACGCCAGTTTCCATGTCAACAGCTGTCATGGCTAATATGATTTTTGAGTTGTTCACTTCCTTACATCCAGTATCGGATAAAATTCGAGGTATTTTCACATCTGTCAAAAATAACCCTGACAACTTATATATATTTGAAATCGGAAGGAACAATAAAATCGATTGACACAATCGAATACAGTGCATTCAATTTTTTAAAAATGTCGACCTGTCAGAATTTTTGTTTTATATATTTCATTTCAGAATCGGAAGGTTTAGGGAAAATACTCCCACCTTTAGCAATTTAATCTTCATGTTAGGATGAGTATTAACAGAGTTATCCGCTTGGTATAATGGGACATAATGTACATAAACCATGTAAAGGGTTTAATTAATATCCCTCGGGGTTATGGGTCGCTTCGGGGGCGGTTGGAGCTGGTTCGTCGGTCGGAAACGTAAAACATAAGCTCCACAGAACCTTAAAATGTATTTTCTACGCGCATCTCTCGAATATATGCGAAGACCGTAAAGAAAATCCGTTTTTAGGCTACGGTCTGTGCGATGAAATATGTTTAGTGGTCTGTGGTTAACCCGTGATGCGCATCGAGGTAAAAAACCATGATTTTGTCGGAATACCCGGTTAAATTTTTTAATTATTTCAAAAGGTGTTTTTATTTTATATATTTTCTAATAAAACGCATCTGTATTGACGAACCGGCCCCAAATGACTATTATTATAATATTATGGGTAGAACGCGTCGTGTTGACTTTCTCTACTTTTGACAATTTTTATGTTTTAAGTTTTTAAACGAGGGGATCAATCTCATCGTCCCGTTTAGATTCGTAGTTTTTAACAATCTGATACTTGTTTACATTTTATTAGGAGGAATTTCCGAATTTTTCAGTAGCTATTAGTGTACGGAAGATGTTAAAAAAATGTTAATGTTTATAAAATTGTTTAATTGTTAAATAAATAAACTAGCATTAACGGTGGACTGGACGTATTTCATTTTTTTATTTACATTTACTCAAGTGGTTATTTTTCCATGTCAGTTTTACAAAAGCACCGAGAGATGCCATTCTGATTCTATTCGAAGAAAATTTAAACTATTCTTGACATTTTTTCGACTAAAAGCTTTTCCGATTTGAAATTAAACGATATTTTCGTGTTCCATGTCATTTATTGTTTGGAAGTGTTAATTTTATGACGATCACTTGCTGCAGAAATCAAAGCTCTTCTGCGTAAGAATTTCAGCGCTATTGACAACGCCGTTGTGTTTCGATATGTCGTAATACACGATAGAGACACTTATAGAAAAACATTTTGAATTTCGATTGGTTTGTATTCTTGCTCTTTGTGTTTTACCGTGGTTTTAGTAGGTTTTCAGTGGAACTAAGTTTTAATTTTCCTTACCTAGGTTGATCTGTGGTTCGAGTTCTCACCGCTCTTAATATTAGTTCCCACCTCAATTGCCGCTTAGATTTGATGGAACAAAACCCACACTTCGACAAAAAGTTAACTATAATATTTTTCAATCGAGCGTCCGATTAATCGATTACAATCTGTGCTAATTTGCCGCGTATGACGGATTTACATTATTCGTCGTGGGGAAATTTAAAACAAATCGGCATTGCAGATGTCGCTGGTAGCGATAAAAATAATCCACCCCGATAAACCTGTGGTCTGTGCAGGTCGCGATCGTGTTGGTATCACTTGTGGACCAATAAAAACGTACTTTTACGAAATAGTCGTTATTTTATGTTTACGTTGGTTTGTGTCCCGAAAATCCTTCATACCTTTCGCTCGAAAATATTCTCGCGAGTGCGTAACTGCGAAGTCTTCGAGCCAATGGATCGAAGATAAATCGTAGGTAAGTAACAATTGTGAATTTACCCGTTGCCCAATACTAGAACGCCACCTAGATTGTTTTTTTATTGTGGTAGCCTCGCTGACCGAACTGTCTTTTCGAAATGTGGCTGCCCATACCCCATTTTTGTATGTATTTTTTGAGGTTATGATCAACTTCAATCGTCATTAAATACACTTTTAATTGGTTACGTACGATAACACAAAAAATAACACGTTACACGAATCACAATAGGTAAAAAACAACTAAACCAACCCATAAATAATAATTTGGCCTCGGGAACGGTCAATTAAGGCCGAATTCGTTTTTAACCCACGGGTATTTCTTCGGGCAGTCGCCGCAAGTTTGCATCTCGATTTCCTCCCTGAAAGCGCGGCTGAACAGCTTGCACGTTTCAGGCTTGAGGCAAGCGAGTTCGTCGGGGCGCCAGTTCCTCGTGTCGCAGCGCCAGTAATGAAAATTTTTGAACCGCGCGATGGGCACGGGATCTTGCATCCACCTGATCGCTTGCGAATTCGTCACGAACCAAACGTCCGGTCTGGAAAGCACGTTGTCCAGGAAATCCTGAAACGCCGTCAAGTATTCGTCGTTGTCGAACCAACTGGCCTGGAAGTGCAGTCCGAACGGGGCCCTGTTGGTCCCGTAGTGTCTATCGAAATTTCTCGTTAATATTTCGTACACCTGTTGACCGGTGAGGTCGGACGGGCACGAATCTAAAGTGGCGCAGCTGACGTCACCCGCTTCGAGTTGATTGATCACCATTTGCCAAAGGCCGGGGTAGGAGCGCGTGGGGCACCGCTGCCGGTAACCTTAAAGAGCCTTTATTTAGACGCCATTACATTGATTCTACCAAAAGGGTGCTTACATTTGTGTGGCATCTTGTAATCCAAAGTGTAGGGCCATAAGGGAGTCTGGGAAAATGGCGCGACTATCGAGCTGTCGTACAGGAAACCGAACTCCTTCATCATCAGGAACTGCCGGTTCCAACCGATCCGCAAGAAGGGAGCCCGGACGCCCGCGATGTCCGACAGTCTTATTTTCGAGAACTTGTGCAGTATGTTGGCTCCGCCCACCATTTCGTCGAACCAATCTTCCAGGGTCGCGTTGTCTGACCACCATTTATCCGGGAGTTTGTGCCTGAATTTTTTTATACGTTTTTCCAAATTCTATCACCACTTAACCTACTAGCAGTAGGTACTAGCATAACCGGATGAAAGCAAGGTCGATTGTGCGGTGACACTGGTATAATACGACCAAAAATATATATATAAGACTATAGATGAAGGTGTGTCATACGAATACAGATAAATATTTATTAGCATCTTACAATTAAACATTTTTCGAAGGCTTCTGTTTTTTTAACACTTTAAAATGTGGAGACCGTGGAATGAAGCAGATAATCCTGTTAGAAGAAGATATGGAAAACAATGCAGATGGTAATCGAACCTAATGACAATTTAGAGGAGGATCTACCTCAGCAAACAAAAAAACGGATCCATTGATCTTCGGATGCTAAACAATTTGTTTTGAATGTTTATAATTTTATAAGAAATTCGGAAGGGGGAGTAGAAGCAGCAATAAAAACAAGTGACTTGACCAAAGTTCCGAAGTCAACTGTAAGAAAAATTGTTGCAAATGGGATAGTCAAGAGGAAAGTGAGAGAAGATGCTTGTACTTCGTGAGTTTTTAAAGAGCAACACGCAGATCTAATTACTATACTATACACTTATACACAGTATATACTACACTATACTATTACTATAACTACACATTAGTTGTGGCAAAGAGTCGTGCGTGCTATTTTGAAGAAAATGTTTTTTTAGTTCCAAACAATTAATAGATAGTGGTAATGTAATCTCAAAGAATTTCGCAATGGAGGGTGGACACTCACGATAGTAAAAAAGGGATGGTGTGATAACAGTAACAAGTGTGTACTAGAATAATTCTTCATGCTGCCTTATCATTCTCTGCCAAAAACGTCAAAAAAACTGGTTTGAAAATAAACTGTTGTCAAAACTATCGCCAAATACTGTCATTATGTTGGATAATGCATCGTATCATTCAGTCAAAATCAGAAAAAATGCCAAATAGTTCTTCAAATAAAGAAGAAAGTAAAGAATTTCTGTACGAAATTGATTTATATTTTGAAGAGAGCTGCACGAAAAAACTTCTGGAATTATTAAAAATAAAACATTTTTATTATATTTATTTTATTATATTTATTATATTTGGTCTGAGTTGAAAGCGCATATAATAAGAAATAATGTTGCACCATTAAGGGATTACTTACAGATTTACAGAGGGAGTCAATATGAACAGATCAATTCAATAGACGTCAATAGATGAACTTTCGCAGATAATCGTGGTTTCGTCTGCAAATAGTGGTCATAATAAAACGTGCAAAAGGAGCGGCCCCATAGCTGATCCTTGCGGGACACCGTGCCGCCGGGATGGAAATGAAGAGGTATAACACGACCAAAAATATAGTGCATTCATTGCTTTGACGTGTTGAGTATTTTACCGTATGGGCCTTCGCCGGACTGTGGTAAAACCCTCCGAACAGATGTCTAATCTGCATTAAGTAGGTCTTGAGATGGACGGTAACGAATATTTGTAGAAACTTTTAATTTAATTAAGCATTAAGCATTTTGATGTGGCGAAGAAGAAGAAGAAATAAAACTGCACCAAATTTTAGTCATAGTACCATAAACGTAATTCGGCAAGAGGTAAAGTATGTTCATAGATATAAGAAAGTGACTAACTGATACGAATTAGGGAAAGACCCGGGCAAGCTGTAAGAATGAAATATGGCCGACCAGGTCCGTACTTTGTTTAGAATATAATTATTTGGGGTTTTGTTAGGAAAGATACTAAACAATATTTACTTATCTATGTATATATTTATGTTTAAATCTAAAATAAAATTACAAATTATTTTTATTACCTACTTAAATTACTTAAAATTATTCACATAATATATCAGTATCACTATCGCTATCATCGCCTGTTCTAATTATTATTTGTTCTATATTATTTGCAATATGGATATACGATTGTTCTGCTTTTTCTATATGTTTAACAGAATTTGCCCAACTTTGTGGAGGGATGTTAAAAACTTCAGTTTCTATAAGTTTGAGGACATTGGAGTTAACACGATTTTTTGCATAATTATCAAATCCTAATTTTTTCTAGATATTCCAGTCGCCATTTCCGAATTCTAAAAGATTCCATTAAAACTTGCCTTTTGTCAATTTTTTAAATTCTAAACCCATGTGTTGAATACACTTCCATAAGGTATCTCTGCCACTTTTAACACCGGGCAATTTTCCATACAGTTGATGTTGGAATTTTCGTCAATGTGGCCGTTTCTTCTAAAGATGTTTGCTTGCTGGCACCAACTTCAATGAGAATAGTGTTTTCTATATTTGGGCGAGATCATCTCCCGAGATACACTACACTCGCACATATTTTGCAAAATACGCACACGAATCAACACACGCTGTGTTGCACACGAAATAAGAATGATTACTAATAAACTTAAACTAACCAAACCAAAGAATATGAAACACAGGTAGGTATAAAATTATTTTCTATTACAGACTAAAATTTTACCTGAATTTAAATTCCGATTAAAAACGTACTTATATACCGCTTGTTAGTGTAGGTAGATAAATTTCTAGGACGGCCCTGGAACGGTTACAGGTAAGGACGGTCCTGGAATGGTTACGGGTAAGGTCTGCTCGGCAGTGTGTTCTATAAGGGCCTGCGGTTTTGAAAAGCACTATATTTCTGGTCGAAGTATAAGTCTGGTCTACGTTCCTGGAGTATTGCGACTGTAATTAAATGTTTCTTACGTAATAGAGTGAACGGCGATCTCGTGGCCGGCATTCCACAACTTCTGAACGTAGTAATAGTTGTTGTGGGGATGGCTGACGAAAAAAGTAGCCGAAATCGGGCAGCCGTTGGGGTTCGTGTAGTTTTGAGAAAACAGGTAGCTGTAAAATTCAAAGTTATCCTCGTCGACGGCGTCTTCGAACGTGAGTAACACGATTTGGGGCACCGCCGAAGCGGCCAGTCCTCCGGGAACGACGTTACCTACGTTTAATTACTGATAAATCACCTTGTTAGAGGCAAAAGCGCCTATTATTAGGGTTTTGATGCAGCAAGGACCAGTGTCGGGCAAACTTTGACTTTTATTGAAAATAATCAAATATCGTCGATGAATTTTTTGATTTTAATTTCGGTCGTGACCAGCTTTTTTCCCGATGGCTGAAAAAAGTGAAAGTAGCGTGAGCAAGTTTTGCATTAAAACAACAGATCCAAGTAAAGATGTAGGCTGTAAAGCGATTTGCAAAACATCAGCAGCTGAAAAAGAACAGATTGACAAACAAATAGCTAAGGGAATTTTTGCTACTAATTCGAGCTTTCGATGCATTGAAAACTCTGAAGTAGAAAACAAGCTAAACATTTATTAAGACCCGGTTATACGCCGTCTCCAAGAAAAACGTTATTAAGAAGACGCTTCGCGGTTTCTTGTCACTATGGAACTTTCGCAAAATCGATGTAATTGTATTGTACATACACCCTGTATAAATTGAGTTTCACGGTGGCCAATAATCGGCCAACTTTGGTAAAGATAAAAATTTGTGTAAGCGATTTACAATAATATTTTTATTCAAATATCTCACGCACCCTGCATAATAGACATGAACTGTAAATCAGAAAATTGTAGCTCTCAACACAGTTTACGATACTGCTCAATTCAAACTGTCTTATATGTTTCAATTTTTCATTTAAAACTAGTAATCTACCCAAGAAATGAAAATTTTTAGGATTTTTTAGATTTTTTGCTCATAAACGAAACACCCTCTATATAACTCAAAATATATTCGAAGTAAAGGTAGCCCTGAATCTCCCACATTCCCTGGTCCATGAATTTTTCCAATAGAGTAAATGGTTTTCGAGAAAATTATTTTTCCGTCACGGGCCTAGCCAAATTTGGAGTCGATGGCTTCAAATTTCGGACACTTATCGTGTTTCATAGCGATATTCAAAAAACAGTCGAAAATCGAAAACAATAGATATACGCCGGCGTCAGATCGGGGGCATTTTTTATAGGCTTATGTATCTCGTGGAGGGTTAAAAAGGAGGTACATTTCAGTGCTCTAGCTCGGAACCGCTCGGAAGCTATTCCCATTTTTATGGAGCGTTGGCAAAGAACAGAGAACGGACAGACATTTAAAAAAATTTTTTTTTTTCCGGCCCTGATCATTTGTGCACCAATGGGGGTCCCCTAGGACCTTCCAAGTGATGGAATAGCGTTGCTGAGTGTTTACAGGTGTACGTCATTCAGCGGGATATATTATTAAAAATTTGTGAAGAAAACGAACCAAGTTGATTCGACCAAAAGGTGTCACATATTGGGCTTACATTCAGCAAAATAATATTTAAGCATTTTAAAACCAGTATCAGTTGCTCTTGATATTTTGCAGAGAAAAAACCGTACTAGCCCAGGTACTGCAGAGCAGTGAAAACATTTACAATATATCTTCTAGAATTTCTTTTATCAAAAATACAAAAAAATCAGGATCGATATAAGCAACGCCATACCATTTTATAGTCTGTACACTTTACTTTTACTATTAGTATTAAAATTGAATGCCGGCAGTTGCTCATTTAAAAAAAAAAAGTTTTCGGATTAAATAATGAAAAGCAGTGGTGCATATCACAATAGGATAAGCCAGAAATTACGAAACAGCCACCAATAATAAAACAGTTCCTGTGTGTAATTGCTTCCTTAGAGTCAATAGAAGTATATATTCTTAATAAAAAAAATTTCAAAATAGGAGTTTGATTGAAATTAAAATATTAAGTGATTTTAATCGTGATATAAAACACTCGATTAAAATCGCCCCAACCTTGATAATGACCCACCTCATTCGTTCTCTTAGAATTGTGTTTATTTAAAAAATATTTATAAATATACAAGTTTCAAAGACAGGCCGAGTCCTTATCTTCTCTTCTGCGAAAACAATCCCGGCTTCTGCTTGAAGCCTTTCCGGACGATCCTTCGCCTCTCCTCCACGTGCCTCTTGTTTCTTATTTCGACCGTCCTGTTAGATTTTCTTACCGTAGAAAAGGACATTTCCCGGTTACCGATCGAGCCCAACATCCTGACTTGGGACTCGTCCTCGAGTCTCTCGCCCAACGTCAACTTGTTTGGTTTCCTCTTGAAGCTGTCCAGGCCAGTGTACTCCTCCCCGTGCCTCATCTCGTACAACTTTGGTTGCTTGGTCGCGGGTTCCTCCTCCTCCTCCTCCTCCTCCCTCTCCCTCGCTCTGCGTTCCCGTTGCAACGTCCTGTACTCTTTCTTCACTTCCGCGGTCCATTGGTGTTCGTCATCGGAGCTCTCTTCGCTCGCGAAATCGTCGGACATTATACCCTCGTCTCGTTCCTCCAGTTTATCTTCCACCGTCTCGAAATCGTCGGGAATGGCCGCCTTTTTGGTCTTGCCCAGCTTGGATAGGACCGGGTTAAGCAGACGGTACTCGTCGGTAGTCTTGTCAACCTCGAAGTCGGGGTTTTCGAAGAGCGCTTTGAACCTTCCGTCCGACAGCAAGCTCGCGCTCTCTCCTTTTTTCTTCTTCGATTTCCCTGCGTCCTCCATCAGTTTCAAAGCCAGTTCTCTGTTCACTTTGGGTAGGCGTTCGACCTGCACCCGACTGCCTCGCTCCTGCTCGATAGTCTCCCGGATCTTCTTCTTGCGGTACTCTTCGAATTTAAACGGTTCCGCAATAGATTTCGCCTTGTTGTAAAGCCTGACGTCGACGAAGTAACCGTGCATGTAGGCGCGCAACAACGGCGTACCTATCAGGTGCTCGAGGCCCAAACTCTCGAGCTCCGCCCCGTCGACGAATTTATAGTCGTCGTATACGGTCTCCACGTTGGATTCTTCGAGTTCTTCCGTGAGAGAGTCGAGGAACCCGGCCCATTTGGGCGCCGCGCCTAAACTCGGTATGTAGTACGTCAGCATCTTTGGAGCCTCGTTCGCGAGGAACAGGAGCCCCGTGTTGGGCACCACGCACAGGTTATTAAAATCGGCCGACGACTCTATGGAAGTGTAAATTTTCCCGTCGTTTTGGTTCCATATCTTCAAAACCGACCTGTCCAACGACATGACCAAGTCCTGCTGGTGATGAAAGTCGACGTCCCTGATAGCGAACCCGTACAAGTGGTCTTTAACGGTATAGGGCTTGTCGGATCTTAGATCGTAGAGCAGGACTTGACCGGTGGCGGTACCCGCGCCCATCTGCAGGGCCCCGTTGCATTTTAGAGCGGTTACGGAAGGCACGCTCCGTATTTCTTTGTTGAGAGATAGGCACTGAAACGCGCAGTCCAGAGAACCGACCATTTCTTTCACTCTGGGGTCCCACGCTTCCACCCTGCCCTCTTGGGTACCGCACATCAACAAATTATGAACGGGGTTGATGGTGCACCGATTTATATCGGACGCTTTGCTTTGGAACGGGGTCAGAAACTGACCGCGTTCGAGGTTTATCCGATAAATGTCGGACGACGCGCCTACCACGTACAGATCGCAGTCCTGGTAGTGGTACCGCATGTCCCGGCCGTATTTTGGTATGCGCATCCTATGGTACCTGCCGTGAGCCACGTGGAATTCGACGTACCTGTCGCACTGCAAAAACACCAACTTGCTGTAATCGTCGCTTAGAATTTCGAACGTGACCGCGTCCGAATCGAAACACCTTTCGAACTTTAACGACAAGTTGTTGACGTCGAAACATTTTACGCGAGGTTTATAAGTGCCCGTGGCGAGTATGTATTGCCCGTCACGCGACACCTTCACCGTGTGGCTGAGCCCCGGCATGTCGAAGTCTTGGATGAGCTCGATTTGCCGCCGCAGGTCCACGTTTTTCTTGAGCAGCGCGCGCCTCTTTCGTTCCGACAACCATTCCGGCAGCACTTTCCCCGCACTCAGGTTGTAGATTTTCACTTCATTCGGCTGCGACACCTCCATCGCGAGCGAGGTTACGGTACTTGTCTTCTTATTTATGATCGTTAACGTGTGAAATTATAGTTTGAAGAAGAAAATTGGCGTCTATACAAGGGGCCGTTCGAAGTAAAAGAAGAAGATTTGTGTACGATAAAATACTTGCCGTTTACGGAACAAAAACACTTCGGCAGTTGACACTTTGTCGGGTCGCAGACTTGGGCAGCGTAGACGTCTTCGATGTGGTCGCACCGCGTTTCGTCGCTCCGGTCCGGGCAGTCCGGCGCCCCGTCACAAAAATAGTCGCCCGGTATGCACATCGCCGCCCCATCTTCACATTTTCGGTAATCGGGATCCGGGCATTGGTTCGATGACGTCGTGCCGCTTTCTGAAAAGTAAACGCCCGCGCTTAAAAGTGCCGTCGCGACAATTAACTGCATTTTCTTTTGTTTTTTTTTAATGGCGCTGGAAGATTACGCCCGAACGCATGGTTTCGTAATTTTCGCGAGATTTCCATCGAATGTGGATTGTGCAACGGCGTAATTAACGTGAACGACGACCTTAATTAAAGGAAAAGCAACGTTCGCGTTGTTTGTTACCCGTGAATTGCTGGCAGTTTTTCACGCTGGCGCTAATATCGCAAATCTGCCTGGACACGTCGAAAAGTAGCCCGGGCGAGCATTTAAACGAAAACACTTCGCCTTCCAAACATAAATAATACTTGGCACATTCTTCGTTTGTCGGCGAGCCGCCTTTTAGGGTGTTGTTGAGATCGGGATTGCGGTAGAATCTCTCGTTTTCGATACATTTTATTGTGGTTTCGCAAGCGGCACCTTAAAAGTTCGAGACGAGACGATTATAGGATGTGTTTATTTTTCACAATCTATTAAGGGAAGTCAGGAAGAGATAAAACCACCACACTTACAGATAAAAAACGACAAAAACACAAAATTTAAAAACGAATTGGTTTCGTTCATCATACAACGCGCGCTGCGTAGGAAGCCGCTAGAAACGAAAAAGTGTCACACGCGTATAGATATCATTTTATTTCTCCCTACATAATTGCTCGAGCTTTCACGGCCTAACGACTAGAATACGAACAAAAAGTGTCACGCGACTCGCTTTGGGCATTTTTAAATGCGATACGCGAACGAAACGGGAAAGGAATAAATTATGCTTTTATGCGAACACATATCGTCCGCAAAAATAATTTTTTAAGTCGTGTAAATGTTTTGCTCATAATTTTATTTATTTACACCAGCCGGTATTCATTTTATTGGTTACCCTTTAACCTCTGCCATTGTAACTGTGCTGAGGGTTGCTGCGTATTAAAGAAGAAGAACCATTGAGGTTTTTATAAGTGTTCAACAACGACCAAATAATAAAATTGGTAGAACCCAAGAATTGTAAATCTAATAGGATTGCCCAATCCCATAAGACATACGTTCGCCAAAATTATCGATCGCACGTGGTCGCTTGTGACGTAACCGAAGTCCTCTAACGGTTTTTATGTATTCTGTCAATGCATTTGTTGTGTTGTGTTTGTGTTAATTGTATTTCTGTAAAGAAAACTTAGACAAAACAGTGTTTTTAAGCTTTAACAAATACTATAAAATTGTATGCGCTTAAGTGGCGAGAATTGAGAGAAACTGTATTTTTAATCTTAAACAAAAACCTAAAAGTTTTGTGTTCGTGCTGCTTTTTAGCGGCGTTATTAGTTACGAGGTAAGCTCAAAACATTACACATAATAAATAGTTAGGTATGCCTGGAACGAGATGTGCCATGTATGGGTGCAATAACAACTATTTTGATCAAAGCAAGGTCTCGAAAATGTAGTTTTCAACGCTTTCCCAAAGGGAAAGATCTAGTATCCCGAACTATTCGGAACGAGTGGATAGTTCGATTTAGAAGAGAGGACAAACTTAATCTAGATAAAAGCTATGTCTCCTCAGTTGATTTTACTGAAAATGATTATGAAAGAGACTTACAAAATGAGTTATTATGTTTTTTGTCTTGAGTAACACATTAAATTCACCACAAAATTTAAATTTTAGGTTTACTTTTAAAAGAGATTCTAAAAAAAACTGCTGTTCCCACCCTATTATTATTTAACCAGAAAACTTCATTCCAAAAATGCCGAAAAAGAAGCTCAGCAGATATTGTCTGAGCTTTTAGCAACATCAGAACCCATCTAAAGTATTTGTTGATTTTTGTATATTTAAAGTGGTAGAATGCCGTAAAACACAAAGTTTTACAAGAAAATCGTTTTGTCCCCTAGTTTTATGTATTTATGTGTCACAATATTTAATTAATATATGTATTTCAAGATAATACAGATATGCCAAACCTGATTGCAATATTATTTTTACCCTATCTGAGACCCTACCCTAACCTACTTCCCAATAATTATTAAATAAGTAAAACGATTTAATGTTGACATTAAATGAAAATAACGAGCGATTACCCAAACAAAACGCTATATTAGCTACTTAAAATACGCAAAGTCCAAAACTCTGGTCAGTTTCTAGCGCCAATACACAACTACGTCACCCCCAGCGAGTGAGTAGAACCATTTCAACTTTCTGTAGCTATAACCAGATAAAACTATGAGGGGCGCCATTTGCACTTCGTAACAGAGGATCTTTGTAATATAAATAAAATAAGGAAACATAGAAGACATAACTATAACAAAATAACAAACATAACATAACAAACACAACATAACAAATTCAATCCAATCCGAAATGTGAATAGCCTATGTTCTTTGTCGTCTCGTTTTTTTTACTAACTGTCTAGCCGCTTGAAAAAGGACGAAACGTTTTGTAAAGTTAGTAACCAAATGTAAATAAAGTGCTTCACACCTAACGAGCTGGCGAATTGCTCAGGGCAGAGGCCAAGAAGCTTAAGAAGATGATAAATATTCGAATCCTTTTTGAGGTTACGTAGGTCCTCACGCTCCAAATTTCGGGAAAAAAATGGCCAAAAATCGCCTTAAAAAACAATCGAAACGGATGCCCGCGAAGCGGCGGTACAAGATCGAGAAGAAAGTGCGCGAGCACAATCGGAAACTGAGGCGGCAGGCGAAAAAGGACCCGAAAAAAACGAAACAGAAATTGATCGAGGTGCCGAACATTTGCCCGTTCAAGGAAGACATCCTCAAGGAGGTGGAGGCGTTGAAAAAGCAAAAGGAGGAGGAAAAACAGAGGCTCAAGGAGGCGCAGAAATCGGAGAAGCAACGACGGAAAAGCGAGCAGCTAAAGTCCGGTCTGGAAGGCATGGTGAGGAGCGCAGAGGCGAGAGGAAACCTGCACGAAACTTTAACGCCTGACGCGGCCGGTAAAGAAGAACGCGACGCGAAACAAGAAAAATCCTTGAAACAATATTACAAAGAGTTCAAGAAGGTGATCGAAGCTGCTGACGTGGTGCTGGAAGTGGTGGACGCGCGGGATCCGTTGGGCACCAGGTGCCGTCAGGTAGAGCAGGCGGTGAACGAATTGGGGGGCGGCAAAAAGTTGGTGCTGTTACTGAACAAGGCGGATTTAGTGCCGCGCGATGTTTTGGACCAGTGGCTGAAGTATCTTAAGCAAACCGTACCCGCTGTAGCGTTCAAAGCGTCCGTGCAAAGTCAGAGCAGGAACTTGGGGCAGCGGAAGTTTAGCAAATCGGAGAACACGGTCAAAGGCTCTGCGGCTGTCGGCGCCGAACTCGTAATGTCCTTGCTGGGCAATTATTGTCGAAATAAAGCCATTAAAACGTCCATTACCGTCGGCATCGTAGGTCTGCCCAACGTGGGAAAAAGCTCCGTGATAAACAGTTTGAAGCGGTCGCGGGTGTGCAATGTGGGGGCCACGCCCGGTGTTACGAGGGCCATGCAAGTCGTACAGTTGGACTCGAAAATCAAACTCCTGGATTCGCCCGGTATCGTTTTCGCCTCCGGTAGCGACGACAGCGCCGCGCTGCGAAACGCGGTGAAAATTTCGGCCCTCGCGGATCCCGTGACGCCCGCGAACGCCATCTTGCAGAGGGTATCGAAGCAGCAAATGATGGAACTGTATGGTATCGCGGACTACGGCAGTCCCGACGAGTTTTACAGCTTGAAAGCTACCAGGCACGGTCAGTATAGAAAAGGGGGCGTTCCCGATGCGAACGCGGCCGCCAGGGCTCTGCTGGAGGACTGGAATAACGGGAAAATTCGTTATTATACATTACCTCCAGAAAGAAGCCCCGAGGGGGACGGTTCCTACGCGATAGTTTCGGAATTGGGGAAAGAGTTCGATTTGGACAATTTGGAGGTTATGGAGGTGGACGTTTTGAATAAAATCGAAAAAGAGTCGTCGGACGCGAAACGGGGATTCATACTGGACAGTTTGGGACCGGTCGATTCGTTGGACAATAAGATGGACGTCGAGGATCAGACGGGAGGTTTGCTGGGCGCCAACGTTGCGGTGGTGACGAAAAAGAAACTGCCGAAGAAGGAGAAGAACACGGCTGGCAAAGCGGATCCGGAAATGTCGTTGGAAGGAAACCAGATGTTGAACCGCGTGAAGAAGGCGCAGTTTAAAAAACAGAAAAAAGACAAGAGGAGAAAGGAAAAAGTGGCTTTGCAGTTGTCCACCGGTTTGGAAAGTTTTTCTCTGGCAGACGACTCGTCGAGTAAAAAATTGAAACCGTCCGAGGATTACGATTTCGATACAGATTACGTTCAATAAAAGATTTTTCTGTTGCTCGGTTTTTCTTGTACCCCCCGATATCGGTAGCGCGTTATCAGGTGAGCCCGTCTGTGGTCAAGCTTCCTTGGTACATGGGACCGTCGGGAAAAGAAGAAGAAAAGACGTTATTTGGAACCTAACTTTGTTTGAAATAATTCAAATGAAATGGCGAACTCGGTGGACATAGAAATAATCCTCAAGTCTCACAGGTAACGATAATCGGACGTGCTTGAAGTGTTTTCGCAAAACAAGTGCGGTCTACGTTTCAGTAACATAACAAAGCAGAGTCTCGTAACGGTGGTGCGAAATTATCTGGAAACGCGAAAAGTGCCCCCGAACAGCGTCCTGTGCGATTTCAGCAAGGACGAGATCCCGTTCCATTCGCACGTAAAGTCTGTCATCGTGGGGAACATTCCCTCATACGTAAGCGCGGAGAGAGTTATTTAAACGGGTACTATCGCAAACGGAGCCGTTTCTTTTTAGCAAAAGCCCCATCTAGACTTCAACGATGTACAAGTGAACTGGTTCGTTTATATGCTAGACTCTTTCGGACCCATCGCGGAAACGGAGACCAACGAAGACGGAGAGCAAATCAACATTTCCACTCACTTGGGGTTGCCGTCTTTGGAGTTGTTCGATTTATGGGAGAATTTATATTACGAGGACGATGTTAAAGAGAACGTAGGCAGTATTAGGGTTAGGGGAGGAAATTTGACCGGCGCTGATTTTAGTTGCTGCGGTATGCCCGATCGATGATGGATTTCGCAGATAAAAAGGTCAATCCGAATATAGTGAGTTGTAATAGGGTCATTTTAATGCACGGTCCCCCTGGTACTGGTAAAACTTCGCTCTCCAAGGCGTTAGCTCACAAATTATCAATACAATTGAGCGATAGGTTCAGCTCGGGCTTGCTTATTGAAATTAACAGTCACAGTCTGTTCTCGAAGTGGTTTTCAGAGGTAAGTGCAAGTGTAATGAGAAATAACTGGTCAAATTAAAGCGGGTTGCTGGGTTGCTTTTTCTAGAGCGGCAAGCTAGTAAACAACATGTTCTCGAAAATCAGGGAAATATGCGAAAACGAAAAAATGCTCGTTTGTTTACTAATCGACGAGGTGGAGTCTTTAGCTCACGCGAGGGATCAGTGTGTGTCGGGTAAATTTTTCGCAAATGGCGAGTCGACAGAAGTTGACATTTTGAAATTTTTAATAGGGACCGAACCGTCCGATTCCATAAGAGTGGTGAACGCCATGTTGACCCAACTGGATCAGATTAAAAGGTTTCCGAACGTTTTAATATTGGCCACGTCCAACATGACCGAGGCCATCGACATTGCTTTTATAAGTAGGGCCGATATAAAGCAGTACTTGGGACCACCCACCGTGCATGCCATGTACAAAATATACCAATCGTGTTTAACGGAATTATTTAAGGTAAATAAAGGGCCTACTGTGCCTTGGAATCAGTAAGTTATGAGAAAGGGGCAATGTAGGTAGGGGCTGTGTAGTTTGCAAGCTAACTAAACTGTTGGCTATTTGAATAGAAAACCCATTGTCATCTAACCTAGTGCCTATTTTATAAACTAACCAAGAGTGTTAACTGATTTGCTTGAAATTATTTAGAAAACTATATTAGCTGGTCAGTTTACACGCTGTCTGTTACAATCTAGCTAATATAAAACCATAATTTATAGTAATACGAAATAGACAAATATTTGACTAATTTATTTGAAATTATTTAGAAAACTATATTAGCTGGTTAATTTACTTGAAATTATTTAAAAAACTATATTAGCTGGTTAGTTTACAAACTATCCATTACAATCTAGCCAATGTAAAGCCATAAATTGTGGTAATACAAAATAGCCAAACATCTGACTAATTTACTTGAAATTATTTAGAAAACTATATTAGCCGGTTAATTTACTTGAAATTATTTAAAAAACTATATTAGTTGGTTAGTTTATAAACTATCCATTACAATCTAGCTAAAGTAAAACCATAATTTATAGTAATACGAAATAGTCAAACATTTGACTAATTTATTTGAAATTATTTAGAAAACTATATCAGCTGGTTAATTTACTTAAAATTATTTAAAAAACTATATTAGCTGGTTAGTTTATAAACTATTCATTACAATCTAGCCAATGTAAAACCATAAGTTGTGGTAATACAAAATAGCCAAACATTTGACTAATTTACTTGAAATTATTTAGAAAACTATATTAGCTGGTTAATTTACTTGAAATTATTTAAAAAACTATATTAGCTGGTTAGTTTATAAACTATCCATTACAATCTAGCCAATGTAAAACCATAAGTTGTGGTAATACAAAATAGCCAAACATTTGAATAATTTTTACTTGAAATTATTGAGAAAACGATATTAGCTGGTTAGTTAACTATCTATCATTTACAATCTAGCTAATATAAAATCATAAATTATAGTAATACAAAATAGCCAAACATTTGACTAATTTACTTGAAATTATTTAAAAAACTATATTAGCTAGTTAGTTTATAAATTATCCATTACAATCTAGCTAATGTAAAACCATAAGTTGTGGTAATACAAAATAGCCAAACATCTGACTAATTCACTTGAAATTATGTAGAAAACTATATTAGCTGGTTAATTTACTTGAAATTATTTAAAAAACTATATTAGCTGGTTAGTTTATAAACTATCCATTACAATCTAGCTAATGTAAAACCATAAGTTGTGGTAATACAAAATAGCCAAACATCTGACTAATTCACTTGAAATTATGTAGAAAACTATATTAGCTGGTTAATTTACTTGAAATTATTTAAAAAACTATATTAGCTGGTTAGTTTATAAACTATCCATTACAATCTAGCTAATGTAAAACCATAAGTTGTGGTAATACAAAATAGCCAAACATTTGACTAAATTACTTGAAATTATTTAGAAAACTATATTAGCTGGTTAATTTACTTGAAATTATTTAAAAAACTATATTAGCTGGTTAGTTTATAAACTATCCATTACAATCTAGCCAATGTAAAACCATAAGTTGTGGTAATACAAAATAGCCAAACATTTGAATAATTTTTACTTGAAATTATTGAGAAAACGATATTAGCTGGTTAGTTAACTATCTATCATTTACAATCTAGCTAATATAAAATCATAAATTATAGTAATACAAAATAGCCAAACATTTGATTAATTTACTTGAAATTATTTAAAAAACTATATTAGCTAGTTAGTTTATAAATTATCCTTTACAATCTAACTAATAGAAAAACAATTTATAGTAATGAAAAAAAAAATCTTTAGAAAACTATATTGGCTGTCAGTGTCTTGATTGCCCCGAGGGGGATTTTCATCATGTAAGTTTTTATGCAGTTCTAAATCTTCGTTCTTAAGCATAAATATTTTTTTCTGAGGAATTAGGAAGGTCGTTTAAACCATCACCCCAAGGAACCCCAAACAGGGCTTCATGAGGTCTTCTTCCAATTCCAGAATGAAAACACTAAGAAATAAAAATATTTTATATCTACGTATCTACTTCAATGAGGCGTTCTGGTTGAAGGCTAATTCTTCTACGGGGAGATAGATGGCGCTGAGGGTGTTCATTTGTTACTTTTTTTTTTATTATAGAGATTTAATAACGAAGCTTTAAATTTTTCTTCGTGGTCCATTTTATTACAGTAAACGTTCGTGTAAAATGTAAACATACGCGGCCAGTACAACAAAAAGAAAATTATTGACCTAACCTAACTTTATTTAAAAATTACGCAAATTCCGATTTGTTACGGGTTTCCGCCACACGGGCGTTTCAATTTGCAGGCGAAAATAATAAAACCGATGGACGATAACGATAGTGGGGACGATTTGCGGGATTGTGGCGCCGTTTTGAATGGTTTGTGCGAGAAAAGCGTCGGTCTAAGCGGCCGTTCGTTGAGAAAAATCCCGTTTTTGGCGTACGCGTTGTTTTTGACGGACCGTCCCGTGGACCTCGCGCGGTTTTTGCACGCCATGGAACTCGCGGTCGAGAGGGAACACTCCGATCGAAAACTGTTGATGAAAACTTGATTTTTTTGCGTTGTTATAATTTTCGAGGTACAATAAATTATTTGAGGCTTTCCTTTTGGTACCTTATTTCATTTCCCACGCGTCCACTTAACAAATTGCGTTTGTGGCGTGTTTAAAATGTATCGATTCTAACAGAGGCCATTGTTTCTCATAGTTGCTTCACAAGTTCCATATATAAGCAGGGTCTCTATATGTCTACCATATAGCTACTAGACCATATTCTCACACAAACGAATTAAGGACGAGTTGGCAGCCTTTTGTAGTTTAAAAAAAAACGTTTAACCCTCTGTATAATAATAATAAGAACGTCCAAGGAGAAGATTACAGCAATTAAATACTGGCTATGCCGGATTTGTCCACCTGTTCCAAGAGGCTTTTCAGGTTGACATCGAACAACTCGCACCTGATGGGCATTTCCAGTGAATAAAACGGATTTTTTAGGGCATAATCCGCGTACAGTTCGTAGACCCGCTTCAAAAATATATCTAAACCGCTCTGGTGCGGATCCCCGACCACCATTATTTTGACGCCAGTCAACGTTTGAAAACACTGAAGCCGGAAGGTGTCCGCTTCGAGCACTTCGATGCCCGAACTCTTGGGCTCGGGACTCAACTGGCTGGCCATCGCGAACAGCGGATAAAACATGCTGGCGAGGAAGATTTTCTCATTGGTCGTCATTTTGGGTCTGCTGAATTTCAACGTTATCGGGTAATTTTCGCGGGCCTCGATAACATCGAACGCGTCCCTGCCATCGTCCAATTGGCGCCCTGTTACCGGGATCCCGTTGACTGAGCTCAGCACGTGTCCGACTGTAATTCGAGTTACAATCAAACGTTAAACGCGCCCTGCTTATTTTTACCCTGGATGCCGTCCCTTTGGCCGAACTCGACGCTTACTTTCTTGTTTTCGAAGCGCAGCTTGATGTCGAGCGGGTACGAGAACTTTTTCTCCGTTTCGATTTTGGGCACAGTGTGGTCGTAGTTGAATATCAAGCCGCCCGACTTGGAAACTATATAAATCCCGTAAATAACCATTTCGGTCGCCGGAACATTGATGTTTAGGAACGTAAACAGCAAAATATTACCCTAACCTTGAATTGTGATTCTTCTTCCTTTTTCATGGAAGGCCCATGCGTGGAGGATGCATTGGGTGTTCGATGGTCTAACTATTATTTGATACTTTGGCGAACTTATTCCACCATATACTACCCACTGTAATATTCCATGCTTTGAATCGAAATCAGAAACCAGCCGAAGCGGCTTGTTGGTGTTTATCCCTCCGCGTAGAAGTGATTATGTTAAGATATGCGAAGTTTGATTCAATTCAATTCAATGATGCGTTTCACAGAAAACTGTTGGGAACGACTACCAGGATCATTCGCCCAACGAAGTTTGATAAAGGTAGGTTCTTATTTTTAATTTGACTTTTGTAGGTTATGTTCTCAACTAAAGATCTAAGTGTATTTATTAAAACGGTTCGTTACAAAAGTTATATGTACAAAATCCTAACACGTATTTTTTTGTTTTTTTTTTTTATTGCGCTTAAATTACTAGTAAACGATGCGTTTGGTCGGGACCGAGTGTGGGAGCGATTCTCTCGTGTCGTTTATCCTTGGGAGTGTTTCGTGTATTTCTCTAGCGGGAACAGTTTTTCCCATTCGGCGTACCGTTTTTCGTAAAGTTTTTCCTGCACGGTCAGCTTGTTCCCGAGATCGAGGTACTTTTGGGTCTTCGGGGTGAACGGTTCCCATTTGACGTTGTCCAATTTATCGTTTGGAGTCGGTATCGGATTGCTGTGGAGAAATAGCGTAGTTAAGATTGAAGAAAATTCGGGTTATAGATTTCGTGCTTGTCTATGGGCACGAAGCCTTGATCGAATTTTTCCAAGAATGTGCCTATGCACGGGTAAATGTCACCTTATGTACAAGTTAATTTAAAAGATTTAAAAGTGCTTTCTATAGTCGCATTCCGTGAATTCGACTTTATTTACGTTTTTAGAAGTTAAACCGATAAGTTTATAAAAACAAATTGTTGTCGCCGATTTACGGTCACAAAATCGGGAAAAATTAGCTGGTATCGTGTCTATAGCGCTTAAAGAATCAAAACGCTAAAAAATACGTACAAAATTGCCTGAAAATTTAATGTTATTTCGACAAATTTTGAGAAAATACTGCCGTAAAACTGGACGTAAAAACATTGACTACCTGTCAGCGGCCATGTTGGTTGTTGGAAGCCGCAAGGCCTTATGGGTCGAACGTCAGAAAATGCAATTAGAGCTGCCATTGGTTAAAAACGCAATTTCAAATCTCGCGCACGCGCACATTGACCAACCTTTCTCAAAATTTTGTTACAAAGTTGCTTCACAAGTTGCTGGACTATTAGCGTAGATAGGGCATGAAAAAATCAAATGAATTTACCCGAATTTTGCAAAGTTGGCATAGAGACTGGTCAGTTTCGTCACCATTTCGACTTCTTTGGGCGTGTTCTCCTTGAACAACGGGAACAGCTTGGAGATATAGAACAGGTAGATGAGATCGTCATTGTGGACGACACCTACAACGAAACGGGTTCAAGGGGGGCAGTCTCGGGGGGCGTCGAATGTCGTCGCGTCACCGTATGGCTGAGTGTTGTTGCTCTCGGGCGTGTAAAAGTGACTGTATCTTCCCTGGTAATTGAACCTGTAGTAGTAGCTCGATTGGTTGTTCTTTTCGCTGACCAATTTGACTGCCCTGTTGACACCAAAGCCGGCGTTCGCGTCGGCGTACAGCTGCGCCAGGTTAGCCAGCAGCGTCTTGTCCAGCGGTTGGTCGTTGAAGTAGTACGCCTTCAGCGCTTTGCTCACCATCTTCGATTGGTCCGTGTTGCGGTCGTACCAGAAGGTGATGGGCGCCTTCTCCTCCCATTTGTCGTTGAGTAAGTTGAGAAGCGTCTGGTTGTTCACGATATCTGCGAGATAAGAAACGGAATCGAACTGGGGGATGATTTTTTCTCCCACGACGATCATCGATTTGCCGCGAAATTTTGACCAAGTGGCGAAATAAACATTGAAAGTAGAAGGATAAAATATTGGACATAAAATGGTGCAAGACCTAGGCAGTGTTTTTGGTTCCTCTAACTGATGCTGACACCAGAAATTAAAAATTAAAAAAAAAATAATTTTTTGACGCATTTAGCATTTACAATATAGTTTAACCTAAGAAAAATAGTACCCACACATGTCAAACGAGTAATAATACTTTACGTTACAATTAAAACTACCGAGAGAGTCAGAAAATAAATCAATACGCTCGTTATTTGAGAGTAAAATATTTGTCAGCTTGTTGGTCCTATGAAAATCGATGTTAAAAAGAGCCTTATTTCTTGCATTAATAGGAGAAATATGAAAACCAACAGACGCCAGAAGATCTGGTGCATCTATCAAGTTACTAAGGATTTTGTACAATGTAGAGATGTCAAAAAATATGCGCCTACTCTCCAAAGATGTCAGATTCAAAAGCATAATAAGCTCTCCCTCTAAGGAACTTATGCTACACACGCTCTATAATAAGAGTTTGGGCTGATATCTGCAGTGTTGATGCGGTTTTAGATACGATATGTTAAGTTATGAAAATGCTGGTTTTGACTATAATCTGCTCGAAATCAAAAGAGAAAACCAATTATTTGTCCCAGAAAGAAGGGTATTAAGTTCATATCTGCATTTTTAAGGTACATTTCGCTACACTAGGAGACGAAAAAGCAAATTCTTCAGATGGTTTATTAACTTTTCCGTTACAATAAAGGCCGAAGATGTCGATTTTGACATGAAAAGGTTCAAAAAAATGATAGTTTGAGCTGATCTTAAGTTTCAGTTAAGGAGATCGCGTATTAACTCACCAAACGCTCGGTACCCGAACTCGTCCGTGTTCACGCCGGTAAGGAACGGTACCTTGTGGAACTCCCCGTTCTGAATCAGCGTGATCGGATGGGCGGGCAGGAACCGCGGCTGTCCGAAGTCCTTCTCCATGACCGGCGTCCAAATGAGCAGCGGATCGAGCCCGAACTCCTGGAATTTCGGCAACGACTGCCCGATCTCGTTGGCCGGTTTGCTCTTTAAGCATTTGATGACGTCGGCTGGGGTCGCGTCTCCGCAACCCACCAATCGCGCCTGTTTCTTAGCCAGCTCGAGTTGCTCGTGAGGTATGGTCCATTGGCTGGTCGGCGAGCCGCTCATGGCGACCGCTTTGTGGAACAGACCTGCAAAGAACACCGTGAACACTTTGCAGAAGAGGGCGGAACCCCCTTACCTGCCGACATGGGAGAGACCATGTGGAGGACGACGCTGACCGCGCCAGCGCTGTAACCCAGCAACGTTACCGAGTTCGGGTCGCCTCCGAACGACTCGACGTTCTGCTGCACCCACTTGAGCGCCTGCACCTGATCCTTTAACCCGTTATTGCCGGGGGCGTCTTTCTCTCCCGTCGAAATGAAACCTATACGGATAGTACTATAAGACGCCGAGCGGGGCGCGGTGCAAGGCGGAAACGTCACCTAGAGCGCCTAACCGGTAGTTGAGAGTGACCAACACCACGTCCTGATCGCAGAAATACTGGGGCCCCAGCCAGTAACTCGCGGCGCCGCCACTGTAAAATCCTCCCCCGTGCAAGTAGACTACTACGGGTCGTTTAACGCTCTTCTCATCGCCTTTGGGTAGCTGACGAATACACCCGAGGGTTTTACCGCCGGAAATCACCGCATCGATCCGAGCTTACCCTTGTGGTGTAGACGTTCAGCAGCAGACAGTCTTCGGAGGTGGGGTCGGCGCCCGGTTGCGGACACAACGGCCCGTCTACGGTCGCGTTGTACACCCCCTCGTACTTCTCTATCGGCTGGGGTGGATGGAACCTCAACTCGTTGATTGGCGCCCGGGCGTACCGTACGCCCCTGAACGCGTAGATTCGTTTCCCGAGCCTCGATTGGATCACCGAGCCTTGCACTTGTCCGAGGGGCGTGGTCACTATCGGCGACTCGTCGGGCGTGGCGTCGGGGGCGGCGTCCGGGTACGGGTGGGCCGCCGCGAGGGCCCACAGCGCGACTAGAACCCGCGTTCTACGGAACATTATCTACGGTGAAGAAAATATATCACATTCTACGGGTACCACGAGCGCACCGGTACTGCCTTGGAAATATATGGGCCCGCTTTTTATACCGCGACATTAATTTAACAAGTCTTTATTGGATAATTCGCCGTTTATTCGCTTCATGGCCTAAATGGAATTAACGAGGTCGGAGTACCCTTTGTGCTTTAATTTATATCGCCTCGGTGGAAAATTTCCGCGAGAAGTATCGGCTGCGTAATTGAAGGCAAGGTACGTCCCTCGCTCTTGGCTCGTCGGTTTACGGCCAATGACAGCGAAGGAAGATGCGCGTTTCCGTCTTTGTATTCTGTGCCCTGGGCGAATGATCATAACAGTCTTGCCCATCTATATTAGTAAAACATTATTGAACTGAATATGTGCTCTAATCCTGCTTACTAACGGACCCTATCTCCTCAGCAGCTTTATAAGCTTCTTAAATAGAAACGGAAGTCTGAAAAGCAAACTTCCTCAGGAGAACAGTCTCGATTATCTGGCGCAGTTCTAAATAGTGCTGGAAAATTGCCTGGTAGCAGCGCCAACTTCAAAAAAGAAGAAAAGAAGAAGAATTAAATATTCCGCACATTTTGCAGGTCTTCCATTTCTGAATTATCCACTCAAGCTGATTCACAATTGGGTCGAACTTCTGGAAAGAGAATAAACGTAGTTGAGGGTATGCCTAGGTTGACTATAATTGACGTTTTCATTTGATTTTGATATAAGCAAAACATTTAATCCGATATTGGTAAAGCACTTATCATTTTCAACGATTAAATGTCCTCAACATAATTTTTGTGAGATAATAACAAGATGTTTATTGGTGGTCTAAAAGCATTAATTGAAAGGACAAAACAGTAAATTTGCTGTTTTCGTATCAAAAGAGAAAAATCAAGTTTTGCTATATTTGCCATATTATTTTTAATGTCGATGCTTCCTTGTATATTTCTTTATGTAAAATAATAAATGGTTTAATAATAGTAACTAGTCTTTACTTGATTAAAATTATCATTTATGAGAAGTTGTATTCTCCGTTTTGATCGTCCGAAAATATTTCACGCTTATTGTAGAATTCAAAAAATTATTTTGTTTATTGCAATGACATAAAAGACGTTTTTTTTCTACACGCAGTTGCTAATTACAAAAAAGTCAATGTAAAATTGCGATTTTCCCATTGTAAAGCGTTTTTTTTTGCATTTAATTTTTAAACCAAATTCGCTTGTTTGATAAAGAAGGAATCTGTCTAATTATTTTTGCCGGCATTTTAAAATAATACATGCGACAAACACGACATGTCACTTATATGGCCGTTGCCAGCATATTTTGGTCTGTGATTTGTGATCGTGGAAGACACCGTGCCGTATTCTACGGTTATCCGAATTTTTCCGGCGGAACTTTTTGGATCTGGAATAAATCGCCTAGCGGAACATGAGCACGATTTTGGAAAAGATCGCCGCGATCGAGGCGGAAGTGAGTAAACGCGGGGCTCACGCTCATCCTTCTAACCTCGCTTTTTTCATCAGATGGCCCGGACCCAGAAAAATAAAGCGACCGCCGGCCACTTGGGCCTGTTAAAAGCCCGCCTTGCCAAACTGAGACGGGAACTGATCACGCCCAAGGGCGGGGGCGGCGGTGCGGGCGAAGGATTCGACGTGGCGAAGACCGGAGACGCGCGGGTCGGCTTCGTCGGGTTCCCCTCCGTCGGCAAGTCGACTTTGTTGAGTAACTTGGCGGGGGTGTATTCCGAAGTGGCCGCCTACGAGTTTACCACCCTCACGACCGTACCGGGCTGTATAAAATTTAAAGGAGCTAAAATACAGGTTAACATTAAAAGGGTGCCTCGCGCTCGGACTCTAGACGTTGGCATTTTCAGCTGTTGGACTTGCCGGGAATTATCGAGGGCGCCAAGGACGGGAAGGGTAGGGGGCGGCAGGTCATAGCGGTGGCGCGCACTTGTAGCCTTATATTCCTCGTGCTGGACGTTTTGAAACCGCTGGTTCACAAGAAACTCATCGAACACGAACTCGAAGGGTTCGGTTTGAGGTTGAACAAGCAGCCGCCCAATATATACTTTAAGAAAAAGGACAAGGGAGGGATCAACTTGAATTGCATGGTGCCTCAGTCAGAGTTGGACTCTGACACGGTCAAGTCCATTTTGTCGGAGTACAAGATACACAACGCCGACGTCACGTTAAAGTACGACGCGACCAGCGACGACTTGATCGACGTGATCGAGGGAAATCGCATATACGTGCCTTGCATTTACATTTTAAATAAGATCGACCAGATTAGCATCGAGGAGTTGGACGTTATTTACAAAATACCTCACTGCGTTCCTATATCAGCTCATCACAGGTGGAACTTTGACGATCTGTTGGAGAAAATGTGGGAGTATTTGAAACTAGTGCGCATGTAAGTGCTGGTGTGGCCCTTCTCAGGGAGAGCAAGTATTTTTTTTTTGCGCGTTGCAGCTACACGAAGCCCAAGGGTCAGTTGCCCGACTACAATTCCCCCATAGTGTTGCACTCGGAACACACGACTGTCGAGGATTTTTGCAACAAACTCCATCGAAGTATCGTCAAGGAATTTAAATAGTGAGTCGATTTCGGTAAGGTCATTAACTGGACTGTTAAAAATGCCGCTTTTAGCGCTTTGGTGTGGGGCTCGTCGGTGAAACACCAGCCACAAAAAGTGGGGTTAGATCACGTGCTGGCCGACGAGGACGTGGTGCAGATTGTGAAAAAAGTCTGACGCGTTTCCAAAGGTCCTTTGGGTGTTATCTGTTTAAATGTGGGAGGAACGATTTTTGGAACAAACTTGATTTTTTGGATTGATTAAAAAGAGATCATGACTCTGCGTTTTAATCATTTGCTTTTTTTATAAGTTATTCTTCCATATAGGCTATATTAGCGAGGAGAAATAACATGGGCTAGGTTTTTAATTATTAGGAGCTATTTAAGAGTTTATAATTATTTATTAAGTATTAGACATGAAAATAGAAAACATAACATTATAAAACTAACTATTCTCTACAGGTAAAAATGGTTATAAAAATGTAAATTAATTATTGGGATCTCACGCCGCCACTGGTTAACAAAATCAAGTTCATCTCTCCAATAAATTTGTTTTTAAGTGCCAATATTACCCACCGAGCAAAATCTAGATTTTTTTTTAATAATTACGCCCTTAAATAATGTTTCACTGTCATTGTAGTGTCATTAATAACAAACTTGAAATATCGGATCGTAAAATTTTACATTCCAAACTTTGGCAGCTGTCGAAAAAATGGCCGTTCTACCTCACTCTAAAATTACGTATTGGTAACTAGCAACAACACGGTGACAAATTTAGGTTAGGAAATTTGACATTAACGTAAAAACGGCGAATTAATCAAAACCACCCTTTTTTTAAAATAAAATTCAAGTTATCACATTTGGGTCACGGGGTCGATACCCAACATGCGTAACGAATTGTGTACAACCCATCGTAATCCGTTTATCAAACACATCCTCGCGTGTATCAACCCGAACAAGTGTACCCTGGGGTCCACCAAGATGCGACATTTGTTGTAGTAAACGCTAAATAGGGACGACCAGTTTATTAAAAATGTTACTAGGTGTTGAGGGTTTATCACGCCGCTCTCAATATCACCGATACAGCTTTCGATAACCGCAGGGAACTGCAAAACGTACACGTACACCAATTCCCACTCTTCCCGTCGGTCTAGGAGGTCGAAATCGATGTCTTTCACGTCTCCTATCGCGGGGTAAATTCCCCGCGTCACCCTGCTATCGAATTCTTTGAGCAACGCGCATAACCTCGCGTAATTGTAGACTACGAATAGCGAGTTCTTATTTACACCGTCCATAGGTATTTTTATACACTTGTGGGGTTTGTTAGCCAACATTTCCAGCGCCACCGACGCCTCGGCCAATTTTTTAAAGTGCTCCTCTGAAACTTGGACCCCTAGTCTGTGCCGAGACATCGTTCTGAGATCTGCGATTCGTTTGTCGTAAAAATCACTAACACTACGGTCCGTGTCTTTGACACCTCCGTCGTTGATCACCGCGCCGCACAGTATACTGTCGCCATCTGCCGTCTGTGACAGAACTATGGTTTTCGCCCCATCCGAATTTTTAGCGGTCACGAATTTTAATAAATTTTCCACGATCGTTTTTATTAGCGACATCCTCAAGGCACTTAAATCGTCTACGGTATCGGGGCCGTCCAATTTTACACTTATAACGCACTTCAGCGTTTCGCTTCTGCCGTAGTCGAATTTTTGCGCAACGACCGCGGAAATCGCGTGTAAATATACGGGCTGCCTTTCGAGATACAAATACGCGCGGTCTTTTACAATTTTATAGCGTCGTATTTTGAAAATACGATACACGAGGCTGTCGCACAACTCTTTCACGGTCGTCTCGCGGTCACTTTCGTCGAATTTGCGCACCAAAACGTCGGTTTCGTCGTCGATGTAGGCACTCCAACACTTTGACAGCAGAGGGAAACTGATTTCACCTACATCTTCTAAATTTGACGTGTGTCTTTTTATGATATTGGCGTCCGCTTCGGTCCCCGTCAAAGTTCGGAACATCTTTTTGACGAAATCGTCCAATATATTCGTCATTTCAATCGAAATTCGGCTCGAGAGCCGACGAGGTTAGGTTTTCGCGACATTTGCGATTGTGGGTATCACAGATAACTTGGTGTGGTTAGTCTGTACCTACACTACCGGCCGTATCGCAGAATGCGACTTGGTTTCTCGTTATTCCAAAATTCGCAAAAGATATCTATAATTAATTTTACTAATTTGGTTATTAAACAACTTGTGCCCAATTTTGAATCCTTTTGCGTATGGAACAAAAAAAATCAAAGAAAAATAAATGTACCGTTTTTCGAAAAAGTATATTATTTACTCGGAATGAAGTTGATCCTGTAACTTTTCAATGGAGGCCAAATAGAGGAATAGGACGAGTGATTTATCGAAATATATGTAAATGTTACACAAATATGTAAAAAATATTCGCGAATGAGAACTACTCTCTTCGTAACCGTATCCGTTCCTATTTTTTCGTAAACAATGCCCGTTACCTTCGAAGCAAAAAATTGTATGTAGGTTTTTAGGAATCTGCATGTAGACATTTGAATACAATTATGGCAATAAACGAATAATAAAGATGATGCACGGCGCGTGCTTGCGCAAGACTATTCGTCATGATCCGAAAGTAATAAATCAGGTTGCTATCATAGTATAGATAGAAGAAATTGTTCAACTAAAATATTTCGACGGAGCTTTTTAAATATATTTTGCAAATATGTTACGTTGTTACATGTACCTTATATAACAGGTTTACGTGCGTTATAGTGGCGGAATCAAGCTTTCGTGATAAAAAGTACATATATAAAAAAACTTTCGCTTTTAGTTAGAGATAAAAAACAAACGGGTCGCGTTGGGATGATTTTTATTTCGCTCATTCGTTGTTTTCGAATCTTAGAAACAATCGCAAGGTAGCAAAAATCAATTCGCGGGGGAATCTGCTCGGCCTTGCATCCTCCCTCTGTGCGTGTCGAAACCTATTCATTTGGTATTTAAAGGAAATCAAACTGTGTACGCCGTTTAATTCCTTTTAACGTTCGGCGAAAATTTACTGCGTTCTTTTGCGTTTAGAAACATCTAGATAAAAATGTCTCCGGAAAAGTGTTTCGCGTTTTTCATCATCGTTTCGGTGACTGTTTGTTGGACTCGAGCGGCCCCCCAGATCGCCAGACAGGGTCCATTCGGATCCAGCCGGGGCGAAGATGAATCGCCCCAACCGGTATGTGTGCATTTTTTAACGTTTTTCGTGGATTTTTTTAACGGAATGGATCGTTTTTCAGTACGAGTTTCATTATAACGTAGACAACCCGCAAACCGCAACCCTTTTCGGACAGAACGAATCGAGCGATCAGCAGGGAAGGGTTACGGGCGGTTACTACGTGCTTTTGCCGGACGGACGGATCATGAACGTAGAATACACGGTCGAAGGTGAATCCGGATTCGTTCCCAGGATTACTTTCAGCCCGCAGAACGCCCCGGGTGCCGTTCCCGGCAGAAGGTAGTGCGATCCGTAGCCTAATTTAATTATTTTGTAATATTGTCGAGCATTGTGGCCATTACTGTCTTTTGTAACGCAGGAACATAATATATTTTTATGATTTTTTCGAGGCGTTTTATTTCGAGTTGCGTTTTATTCCTCTAAAAATAGTCCATTGCGCAAAATAAATCATGCAATTTAAATTGTTTTTTTTTACTATGCTATAGGTTAGTAATTCATTCAGTACCATGCTATTACCATTAGCATAGAATCATGCGCTGACTTACCAATTATGAGTCTACGTTGTCCACAATTTTTGTGTGAGAGATTTGTTAACGCCGAGATATGCAGACGCCGGTTCTTTCAAAAAAGCAGCAAAAGCAGTCGCTGTCCGGTAAAAAAGGGCGTCATAGAGACACCATTAAAAATGTTCTCGCCTCTCCGTTTGCGAAATATTGGTAACTCTAGTTAACTCGTCGCGTTCCCGGCATACAGATATCGTTTTAGGCCCCAAATATCGGCGGAAGATTGCGACGTCTTGAGGGACGTCTTGGAAAAAAATCTCGCGCGAATAGTCCCAGAAAAACCGAAAATTCCGTGGTCGGAGCTGCGGAAAATGGCGAAAGAGGAAAGAAAGCTGCTCAAGCGGGCAAAATTAGGCGAAACGACCACCGAAAACGCTAGGGAAGGTATAATGGTCGGCGTTAACGACGCGACGAGGGCTCTGGAGGACGGTTCGGCCAGGGCCGTGTTAATAAGCGACGACGTTCGCCCGAAAGTCATGGTGGAGCATCTCGTGGATCAGGCGGTTTTGCAATCGGTTCCCGTTTTGGTGGTGCCGGGCTTGAGAGATATCTTGCGTTGTAAATGCGGGATCGGCAGCGCGGCAGTGGCGTTCACCGCTTGCGAGCGTTATGAAATGACTCAAAAGTGCATAGAGGATATTTTTCGAGGGTATCCGGTGCCTAGAAATCATATTAATTATCGGCGCTCTATCAATTACGTCATCCGTGAAAAATCCATGGCGGCCATGGGAGGGATGGAAGATTCTACACCGCAGGAGGAGGCGCCAGTAGTACTGAGCCCGAAAGTATATCTTTTTCGAAGGGATAAAAATGAGAGAGTGTTTACGCCCGATAGTGATAGTGTTAATGTGGTGACTCGCGTTGGATCTGTGGACTATGTGAGGTTGCAGTCTTTTAGTGACAGCGTGGAGGCCGTCCATATTCCCCTGAAAGTGAAGAGGATAAAGGGCAATGTAAATAGAAATAAGAGAAAAGGGGATTTGATTAAACAGTCGAGGTCGAAGAGGAAGAGACAGTCGGAATAAATAGATATCTCTAAATTGAGGGGGTAAGTTTAAATTATAAGAAAGATTGAATTGTTAATTGTGCAGTAAAGAGTGGTTTGCATAGTTTTAACACTCTTTTATTGATCAGTGACAACACATACATATATAGTAATATTATTTTATGCTAACCTAAAGCGTCATACAGTCTTGTACATGTTTTTTTTTTTAAAAAAATACGGGAGTTTAATAAAATTTTGCAGGACTAGAAAGCGCAGGCGTAATTTGGAATAGAACTGGGCGCTGGCATTGACATATCCAAAGCTACCTTAATACAAAAATATTTTATTCCCCGTTTGGCAAGGAGATTTTTTTTTCGCATTCGCTGCTCTCCGGGTTTGTTCGCGATGTGCCAGTGAACGCGGTCTTCGATTATCTAACTTCACTGGATTAAACTCTATCGGTTTTCGGACTTTGGCCGTTTTGCTGCTTAAGTGGCTGAAATTCGCCGGGGTCGTCCTCGATTTTGTTCCAACTTTGTTCCTCACCGGACGCAAATATCAAATAAACGATTGCCTCGATCAGGTACAGCACGATCGTCACCCAGAAGATTATGATCCAAGACTGCTTGGAGCTCTGCGTTAAAAAAAAAATCATGTTAGCCATGCCGTCAAGTCAAAATTGAACCATAAGTAATAATTAATATCAAAATATAGCACTCTATACCTGAACTATATTTGACAAAAAAAGAATTGACTTCAAGGTATGTGGAAAAATAAATATGCAATATCATTTTAAAATCACATTCATCGTTCGATATCTTGATATTTATAGAAACGCCAAATGTGCTTGACAAATTCACATGGAGGGCTTTGGAAAATAATTTCAGAACTGTCAAAGTCTTGCAGTTTCATTTGTACTTTATAAAAGTTGTTGGTGACTTTTTTATAAGCCGCTATGGTAAGTGCCAAAGAATTTGTTTCAATTGAAGGCTACAGGGGAAAAATCAACCAATATTGATAAAATCGGTGTTATCATTTCAGTACGTGTTTTGTGCTGTGTATTTCAAGACATTAATCTAGCCACTAAACGAAAAAAATGGTTTCCTATTGTTTTAAATTTTGCGTTCTTTCTCCTGAATTTTTTCTTTTTTGTTTTTTTATTTAGTGTTTTGATCGCTTTGGAACTCTAGGAAAATATTTTTGATATAAAAAAGTGTATCAAGGTTTTTACATTTTTAATTTATAAATGTGTGCATAATCTGTTATATCTGTATCACCCTCTGCCACAAATGACAGAAGGTGATCGGCCAATTAAGCGCGGGGCTTTCGGGCATAGTGCGTAAAACGTCCGATAGAGGGCACAACTAACACCAAGTAAACAAATAATTTAGTTTTTAAATTGACCTCTTTCCGTTCCACCTTTTATATGTTCTCGTGAGAAGTTACCAACAAAGATTAGATATTAATGTGCTACCACGGTCCATATTGATAATCGTTTCTTTTGAGCACTAGTTAAACATAAAAATATTTAATTACCCAAAAAGCAAGATAAACAATTTAAATAAAACTAACCAAAACTAAAGAATGCCTTTTGGCATTGAATTATTGAATTCCGCGGTTGTTGCTACGTGGTGCTAACTAATACGATGGCACATTTTTAGGTTTCCTGTAAATAAAAAATTGTAAATAATTTTATTGCATATTTGCATATTTAGCGATTGTTTTTAGTTCATTTTCCTTAAAGATAAACAAAAATACGAAGAAGGCACGAAGAGGCGACGAATTTGTATTTGAATTCCTTAAAAATATATATTTTTTTTCCACCCTGTGTATGTTCTCATGAGAAGTTAGATACAAAGATTATATATTAGTCTGGGAACTCTATCACATTTCGATACATATTCTGCGTAAGTCGACCACGTGTATACGATATTGATGACTTTTGAAACCCCAAAACTAGTTTTCACAAGATTACCATGACGTGTTCTTTGTTTGTGAAGTATTTCACACTAGTAATTTGCTAGGATATATCACCTCGGTCGCTCGAATAGAACTGTCAAAAATAGAAAGGAATGATCTAGAATCATCTACGGGAAGCAATAATCAATAATTGAACTGCTGGGTTTTACTTGATCAAAATCCATTTGATACAATTAAATTAGAACAAAAAATGTTCAGATTTTCACAGTTATTTATTGGTTTATGACGGCTGTGTTTTGTGCCTTTATCGTATACAAAATATGACAATATTCCTGCATATGTAAATAGGTGGTAGTAGATTATAGTTGTAGGCTTATAAATTTAAATTTAACAACGGAGCTCCATTTAAATCCAATTGGTCATTAAGTAATAGATTTTTTGTTAATAGTTAATAATAGTTTTTTGCTTTTTGATTCATAATGTAAAATATCAATATCAACAGACTTGTGCATTTCTGAATTTAAATGACCGCCATAGTTAGATTTGTAACGTTCATACGAGGGCTGTTGAAAAAGGAAGGCGACTTTTGTAATTGGACTGGCTAAGTACATTCGATCTCCGATTTTTGTTGTTGTTGTGTTGGTACACCTGTCCCCAGCATATGTTCACAGTTTCAGCCAGTTGGCACGTTAACTTTTTTTTGTGAGATAGAAACGATAGACGTGCCTTGAGTGTTCGGCGATTTTCTGCTAGAATTTGCATAAATTTTTGTGTAAAAAAATGGAATACAGTGCTGCAAAACACTTGAAATGTGATGAATCTACTTTGAGCAAAAAAAGCTGTTCCAAGGTGGTCGAGAAGATCTCTTTTGGCTCGTTGCTTACGTCTAATTTTTTGGCCAAAACCACAACCACGCTTCAGCCACCATATTCACCGGATATCGCCCCCTGCGACATTTTCCTGTTTCCAACACGCAAGAAACCCACGAAAAGGAGGTTTGGAACAATTGAAAAAATAAAAGATCACTATAAGAACTGAGGGGGGGGGGGTTACTTCGAAGGGGGCAACATTAATTTCGATGAACAAATAAAAACTTTTTGGTAAAACTGAAGTCACCTTACTTTTTGAACACACCTCGTATTTATAAGCTCTTTTATGTTCGTTGCTGCGTTTCCTAAATGTTGTAGACTCCGGATTTTTGAGTTTTTCGTGATTTAGTTTTATTGTTTTTTAACAATTTTCCTATTGCTCTTCGAAACTCTCTTGCGTGTATATATAATAATAATAATAATATTATAATTTAATTATATTATATGTATTTATAATTATATTAGAAAATTGTATATATTTCATATACCGCTTAAGTGGTCTGTAGATAAAAGAATAAAGGCAGCCATTTTGCGTGTGCGAAGGTGATTTGAGTTGTTATGATTTACACTGTCCGTATGTGAGGTAGACAAGCAAGTTTTAGCTCTCTTAAAGCCTCTTCTAAGAGCACCCTCAAGCAATCAATGGTTTTTCGAAGAAAGTGAAGAAATTTGCTAGCATCTGTAAACGTACTGTTTTTCTACAATCTTAGTGTATAAATCGGGTGGCTTCTCACTTCCACGAATCGACACGTAATTTATAGATACTTACGTCATGTTTGATGAGTTCTCCGACGAAGATCGGCACCGTAATCCCCGGTATGGTGGCGACGGTGTTGGTGACGGCTACCAGCGTGCCAGCGTAGTTGGGCGCGATATCTATGTGGTTGCTCAGGAATCCGCAAAACATTCCGCCCACCGACATGACCGCGACGGTCATCAGGACCACGGCCACCGTAGTGTTGTCACCCGCGTAGCAGATTAGCAGGAAACAAACCATGGGCACGATGGACGCGCAGGCGGTCGCCGTCTTGCGCGCTGTCGTCGTCGAAATCACCTGCCAAAATGTTTAATGTATGCTTTCGCCAGAGGGGGCGCCAGCGGCACGCACGTCTTTCGTCCTGAGCGTGTCCAACGTTTTGCTGAGCACCATGGAGAAGATCCACATGCAGAGGAACGGCAACGCCGTCAGCACCGCGTTCTGCGATATCTTAAACTTCAACACGCTCGACATGTACGTCGGCAGCTCGATCAGGACCATGTACCAGCCCCAATTCGAGCACGTGTGCGCTATCAAGATGGCCAAGAACGCAGGAGACGTCATCGCCGCTCTCCACGGCATTTTCAGTTTCTGAAAAAAGAAATAAAAGAATTACGGTCATTTATGGATGGTCAAAATAGGGCATAGTCATAATGGTCCGTGGTCACAATGGCGCATAGTCATAACGGCCGGTGGTCACAATGACGCATAGTCATAACGGCCCGTGGTTACAATGGCGCATAGTCGTAACAGCATGTGGTCACAATGGCACATAGTAATAACGACATGTGGTCACAATGTTGCATAGTCATAACGGCCCGTGGTCACAATGGCGCATAGTCATAACGGCACGTGGCGACAGTGGCGCATAGTCATAATGACCTGTCGTTACAATGGAGCAGTCATATCGGCGCGTGGTCACAGTGGTGCATAGTCATAAGGGTCCAAAGGCACCGTAATAAATAGCTGCAAATGTTGGGCTGAGAATGTCGATAATAGAGCAGAAGAAAGTGAGAATGTAGATTTGAACATTTTACTGCTTGTGGAGGGAATTAAATTAATTAATACAAGGATTCTCGGACAAGCTGTAAATAAACATCAAACCACAGTGTTGCGCACATTAAAAAAATACAAATATTTTTGCTATTAATGCGAAAAGCACCAAGAGGTCCGGGAAGGTGATGAAGAAAGAGTAGCATTTTGTTTTGAAATGACGTGAAAAGCAAATAATTATAGGGTAAAAATGCTGTCCAAGCGAGAAAAAAATTGACGGATGTGTATGGAGAAGGCGTGTTAACAGTACGCCAGTGCCAGAACTGGTTTGCAAAATTTCGATCCGGCAATTTTGATGTCGAAGATGCACCATGGTCTGGAAGGCCGGTCGAAGCTGACAAAGATGCGATAATGGCATTAGTTGATGCAAATCGGCGAATAACCACACGAGAGATCGGTGAGAGATTAAATTTGTCGAATTCGACTGTTTATGGCCATTTGAAAGGCATGGGCTTAACGTCGAAGCTCGATGTGTGGGTGCCCCATGTCCTTACGGAGCAAAATTTGTGTCGTCGCGTTGACGTGTGTGATTCGCTCCTCAAACGTCAAGAAAATGATCCATTTTTGAAGCGGATTATTACTGGGGACGAAAAATGGGTTGTATACAACAATGTTAAACGCAAGAGGTCATGGAGCAGAAAAGATGAACCGGCTCAAAGCGTGTCAAAAGCCAACATTCACCAAAAAAAGGTGATGCTCTCCGTTTGGTGGGATGTCAAAGGAATCGTTTTGTTTGAGCTTTTGCCGGACAATACAACGATTAATTCAGAAGTCTATTGTCATCAACTGAACAAATTGAATGATTCACTTAAAGAGAAGAGGCCCGAATTAATCAACAGGAAGGGTGTAGTGTTCCACCAGGATAATGCGAGACCTCACCCAAGTTTGGTCACTCGCCAAAAACTTTTACAGCTTGAATGGGACGTACTGCAACATTCACCACATTCTCCAGATCTGGCGCCTTCCGACTACTATTTGTTCCGGTCCCTGCAAAATTTTTTGGATGGCAAAACCCTTACCTCAAATGAAGATGTCAAAAACCACCTGAACCAGTTTTTTGCCAACAAGGACCAAAACTTTTATGAGAGGGGAATTATGTTACTGCCAGAAAGGTGTTGGACCAGAATGGCCAATATATAATTTAATAAAATATTTATTCATTATACGAAAACTGTCTTTCATGTTCCCCAAAAAAAACGAAATGACTTTCCGAACAACCCAATATATTCACACTCAACAAAGAACCAAATGTTCTAAACTGTCGGTATTGCAGCCGAGACAATGAATATAATTTTTGTTCATACCCATATCTGCAAATCAAATTAAACTCGCACTAGAATATCGGGATAAGTAATATTATTGGCCCCAGATGCTGAATCCTTTGGCCATCCAGGTGACCTCTCACCCCTATACCACTTGGATTTTGTCTCCCATACTAGAATCTATTGCATCTTATTCTTAAAATAACTTATAAGAAATAAATAAACATACGTTTTATTTGATTATTCCTATTTTTAAAAGGAGCTAAGGTGGGAAAAATCGTTGAAGATATTACTGGCCAGGTTTTCAGTCGAATCAGAACTGACTACTGTTGTTATTGGTCCTTTTTTGCAAAAAGAAAAATGGATGGATATGAGTGGGCCATTTTTTATGGACTATATCCTCATGACAGAAACCTAATTGGACTTATTACAAAACTAAATTGAACCAGCACTAGGAGAAGTTGTTTAGGGAATCTGACACCGGATGGACGGTGCCTTGCCCGTAATACCCTAATGGTTGGGGAGTATTTGGGAGATACTTTTAACGGAAATATTGACCCAGGTGACCTTTGGTCACCCAGGTCGCCTGACTTCTCATGACGACTTAGATTTTGTCTCCTATCTTAGAGTTTATTGCATCTTATTCTTAAATTAAACCTATATATATATTTGATTATTCATGTTTTCGAAAAAGGCTAGGCTGATTTTCCCTGAAGATATTATTGAACAGGTTCCGGGTCGAATTAGAACAGGCCACTTTCGTCATCGGGCCCTTTTTTGCGAAAATAAAAATGAACGGGTCGATTATTTCGGAATGTTGACGCGTTCTTAGAACTTGGTCGGTACATACCCTTTTTTTCGGTTGAGCGTCGTCTTGGTCCTGGTGCAGCGATTTCACGATATACTCGCGTTCCTCCGGGGTGATGAACCGCTGCTGCTGAGGCGTGTCCGCGATCAGAACGATCCACAGCACGAGCCAGATGGCGCTCGCGCCTCCCTCTATGTAGAACACGTATTCCCAGCCTATGGCGCCGGCTATCAGACCGGATACGAGCATGAAAATCTGAGAAAAACAAAAATTAGTAGAGCTCGGCGTCAAACGCGCGTCGAGTTGCTCACGACTGTCCCGAGAGCGGTACCCGCGTATACGATACTGCTCATGACGCTACGCTCGTTGGGCGGGGCCCAGTGCGCGAGCATGACATGCATCGCGGGGAACGTCACGCCTCCGCCGATCCCTGAACAATAATAATTAAAATTATTTTTCAAAGAAACCTCCACTAATATATATACGTCTGTTGTTGTTGAGTCGAACTTCTTCAGAGCTTAAATGAAACTGGTTCGAATTTTACTCCCTCCTGCTTATATATTGTTTGAAGGGGGCGGGGCTAAAGAAAAGGGCGGAGCTAAAGAAGGGGGCGTGATTACCATATTGGTGATAGGTGCTTATAGATTTCTAAAGGTTATATTCCTAAAGGTGTGAGTTAACGCACTTTTCTATTTTGTATTTTGGATTTGGCCACTAAAGGCAAACAGCAAAAAGTGCAAAACTCAAAAAGAAAAAGAATTACGCTGGCTTAACGTCGCAGATGGACAAAAACTTCACTTAGCCTCCTTTTACATAAGATGCTCAAAAAATAATCGTTGTACCGTGCGTTTAATTTATCTTGATAGCATTATAATTGGCTGCAACTTTTTTTTAGAGATTTTAAGGTAAACAAAAAAAAACAAAATGTAGGGTTGGTAGCAAAGTAGTATACCAAACCAAAGAATATTAAACACAGGTTGGTATAAAATTATTTTCTATTACGGACCACAATTTTAGCTGAATTTAAATTCCGAAACTTTAGGTAATAATCTTGTTGCATTGTATGTTAATGACCACCCTTGGATAACCCCATTCAAAAGCAGTTGGTCACTTTCTTATATCTGTGAACAGACCATACCCCCAAAAAATCAAACAAAGGTACAGGAATGCGATGGGAGACACCAAAACATATCCGAGATCAAAGTCAAACTCAAGAAGATGAAGGTACCAACACGGAAAACCAGAATTAACACCAACGAACTGAAAGAGATTAACACAATGAGAGACGTTTCCAAACATGTAAACAGAAACCTAAAAAATCAAAAAGAGCAGAAGGACGTAAACGATAATGAAAAAGAGCCGTGCAGAAAATATGTGAGACCGAGCAAGCGGCAGAAAAGACAGGACTGGATGACAGACGAGATCCTTAAGTTAATGGAAGAAAGAAGAATAGCCAAAACCTCAGACCAGAACAAGTATCGAGAGCTGAGAAACAAAGTAAGGTGTGAATGCCGACAAGCCAAAGAAACATGGGTGAAGAGTAAGTGCGCGGAACTTGAGGAGTTACAACAGCGACAAGATTTACAAAACCTACATAAAAGGATTAACGAATTTAACGAAAAATCATAGCTCCTTATAGATGCTACAATGGGTACATTGAAAACTTGTTCGATGATCCGAGAGTAGAGATATAAGCTATTACTGAAGAATAACCGGGACCTACGATTCTGAAAGAAGAAGTAAAACGGACAATAGAAACAACAAAAACTGGAAAAGCAAAAGCAAAAGAGGTGTTGAAAGAAGTGAAAAGCAGAAAGATCGTATATCTGGGTCACATAATGCGAGGCCAAAGTATGAGTTGCTTTACTTAATTGTGGGCGGAAGATCAATTGGAAGAAGTGAGATACGTCATCGGTTCAACAATAGTACTACTTGTATCCAGGTAAAAATTCGTCTCTTACCCTCTCCCACTCTCATGACAATCAAGGCGGCGTAGTGTAACTCGGCCATGCAGGGAGACAAAAGAGTGCAGATGACGTTGATGGCGACCGAGAAGAGCATCACCCACTTTGCGCTGAACTGTTCCGCTATCCTGCCGCCCGGTATCTGGGCCACCATGTAGCCCCAGAAGTAAGCGCTGAGTAGCACACCTTGGACGTTGCTGGACCACTCGAACGGACCGTCCTGCGAAAACGACGCCAAATAAATCGCGACAATTAAGGCCGAACAAATTTAATTTATCGGGTCTTGACATTGGAGATGATGATGATGCGTTCCACTTTTGAAATTCGGGACGGCAATTGAGTTTATGCGATTTTTATTGGCCTCCGTCCCTGTCGGAGAAGACAAAAAGTTGGCCTATATAAACTTGCGTGCGTAGATCGCCGTCAGTTTTTTATATTTGGTGGACTCAAATCTATATGTGGCTACATCCGATGTTCCTCAAGGCAGCAATTTGGACCCCATTCTATTTAATATTTTCATTAATGACATTGTCGAAGGTGTTGATGTTAATTGCTTGCTTGTTATACGCCGACGATCTAAAGTTGTTCAGGACTGCCAACACCTCTCATTGAATGTAAAGCGTATTGAAAACTGGTGTGTCCATAATAACTTGTCGATAAATCCCATCAAGTGTAATGTCATGAAGTATTCATATAGAGTCCGTTTTACCAAGTCCATTTTGATTTTACGAGAAATCAGTGTCTGCCAAAATAGATATGTGAAATTCCGTACGCCCGCCACTGGTGTGTTTAAAAAAAAAGTGGTATACTAAATAAGGCCTCTTGATACATGGTACATGTGTGCCAAATTTCATTAAAATATCTAATGTGGTGTGAAAGTTATTAAAAAAATATATTTTATTTTTGAAAACTTCACTATCCTGTATTTCAAAAGTTAAGACGTTTTGGACATACGTTCGTATGGAGTTTTCTTTTTAAAACACCCTGTATAATCACGTGAACGCTTACCTCCGGAGTCTCGGAGGCGGTACCGTCGTCGGCGGCAGCGCCGCCGTGGGCGGGGCCGGACGTCGCGAGCGCCGTGTGGTTTACCATGCCGACAATGGCTACGTGTAAGTTGACCTTGAGGCCGTATACTATGCCCATCCCGATTGAACCCAGGACAGCGAGCACATACCTTGTGGCAAGTTTCCCTGCAAAATATTCCGTTTTTTCAGCACGTTGCAAGAAAAGCACGATATTAACGTCGGTCTTACCCATAATTCGGCGGGATGCCTAATTTCCAGGTGTCATTTTGATATTGACATCTGACATTCTCGAAAATAGTGAAAATCTCTCATCGATCCTTCACTTTTTAGGTAAAAAATACCTTTTTTTTAGTTTTTCATTTCATTATTTGTACGAGGGCTACCTTTTATATTTCGGGATTTGTAATAAAAAACACAAACATATTTGCATTCGATAAAACCAATCAGCGAAGCACTTTTCCCACATCGAGTCGGGCACCTCCAAAAAAACATGCTTTTTAAACGCATCAATCGCTTCCTCTGGTATCAAAAATCGTGGCCCGCGTAATGTATGGCAATAAAAAGAAGTCATTAGGTGCTAGATCAGGACTGTACGGTGGATGGCTCATCAAATCAACGTTTTTAATGGTCAAAAAGTTCTTTGTTTGCACTGATCGGAGAGAGCTAGCACTGTCGTCTTCGGCGGTTGGTTTTTTTAATTTTCTCCAAGATTTTCGACAAACAAGAATTGACTGTTTTACACGGTAGCACTATGGAAATGCATATAAAAATGAAAATGTTGATTTCTATTGTACTTCTGTTCTACTGTATTTTGTTTTATCAAAGTCTCTCTATCTCATACCTCGTTTTTTGTAAATGTTATAAAATTTGCATTTGTGAAGTACGATGTAGTAAAGTGTTTAATATAGAACGCCAATCTAGACCTCCGAAGGGTTTGTGCAGGCAGCCATTTTACTGGAAGGGAATGGTGCTTTCGAAGAATTGGACATCGCAAGTTTTTTAACAGTATCTGCTTTAAGACAATGTTTTGTAACAGGAAGATAGCTGAAGATACAGCTACAGGAAGTAGATGGACTCTTTTAAATGATGATCTGAGAGCAAGAATCGCAGCGCGAGGAGCAGCTTTGACTTCAGAACATCGAGGAAACTGGGAAAGAGAAAACTAAATTGTATCTCTACGACTCAGATAGACCTGTAAGGTTTTATCGAAAACCAAATGAAAGATATGCCCAGTGTAGCTTTCAAAACACCAGATTATTTGGCGGTGAAGGGTCAGTTATATTTTACGGCAGTTTAACAGCAGATAGTTACACAAAGGAGATCCTGCAAGAACAGGTGCGTCTGGTCCTTTTGTATCAGCATGTTGCTCAGGTCGTGCAACAACCAGTCCTGATCTTAACCCACTTGAGAATGTTTGGCACATGATCTAGAAGTTCCTAACTCTCCTAACACTTTGAATGGGCTTACTGGATATTTTGTCCAAACAGCCTTGCTGTTAATCAAAAAAGAGGGGGAAGTACCCGTTATATAATAATTATTTTTAACTAATGTGAATGTTTTTATTTTATGGATTTTCTTGCTTTTTTTTCCTGATCTTCTTGTTTTAATTTTATCCTTTGTTGAGTTAGAATAAGAATGGGCTTAAAACTTGAAAATATTTGATGAGTATTATGGAATAAAAAATATTTTTCGAATTATAGTAGTGGCGCGTTAATTTTACTAGCCAGTGTATTATCGGTCTCGTCCAAAACATTTAGGTTAGAAAAGAGTTTAGGTGCACTACCGCTTTGTTCCAGATTCTGATTCAGGGAAAGCCAGCCGGCCATATGGATAGAATATAGATAAACATATTATTATCCATCCGAGGGACAGCAGTAGGTAGGGGATGTGCTCCATGGTGTTCCTCAGGGATCTATTTTAGGTACTCTGTTTTTAAGCATTAATACATGTAATCTTGGAGGCTGTCTTTAGCACTTACTTGCGCATTTGTATGTAGATCGCACGCAGGTCTATTTATCTTTGAAATTCTTTTTTTTTGTTCACGTGAATACTATTAACGTTAATAAATTTTCATGTAAGGAGTTAATTCGAATCTTTTCTAAATTGTTTTTAACTCCTTTTATTGCATAATATGATTCGTAATGAGTATTCATATATTCCTATATCGATATTGATTTAATTTTCGCGTCACCCCGTACAAAAAAGGTATTTTCGTGTATGGTTCCGTTTTTTTTTTTGCCGAGTAAATACGTTCGCCGCTTTTGAGGCACGTTAAATGTGGGGCAATAAAACCGGAGGTCTATTTTTAAGCCAGGGGCAGACCATCGATATCGTCGGAAGTTTATTTCGCGCATATTCGAGAACAAAACCGAAAATAATTTGAACTTTAATAATTGCGTATCGGGCACTTACCGCAGCCCCCTATGGCTTTCACTTCCCCCATGTCGGTGACCCTGGAAAAAAAATGCCGTTAATAAAATGTTCGGGTCATATCCAACATGCCTAAAGTACCCCCACCCCGTTTAAAAATAATATTAATTAATTTATTAGAATTAAATAAAAAAATGCAAAAGGAAGAGTAAAATTAATAAGACAAGCGAAAATAAGAAATCATTAATATTCTGAATATCAAAAGTTACAAAAATATTGTTCATACACAAAAATAGTAGGCAGTTCCGAAAAAAAAAATAAAAATAAAAATTACAGTTTTTTAATTATTTGAATTATTGAAAAAGTGTAATTTTAAAATACAATATTTCAAACGGATTAGTCAAAAATTTAATTACATGGCAAAAAATATATATTTTTTTTAATTTAGATTTTTTTGCGTTCATATTTTAATTTAATTAAATATAATTTTCAAAAATAACATTTTTCTGTTCTCTCTACAGTGTTTGAAATTATTTTTATAAATGGATACGTTTTTTTAAAAAGTAAATTTTGAAATATTCGAATTTTCACCTGGTATTTTAAACGTAATCGTAATTTTCAAAATGTTATTTCTCCAAAATATTTAAGAGCCAAGGTTGAGCCATAAAAAAATGTAATTTTCGAAATTTTAATTTTTTTTTTTAATGAAATTAAATGTTATTTTCAAACCTTACATTTTTTATGAAATTATTTCTATGAATAAGCTTTGAAACAGTGGATACATTTTTTTTTGAAAGTGTCATTTTAAAATATTCGAATTTTCCTCTGGTACTTAAACGCTTCAGTCATAATTTTCAAAAATTTAATTTCTCCAAAAATGTAATTTTCGAAAATTTAGCGTTTTTTGTTTCTCAAATATGTTAAAGAAATTATGCCGGAAGCAATTTTTTTATTTAGGTTTTTTGCATTCCTATTTTAATGAAATTAAATATTATTTTCGAAAATTATATTTTTGTTTTTCGTCTCTCTACAGTTTTTGAAATTATTTCTATGAATGAGCTTTGTAACAGTGGATACATTTTTTGAAAAAGTATGATTTTAAAATATTCGAATTTTCCGCTGGTATTTTAAACGGTTTAGTTATAATTTTCAAAAATTTAAATTCCCCAAAATATTTAAGGGCTAAGGGCTAAGCATGGCGAAAAAGTGTAATTTTCGAAAATTTAGTGTTTTGTGTTTCTCGAATATTTTAAATAAATTATGCCGGACTTTTTTTAATTCGGTTTTTTGCATTCCTGTGTTAATTGAATTAAATATAATTTTTGATAAATTCCTTTTTTTTCTCTCTCTACAGTTTTTGAAATTATTTATATAAATGAACTTTGAAACAGTAGATACATTTTTCGGAAAACTGGTATTTTAAACGGATTAGTTATAATTTTCAAAAATTTAATTTCTCCAAAATATTTATGAACTTTTTGATTCTCGGGTATTGTAAAGGAATTATGACAGAGAAATATAATTTTTTACAAATATAATTTTCAAGAATTACGTTTTTTTTTAATTTTTAGTCCGCCATATGTTCTGGCACTATTGTGTTTAATCTCGAAACGCCGCGTCTTTGGAAAGGTCATGACCTCTTTAGGAAAAGCTGGCATTTTAAAGTAATAGAAGGTTGGGTCTCTTATCAGTTCGGGCAATGCAATGACGCATCTTTAAGTGGAATTGTTTGAAATGTTAAAAACGAACTAACAGCGAACATATTGCTTTCCGCGGAAAAATGCCAAACCGCCCGCGCTTACCTACACAAAATTTTTCGCGGTTCAACGTCACTGATCCACAAGCACAACCGACCCGAAAGTCTCTATGATGAAAATCCACGGCCTACTACTACCGCTTCGTCAAAGACGTCCCGTTTCGTTTATTAGAAAACCGCGTGCCGTTATCGCACGGTTTCAGGCGCGCTTTTAACTGCGACCGGAGAGTCGATATCGACGCCGGCGGCCGCTCCAGGATCGCCAAGGTGACCTCCAAAGCTTCGCGCAGATCGTCGCCGCGTCTCGCGTGGCTTACGTGCGGTCAAACTTTGCCGAAGAAAATTCGCGAGAAAGCGCGTGTTACACTTTTGCGTAACGTTGGGCAATACCTCGTCGGTGTGGTTTTAACGACCCCGATAAGAAGCCCTGCCTCGTACCGGGAATCCTGCCGGTGTTGGTTAGTTACCAACGACGTGGCGCATGAATAATAAAATATTAATATAGTCAACGCTCAATATAAACAACCTCTATAGAAGCAACTTCACTTTCTGTGTTGGCGATTGGTTTTTTTAAAACTATTTATTTCAGTCAATTTTGGCCCAACGGAAATAGAATCAGATGTTCTCAACAACATAACCTCAAATTGTAACATTTTTTTTTATTGGAGTATGTTTTGTGCTGACAGTATTTCTGTTAAATAGAATAGTTACTTGAATTCTGTTAATTTCTGGTAATTATTTAATATTTCTATGCTTTAAATTCGACCATAAAATATGAAGCAGAAAAAAAAAGACGACGTTAAATTTCGTTAAAAGATATCCATTTTAAAGGACATTGAAAATTGTAAGAAAACAAAGGACATTCAAGAAGCAAGATTCAAGGAATGAAGACAATAAAATACTTGGTTCTTGAAGCCGGCGACAATGTAGTTCCAAACAAAATGATAAAATTAAAAGCACCCTAAGTAAACAGATTAAATAACGGACCAAAATCATTTGTAGCAAATGAAGGATGGTTGAATGGGTGGAAATTTAAAAATCGCCAACGGATTTTGTCTGTGGAGAGAGTATGTCTTGCTTTAAGAAGCTAGCTAATTCATTTAAACATAAATTTGAAAATTATATCGCTGAAAATGACTTTTTGCTTGAACAAACTGGTTTCGTCTATGAAAGCTTGCCGAATAAAACTAACATTACAAATTTTGAAAAATCCACTGTTGGGAGAAAAGCAATGGAAGAAAGGGTTTCAATTATGCCATGCGTCAACGCTATAGGTACGCATTAATTAGATTCGATGATGATAGGGAAATGGAAATCTTGTTGCTTCAAAAATATGGATTTGCCAGTATATAACATTAACTAAAAATGCTTATAAATAAATCTCGACGCTTAGAATGTAAAAAACCTTCTTGTAAAAGCCCTTCTCTTAGTAGATAATGCAACTTGTTATGGGTCTGAGAATAATTTTGCTAGTAACCCGAATTTCAAAGTGGAACAAGCGCGGCAGGTCATCTATTTAACCTTGAAGAAAATGCGGAGGTTGAAGAAGAACAAAATGAAAAACATCGGATGACTCCAATCAAAGCATCAATGATGTTATAAATTCTTTTAATTTGCGATGAGGTTCTTTTGTTACAAAGAACAAGAAAGATAGGAAAAGCCATCATGAACAAATATATGTAATTGTTTTTGGTTGTTTTGGCAATTAGTACTGTACTAAACGAAGGATTTAATTGTTTAATTTTTTTTCGAATATAATTAATAACTTTTCCTTCTCTACAGTTTAGTTGGTAAGAGTAACAATATTTTGCAAACGGGAAATATTTTTATACTCCTTCTTTCCTAATAAGAAACTTTTCTATTAAAATTTGTTCAAATGAGTTGCTTATATAGAACGTTCAATGTAATGGAAGCGCCATCTCGACGCCAACTTTGGAAGCGAACGAACGCAACAGTATTCAACAAATTGATTGTGAACAATGCAAACGTCAAACCAGGGCTTCGTTTTCCAATCTTTTATTTTTGTGAAATGGGTTTTCTTTTTTTTTTTCCTAAGCGACGTTTGATATTTTTAGTAGTAGTAAGGTTCAATTAGAAAAAAAAAACTAAAGAAAATAATCGGAGAAGTTTTGGTTAATACATTATACAATCATAATAAACCTACTTTCCATATTCTCAGCGTTAAAAATATTGTAAGAAGAAACGGTCGAATTCGAAATATTTACAATTTTAAATTTAAAATATGAAATTCAATTGGGTACCATGGCGTTCGTAGAAACGATTTGACAAATGGTTATTTAAAAATCCTTTGATCGTAGGCCTAAAATTACCGTATCGGATGATTTGATTCAACGTATATATGGTAAAATATAAATAGATCTGGAATGGTATCCATTTCATTCTTTTTATGTTTGCGACGAAAAATGAGGCAGCTAAATTTCTTTTTTTTTTTTCAGATGTTTGAAGGCAACGTAAGAAAACTTTGTAATTTGTTTTCATGAAAGATCTAGGCAGAAAAATAAAAATTGCCTGCAGTCAGTAGTTCCAAATTATTTCAAACAACGATTTTTGTCTGCGAAACAAAAGACTACCGATCCTGGGTTAACCAAAAAAAGAGGAAAATATATCGGTGATAGTTCGACGTAATGACGACAAAGTTAGGTTAGGTTGAAAATTATACATTTGTTGCGAGCGAAACTGAAGCAAGAAGTTGCTGAATGATGCTGGTAGTCGTGCCCATAGAAGTAAAGAAGAAAAGCAACAATTAAGCAACCGGTTTTTATTCTTTTTATACCTATTTCAATTAAAATAACAATAATTATATTGAAAATGTACAAAACCAGTACTAACACTTAAAAATAATAACAAAATCTTAAATGGTACGCGTATTTTAACATATAAGTACCGCTAAGTACCAATTTAAGGTACGTGGTGCCTAAATATGGGGAAACATTTTCACAGAATACCTACACCTACAAGAATTGAGCAAACGGAAAGGTAACCAAAAGGTCGATAACATTCTTAAAAAATAAATAATTTTATTATTTATTTTTTAACTTTATTAAAAACCGGCGCACACGCACACAGAGAAGGTACTATTTGCGCTCAGTTGAGCTTGAACCACAGAACAGCACGATTGACATTCTGTGATCGCGCCTCTTAAGTTCAGTTGGCCATGCACGTGCGACGTCCGGTCCTATTCCATGGAAAAGTCGAAAAGTGAATTCAAATTGGCTAATAGAACGCCGTCCCCGCGCCGTCAAACTTTTAACCCTGTGTCCAACCCCGCGATCTGTTTGCACAACTCGTACGTGGAGAACGACATGGCGACCATCGGCACGGCCCTCATGTAATTGATTGACATACCCCTGTAGAGTCCCCTGACGATGCCATGTTCCTCGTAGATGTGTTTCAACGTCTTGACCATACCCTGAGCGAAATGGTGTGTATCAGGGTTCATCATCGCCAGCTGCATTCGTCTTCGCGTCACGTCGAGCGGGTAACTGAAGCTCTGGGCCACCGCCCCTGCGAAACCTCCGCACAATAGTTTCGCCGGAACGGTCAACACCATGCCCCCTGCAAGCGGGTACCACGTGCAAAACAAATGGCGACCGAATGTGGTTTGATTTTTGTTACCCGTGTTTTGCTTCGACGGTCTGCACGTTAGGCCCGGTAGGTATTTAATGCAGCCATACTTAAGGTACTCGAAACAGTAGAACGATAGACCAGCGTAAGGGACCATACCCATCAGGGTAGGCGTGAAGCCCCTGTAGAGGGCCCTGATTCCTCCCTCGTCTTTAAAAATTGACGTCGCGGTGTGCACGATTCCGGTGTACACGTGTTCCCCGCTGATCTAGGGCGCGATATTTTATCCATTTCAGCCCGTAGTGCAAAATAAAAGGGTGCGTTGATGATCAATTGATAGTTGCAATACGGAATTATCGACCCTAATCGAAGTTGCTCCCAAATGTTAAATGTAAAAAAAGTGAGGTTAAGTTCGACAATTCCAGGCATGAACTAGCGCCAGTATTTGATACTTTACCTGAAAAGCCAGCCTGGCCCGAATAGTATCGAGAGGGTAAGTTAATGTTACGGCCGTCAGGCCGGCCGCCGCGCCCGCGATGAACTTGTCCACGTGAGATCTTTCCCCAAAAATACCGTCTAGGTATTTCTTGTAAATCTCGAATGAGGTGAACTGAGTCGCGGCGTAGGGGAATATACGCACCATCTGGGCCCCGTTTCCCTAAAATTTCGAATTGTCGTCAAATCTTGGGGTCAAAGCCGCGGGCAAGGTCACCTTGTAAAGGGCGAGGGGCCCTTCCCTTTTTACGATGTGTCTCAGTCCCTTAAAAACTCCGTGCGATGCGTGGTGCCTGCTGTAGGCTTGCAAGAGGATCTTTACCCGGTCCAGTGGGGCCACAGTCGTCTTGGAAACCATTCCAGCTACACCTGTGAGGGTCGCACGCTGTTTTTAACGCGATCAAAATGGTTAGTTGCCCCACCTACCTCCTGCTCCCAAGTTTTTGCAAATCAGCAAAAAATTTTGAGAATTCTCACTTTGCAAACTGGTCATTTTTCAATTAACAAAAATTCCACGAGCTTTTATTTAGCGCCGAGCGCTTGGAAGTAGTGTTTCCAAACAGTTTCTCTCAAATGCCAGTAGCTTGAATTGAACACACATGGCAAACTTTCTCTTAACATCATCCTCATTAATTTTAGAGAGTTTTTCTATAATCGGATGGACAATCGTCGCGTAATTTTTCGAATAATTTTTTTTTATTGGACCTAGCGTTCCTTTAATTTTCGTATTCGAAAATTAACAACCCCATCGTTTATATCGAATATAATATACATTCGGTACTGCATTCATATAATTTCCGATAGCGACGCCAAACTTCGGAATTGATAATAAAATGGACGTTTTTTGCGTAACACGTCTAAAGTTCAGACACTATTTTTGTTTTTGAAAGCGTAAATAAATAATTTTGTAGCAGCATCTGCGTCTTGCAGGTTATGTTTCCCAGTCCCTCGTCATTTTCTCAGCACCTTCCCATACATGTTTGTCACTTAAAACAATGATTTATTCGGCCAAATAGAATAAGGGCGATTGAAAATCCCACTTTTTGTTCTTTGAGTTCATATGTTATACCGCCAAGTGTTTAAGAAGATGAATTGTTTTTTTTATTGTGTTTTCTCTATAGTTTTGTTATACCCAATAATAATAGAAAGAAACTGTAGAGGATATTTTAGCATCCATAATTTTAACTTTGAATCTATAAGGCAAGCTCCATTTTGGAAATCGCCCATTAGATGATGGTTGCGTTGGTTACGTCAATGCCATTACCGTCTTACTTCCCTGCTTTCTATGCAGTTAACCTATCTTAAGTTTGGCGTTATTTTTTGTATTAGTTAACTTTTAGTTAAAATGGCCTGTTACTTTAGAAGTTTTCACTTTCTCGGCGGTGGTAAATTGTTTTTAAATAACGGGTATATGATTTTTTCTGATGGCATTTCGTTGGTATATTACGGTTTAATTTTCAGCTGCGCTTTCAAGCAGAGCGTGATGGGGCTTCGCAGAGCAACGAAAGAGAAATTGGAAAATTTGCATTTGCCGGATAAACCAAAGAGACCCACGACGCCTTACCTGAAATTTATTAACGAACACCGCGCGATCGTCAAAGAAGAAAACCCGGAGTTCAAACCCACGGAGGTCGTAAAAAAGTGCGCCCAATTGTGGAACAGTAGCAGCAGTTCCGTGAGAGAAAAATATATGCAAACGTTCAAGGAAGAATTAAAACAGTATACGGCGAAGGTAAAGACTTATTCTGCGAGCCTCACGGAGGAGCAACAGCAGTTGTTGAAAGAAATCGAAAAGGAAAAGAAACACGATAAGCAGCGGCGCCTTCAAAGGCAATTGTTTAGGGAAAGCAATAAGCCGAAAAAACCCCAGACTCCCTACAATTTATTTTTGTCTGAGAAGAGCAAGATGACGAACAAAAGTATCAAAGTGTTGATGTCCGAATTGAAAGGGGAATGGGCCCAATTGCCCGATAGAGAAAAGGACAAATATCAGTTTCAGTATCTTAAAGAGAAAGAACGTTATGAGAGAGAGATAGCCGCATGGGAGGAAAAAATGCTCAGAGAAGGTAGGTCGGATATGGTTAGGGTCAAAACTTTGGAAGCAAAGACATTATCTGGCCAAAGAAAGGAAGGTAGGGAAGACAACACTCACAAATCGTCAGGCTCTTCCAAAATGAAAGCCCCCGAATAGGGAGACGAGTGTCTTTGCCCGAAAACTTTGTCCACCTCTGCGGGTGAAGGCACAATATTTGATGCTGACGCAAAGGACGGTGAGTCACAAACAAAATCGCCATTTGTGTCAAAATTGAATAATCGGATAGGACGAGAGGTGGATGATCATGAAGACCAGCCAAAGTCGAGAAGTATCCTGCGAAAATTGCGGACAATTTTTAGGTTTTGAGAGTGTTTGATTTTATTTTACTTTATTTGTAAGAACAATTATTTTTAAGTATAACTAAGTTCTTTTAAACCTTTTATTGACCCTCTTTCTTACAATGGTAAAAGTTTTAAACAATAGTGAAAAGTGGAAAAAGCGAAGAAGTACAGGAACAGATCTGTAAAAAAAATACTGGAAATTTTAGCGTATTTTTTAGAAATCGTCAAAAAGGTCGGCGATAAATTCGTAAAAAGCAGTTGCAGTAATTGCGTACTGGAGTCAATTTCTTCATCTTGCGAAGAATAAAACAGACTTATTACCTCGTAGCATATTAGTGGCACGAAAATGTAATTTGTTAATATTTGGGTATTTTTTAACAGAATAGGTAAAAGACTAATTATAAATGCTATGGCAATGATTGTGACCGTTTGACGTATTTTAACAGAGGGTCCTTGAAAGTTATTTTCCTTTGCTTTTTGCCTAGGCAGGTTTAATCCTGGATTCTGAAGTAATGTAGTTGTCATGTGATTAACACCATTGCGATTAACAGGGTCGTTAGTGGGATTGTTGATGCTGCTTTCAAGTTCCTGCTCTTCATGTTCTTGGAGAAGACTGTTCGAACTTCTGTATCCTAAATAGGGAACCTAAGTGCCTTCCATTCCGACAGATTATATATATTTACCTTCCAATTCATAACTGGCCGTCCGTTTTTCTACGCCGGTGATTCTTTGCAGTCTCTTTTGGGAATTTTCCAATATTTTTCGTCTTCTTTCTTCCCTTCTAGCTTCGATTTCTGACATTTTGGTTATGCATAAAATTAAAATACCGTTAGTCATCGGAATTTCGCTGTTCTGCGGGCACAGAACGTTGGTCGCACAATCTTTTTTTCGATATTGCCGTGCGCATGTGTCAAGTTTGTCAAATGGTGGCGTTGCTGCAATCACGTGATTCGATCGAATGCTTTTTATAACTTCGAATGCCCTTCATTCGACATTTTAAGCGTGTCTTTCGGGCAGGTTGGTAGCGTCTTTGGGTGAGTAAAAATATAGTATTATGTTTAAACTTTCGGTGATTGTGATACACAGTTCCTTTTGTTATCGACAATTGAACTTGTAAACCACATCGTGCATTTTACGTGTAGGTTATTAATGTGATACGGTAACGCGGTCGGCATTTTGGGCGGGCCCCTTTTATAATAGATCCTCGGCGTTTTCAATTAATCGTAATTCGTATATTCTTTTTGTCGGATTGTTTTGTAGTTTGCAATATGTTGTTGCGCAATCTAGTAGGCAGGTGACGGCCCGTAACAACATGCCGGCTTGACCTTAATTTGACCTTCTGTCAATTTGGGAGTATTTTCTGTGACTTCCATGCTTAATATGATGTTTTTAATTTTGCTGTCCACTGAGCCTTATTTTGATGACTCAGATTTACCACTACCCATTTACTGATGCACAATGTCCTAATTAAGAAATGTAAAGTGGTGCAAAGTTTCGCGTTCCAACTTTTGTATGTCCGGTTCGACAGATCCGCATTAACGGCAAAATAATGGCAAAAGTTGGTATCAACGGGTTCGGTCGCATCGGGCGTTTGGTGTTGAGGGCCGCTTTGGAAAAAGGCACCCAGGTGGTGGCGATCAACGATCCCTTCATCAACGTCGATTACATGGTGTACCTTTTCAAATTCGATTCGACCCACGGCCGTTTCAAGGGCGACGTGAGCAGCGACGGTCAAAATTTGGTCGTCAACGGTGCCAAGATCCAAGTTTTCCAAGAGAGGGACCCCAAGGTGAAGCGTCGGTATTATTTTTCACGGGTTGCGAACGTGTAATCGCGGTTTCAGGCGATCCCCTGGGGCAAAGCCGGCGCCGAATACGTCGTCGAGTCGACTGGCGTGTTCACCACGATCGAGAAAGCCTCCGCCCATTTGGAAGGTGGCGCCAAGAAAGTTATTATTTCGGCCCCGTCGGCCGACGCCCCCATGTACGTCGTCGGGGTGAATCTGGACAAGTACAACCCCGCCGACAAGGTAAGTTCATATTTGCAGGAAAGAAAAAACAACTATTTTTTGTAAATTGCAAATAATAGGGACCATAGTTGAGGTCACGAACAATGTTATTGGGTTATAGGATTATCGTTAGTGTGACAAAGTCTAACGGAGGTTTTAAAGCAAATATTTTTGCTATATTGCCAATAGTCTCCGCAGTTCCGATAAGGCCCCTAGGGCTGTAGGCAGTTCTTCAATTCCGTTTCAGTCAAGGATAAGTTTTTAGTATAATTCAATTCTCGGGAACGGTTGCGTCCTTCTTGGTCCCGATTTGTTTCGCGTATTTGACGCATTTCTGTAGACTGCTTTAAAAAATATTTATTGTTCTTTGTGCTGCTTGCACTAAAATAAAAAGGCTTATCTTAATTTAAAATAAAATCGCATGATACGTTTAATCAAATCGAAACTGCTCCCCGCTGAGAAAAACAAAAAAAGGAGGTCTAAAAATAAAACTAAAACTTTAATAATTATTTTATAAAAGGTTTATTATTATATTATTTGCACGATGGTGTGTGTGCCTTTAAAGAGTGCGTAGCCCAAAAGAAAAAATCATTTGGTGCTAGATCTGGGGACCTGGGTGGCCATTCGATTGATTATATGCGGGGTAACCAGCGTGAACAGCTGGATTGATTTGATCACGCAAAAGATCAAAATATTTGTTGTATTTAAATTCCCCTTAAAGAAAAAGGACCAATGGTTTCTTAAAGTACCAGCCCATACGTTGACCTTTTCCGGATGGAAATGTGAATATTCAACAGGCACTGCCCGATTATGACGACCATATAACGCAAATGATGAATGATCCGTGAATAAAATATTATTCGCTAAAAAATCTTCATTTTCATTTTGGTTAGTTTGTTCACGAGTTTCTCATAATCTGTTGGTAAAATTTCGACCATGTATGAATTATTCGTAAAATTCGTAAAACTATCCCGGAAATACCAATTAATTTCAAAGGGGGGACGCAAACAAGTTTCTGTTTAATTTCGCGGCAATATCGAACATTTCTTGTTACTTTCTTACATTCTAGAGCAGTGATTTCCAAAAGGGATCTGTCTATGAAAACCTGCAAGGGGTGTACATCGGCGAAAAAAAAATTTGAAATGAAAATGGGGGTCCAGGATAATGGATCTCCACATACACTGATGGAATCTATCTACTTGCATTATGTAATGTTTTAATATAAATACTTTATTTAGAAAAGTATCCGTAAAGTAAAAAAAATATATGTGTTTATAAAATTGTGTAAGTGGCTTCCTGAATCACGAAAAGGAAAGTGCTGAGTAAATATTTAAAAATATATATATAAGCTGGTAGTTTATCACACTAATTATAGTGAATCAGCGTTATTTTGTTTGAGAGTACCCGAGAAAAGTGTGCACATTATTTTTTAGACACTGATTTTTTTTTTCATAGAAATTAAAGTTTACATATAGGAAACATATTGAAGAATATTATTTTGGAATTAAAATACATTAAAACTTTGGCAGTCATTCATTATTATTTTATAAATACATATTACTTACCAAATAATTTATTAAAGTTATGTATTGCTAAATTGGAATCAATGAATTTTTACACTTTTTTTTTTATTTTACCTTTTTTTTATATCACATTTAAATTTTCATCATAGCAGAACCTTAAGAAACATTCATAACATTCCCATGCTAAGGGGTCTGCGACACAACAAATTGGGAACCACAGTCTCGGTGTATCCCTGTCGCTTTTACAATAACGTACTGTATGCTTTTGCTAATTTCTGTCGTGTCTACTGGGACTTGGCTCTTAGTTTTTTCCCCTTTTAGGCACACTTATTAATAATAATAATTATATTTATTTCAGCAATTAGATAATACATTCAAAAAAATATATATGTATCAAGTGCACAATGAATTTGAGAAATTTTTGCGTGCATTTGTTCCGTCTAATGCAATATACCTTACTAGTTACGGCTAAGTTCATATTAATATTCGAATTGAAAACTTAAATTTAAATTATTAATGTAAATTAAACCACATTGTTTATTGAATTTATATTGATCACCCGCTTAAATTTTATCACTTCCAGAATATAATAGTCATCACTAAACAACCAAGAGTCAATAAGCCTGTTAAGTTCTGTATATTGCTTATTTTGCAAATACACTGGAAGGGCGCATCGGTATTGGCATGGCCTGATTTGATACAAAATCTGGTTTTTACTGCCTACCTGGTTGTATTTATGTAAGGATCGCATTTACAATTCGTGTCATAGCCGCAGTCAAAGTTATGAATTTTTATTCTTTAGTAAGACTTAGTAATTTTTAAGCCTTTGCGACAGTTTCTTTCCATCATAACATATAAAAATAATATAACAATAATTAATACCGCACCATCCACACAGCAGACAATACCTTGCTTTAGTAAATAGAAAATATTCCATTCATATATGTTGTAAACAAGATCGGTCCCAGAACCGTGCCCTGGGGCACACCATGATAGAATTCCCAGATAGTCCAGTAATATGCGCGTTTACCGTTACCAAATATGATGTTTTCACTATGGCTGAGCCTCATTTGATGACTCTAGATTACCACTACCCATTTACTGAGCCGCGTGGCTCGAATCGAAAGTTTCGCGCTACGCGAAAGCCCTTAGTAGTCGGAAATTTCCGTTCGCAGGTCATCTCGAACGCATCGTGCACCACCAACTGCCTCGCGCCCCTCGCCAAGGTAATCAACGACAATTTCCAAATTGTCGAGGGTCTGATGACCACGGTGCACGCGACCACCGCCACCCAGAAAACCGTGGACGGTCCGTCCGGTAAGCTGTGGCGTGACGGCCGCGGGGCCCAACAAAACATCATCCCGGCCGCTACGGGGGCCGCGAAAGCGGTCGGCAAGGTCATCCCCGAGTTAAACGGCAAACTGACTGGGATGGCATTCCGCGTGCCCGTCGCCAACGTCTCCGTCGTAGATCTGACGGTCAGGTTGGGCAAGGGAGCGACCATGGACCAGATCAAGAGCAAGGTCAAGGAAGCGGCCCAGGGACCCCTCAAAGGTATCCTGGGCTACACCGAGGAGGAGGTGGTGTCCTCCGATTTCATCGGCGACACGCACAGCTCGATCTTCGACGCGAAGGCGGGCATTTCGCTGAGCGACACTTTCGTCAAGCTGATCTCGTGGTACGACAACGAGTACGGCTACTCCAACCGCGTCGTCGATCTGATCAACTTTATCAAGAGCAAGGATTCTTAAGCCGTCAAAGGTTAACACCGCTTTTTAAAAGTTGGTTAATAAGTCGCGCGTTTGGCGTAAAAAAAAATTATAATAAACCTTATAATCGTCGCTACCCTCTCCGGTGTCCACGTGTTTCGTTTTATAGCGTTTAGTCTTTAAATTATTGTACGGTTTTTGTTATGTGGAAGTTTAAAGGCGTCTTTTTTTTTCCTGTGAATGTAGCTTGAACATCGAGAAATAGGCGTCGACGTGTGTTTTTTTTTATACCATTTCTCCCAAAGCGTACTCCCTCGATGCTCCCTGCTACCGCAAAAATTCATGCGCCGCAGTTGGCTACGATATTTTCGTAGAGAAAATCTTTTGCGCATGCGTCACCTCCTAACCGACTGAGTTGCTACATTGCCGTCGTTTTTCTGGAAAATTTTTTATAATAACGCAACGTCAATATTTTTCAAAGAAACTTGTACAGGCTACTGTAATACTTTTTATAAAACTTCTGGATTCCTCCTGCGTCGGTTTTTCTTGACTCGACCTATTGTCAGCACCATTGGTTCTCCAATATGTTCTCTAGCAAAATATCTAGCTTCCTAATTAAAACCCCTTACAGAGAAAACTGACAGTTTCGTACTTAATTCCTTTCACTACATTGAATAAATAAAAAGCATTAGATACACAAGATATTTTGGTGAGTTTCGACATTAAGTTCCTATTAAAATGCGAGAATTTGGAACCAAACCTTCTCACCTTTATTGAAAAATGCTTGCCTGGAACATATTTTTCTAATAACGGTCAAATTTGTGAACAAACGTCGGGAACAGCTATGGGTTCTCCACTGTACCACCACTCATGGCGAATATATTTATGGAATCCTTTGAGAAGACAGCTCTCGACACCTTCCACCTAAAACCAAAATTTCGGATACACTATGTCGATCATACTTTTGTTATTTGACACCCTGACATACGAGGGCAGCGCCAAAATTTCCCGGGCTGAATGTGAAAGAAACAAAGGAGAGTAACAATAATTTTTTATTATTTTTCAATATAATCCCCCTTCAATATAATTATTACATCTCTCTATTAACAACTCAATCCCTTAAAAAAAAATATTTTGGTTTGTCTGCCAAAATGAGCTAAAATAGCCTCTTTTAACTCAACTTCATCGTCGCCGTCCACGTAAGTCCTTTTTCAAATATCCAAATAAATGTCGCCATATCTGGACTATAAGGAGGGTGATCTATCTGTTGGAACCCACACTCTAAAATGGCAGCTTGTGCAACACCAGCAGTATGGACAGGTGCATTATCGTGTAAAAGACGCGCGCCTATGGTCAGTTTTCCTCGACGTTTTACACGTATGCAGTCTCGCAATGTATGTATTAATGTTGCGTAATATTTACCATTGACAGTGGTATTAGTTTCTTTAAAATCTATCGAAAGAATTCCTCCACAATCCCGAAAGATCGTGGCCATTACCTTTTTTGTTGATTGGCAGACTGAATTTTCTTGGAGGTGCTTCACACTTACGACGCCACTCCATTGATTCTTTTTTCGATAGAAGGTCATAATAGAGAACCATAGTTTCATCTCACGTTACAATAGTCTCTATCACAGGCCCAAAAGGTTTTTAGGAACCCAACTTACACTAACCTTACGCATACCTAAATGATCATGCAGGATTCGACGAACACTTTTATCAGAAAGCTTAGTAATTTCTGAGATTTCCTTGATCTTTAAACGTCGATCACTCAATACCACCTCTTCCACAATCGCAACATCTTCCGTTGTGACCTCGACTGGTCGACCAGTTCTTGAATCATCTTCAAGGGACTCCTACCCCATTCGAAAACGTTTTGCCCATTCTTTTACTATAGAATGCGAAAGAGAACTTTGGCCGTACACACCATCCAGCCTTTCTTTAATAATTTTAGGTGCTAACCCTTCTTTTGTCAAAAACTTTATAACTGCTCTATACTGCATTTGCATTATTTGCGACATTTTTTCGGATACGTCTTATTTAAAATTCGGTCAATAAAAAACTATTTGACGCAAGACATTAATTTTTTTTCGCAGCCTATTAAGATATATATTTAAAAGAAGACAAAGTTTTATCGTGATACTGGTCTGTGGTGGAGCATTGCACGCGGCGGTTTAACCTCCGTTCGCTCCCGACAGAATCCCTTGTATTCATCCTCAGAAGTTTGATATCGGTTTCCACTGTGTCGTCGTTTTTCCCTGTTCACGCCGGTATGGAAGCGGAGGGAAGCCGATTTTTTTTTGGTATCAGTCAGAATCGTTTTTTGCTAGCTGAGAAAATTATTGGTTATTTTTCGTCTTTGTACGTGGTGGTCATTTTCCAGAAGCAAAAATCCTCGACGGAAGTCGGCAATCGGCGAACGATCCTAGCAGTCGAGCCCAACATTTTTTTGTGAAACGCATAATTGAATTGAATCGTGATACTGGAGCTGCATCTACGTCAGGCGGAGAAATTTTGGCGCTAACCTCGTACGTTTTACCATTGAAATAGAAACTAAAAACCTGGCATTCTTAGATATTCTTATCAATAGAAAATCAGACCTAACATTGGGTCATTGTGTTACAGAAAACCCATGTACCCAGTATTGTCACATCATTATCATTATTATCAGTTATCAATTTTCTTATTTATAGGATTATAAAACTATACCGTAAACCTATCTGAGTCCGAGTCATTGAACCTAGAATTAAAACACCTTATCTCTGCTCTTCTCTCTAATAATTTCCACATTAAAGATATTAACCGTTCCATCACAAAATACACATCACCGCAATCTTCCAATAGCAATGAAACAGAACAATTCCACACATGCCACTGTTGTCCTCCATTAACCATTGACCACCACATATCAAAATTTCTAAAGAAATATAACGTCAAAACCAGATTTACCACTTGTCCAAAAATCTCTCGACATCTTCGATCCGTCAAAGAGTTGCCAGGAGCTTACAGTATTCCTGACGAAAAATATCAACTATATCCACTCCCATCAAACCACATAAAAGCAGGTACAAAGTAAAATGCGGGCCAGTTAGTCAATGAAGAAGCCAACAGGATGATTGGCGAAACGTTAGCTAGTTCGAGTCAACAAAAATCGACGCAGGAGACATCCAGAAGTTTCATAAAAAGTATGTTCTTTCACGAAATTATAGCAACTGTGGCAAATATGAGGACCTAATACGATCTTCGAAAAACAATGGCATTTAACAAACTGGAAAATAGATTTCACAAATATTTACTAAACAGAATGAATTCTCTGCATTAATATTACACTTAAATAGCTAAGAAGGATGTTTGGGTAATATGTTTTTGTTTAAACGAATTACAGGAAAATGTAAGAAACCAATTAAATCATAAGTTGTTGTCAATTACTGTATAGGAGGTAATTCTTGAACATTTTTTCACTTAGATGTTTCACGTATGACATCTAGCATCTCGAAAGTTATTTCAATGAAGGTTAAACCTTTGAGTTTAAGAAAACTAATGCTTTGCGCCGATTTACATAAGAAAATACACGGCCTACTAATATTTCAATTTGTCGTCAAATTCGTTGTACTGAAAGTCATTTGTGTGTTTGAATGCAGGATTTGGATTTTACCGATTAAAATTCAAGGTAACAAAGTTTTTTTTAATATTACAAGAAATGGCACATTAGACATTCAAAACTTAACGAGAGCGATGCTAGACCTTTCCCCGTGCTTCCTTTTTAAGCTCCACGATCCTGTTCAGAAGGATTTTCCCAACATCGTAGGGTTTGCCGTCGGAGTCCATGTCTAAGGAAAATCCACGTGTCAGATTTATAGTAAAATCTCTACGACCAAAAATAATTTCGAGCGCGGCAGTTCCCGTACGACACTTTGTTTTAACGAATATTTACCTTCAAAGTACACTAGCTCGCACATGCTGTCGAATCGCGTGGTCTCCAAGATCTCCTTCACCGTCAAATAAAATTGTAGCAAAATGTCGTTTTTGTGACGTTTGTAATACTCTGAAAACGACAGAGCAAATTTATTATTTGCGCGACTTGGGTGAACATAATCCAACTTTTTAGGTTATGTAATTTTGAATCCTACCTGTGTGCGGCGTGTGATTCTTAAAAACGAGGCTGGCCGTTTGCAGCGGCGTCGCGTATTCGGCGCAAACGTACACGATTTTGCCAGATTTTTCGTGTTTTATCCCGTAGACCGAGTTTTTATAGACGCGTTTATTGACACCCGCGACCGTCTGGTGTTTGGGCTCCAGGGACTGCGGTTAATTGAATATTTGCGTTAATTTAAGCATGAGACAACAATGTTACCTTTTTCTCTTCCATTATGGTGGAAACGTCTATCAGCGAGACGGGACAATTCAAAGACTTTGGTATCAGAATGAATATTTTGTAAACACTAAACTGGACCTTGTTCGCTGATTCGTAGTCTTGCATCAGCTCCTCCAGGTTCTTCCCCAATTCTCCAGTTTTATTAAGGATGTAATAAAGGTAGCCGTAGAAGAAGGAATAAGCCATACCGGATCCGTGGTCGAGTCCGTTGCACTTTTCGATCCACATAGAGTCGCTGATCGGGCTCGAGTCCATGTCGAGCACTTTGTGCGACAAGAACAGCACCGGTAAAACCGAGTACAAATTGTAATTTTGGTCGAAGGCAAAACCGTGCGAGCTAAAGGCGTACATCGCGTACAGAGCGACCACGACGGTAACGGCAATAAACGGAACTGGGAAACTGTAGGCCGCCTTTAATAAGTCTTTCAATTTTCCGGCATACCTCGAGGTTAGGTGCTTTCGCTCATTAAAGCCGAGTATCGTCCTGTACGATAAAATAATTACAAAGTAGAAGAGATAGATGAACGCGTATGAACCTGGAACAATTTATAGGTTAGCCCGCGTTTTTTTGACCCTCCACCGAAAGATTTACTTAGTGCCCCAGCTATGTCGACCTTGCCCATGAGAACGTCCACTAAAATCGTAACAAACATGGTGTTTACCCCATAAGTAGCTTTATAAAACACCCACCTGCGATTATTGTTAGGATGATCAAACAAAAAGTAACCACCAGAGATTGACGCAATCGGGGTATCGTTTTTGGATAATAGTAGTAACCGTTCTCTCTCCTCGTAACGCATACCTTTAATTTAACGTCATTTTTTTACCAGATAAACGGTTGAAAAATACAACTACGAACCCTTTTTAAATTGTTTTCGCCGCTTACCGACATTTCGGGTTAACTTAATAGTTATATCATGGATACATCATTTTTTCGCATAATCCAACTGCAGTTTTTTCGGCGTTGCGAATTTCCAGGAAATTGATCTCGATTTGATTGTATAAACAAGCGATAAAAGTAGTATAAGCGAAGGTCAAGTTCGCGGACGAGCTGGGAACCAAACGAAGCAAATTTCCTCGATTGTTTTAATCCATTGACAACGGGTCGTCGGATTAGGAAGAATATTTTCCGACCTAACCTGCAAATCATCCAAGCAGTCTTGGTCAACAGAAGTAAAAGAAGAAGAACCTGCAAATCCTGCGATTGTTCGTTAATTTTCATTGGAAATATGGATACGGGAGAAAGCGATGGGGAAATGTTCGACGACGAAATAGACGACACGAGACACGAGAGGATAGTGGAAAACGTCCTTAAACTCAATAAGGCGCAGCATTTGAAAAAACCATCTCGGACCGAACCCACGCTGCAAATATCCGAATTTAACTTGGTTAAGTCGGCGGCTGGGAAAGGGAGCACGGTCGCGTTGGACAGCCTTACGAAGGCGTTAAAGAAACGCAAGAAGCTCAGCGAGACCGTGAAAAAAATCGAATCGACTGGTAAAAAGGCGCGGACGTTGCCCAAACCCCTGGAAAAACCCCAATCGGCGAGGATCAAACGGTCGGTGGGCTACGAGAAATCGAGGTTGCAATTCGACAGGTGGGAGGGGTTTGTCGCGTCGAACAGAGCGTTGGCGCATCAGGTGTACCCGTTGGGTAGTCTGGAAAAGACGAGAATCGAAGAAAGGGAGGCTGCTAATTTTCCGCAGACGTGGCGCATCAAGTCGGAGATTCAGAGGGAACTCGAGAAACTAGAGCCGCGGGTCGAAATTAATCGCGTGGATGAGGATCAAAAGGAATTCACGCTCACCTTGGAGGAGCTCAAAGAGCGGCGCAATGAGATGGCGAAATTGCGGGCGCACCAAAGCTACAAGGAGTCGAAGGCGCGCCGGCAGAACAAGATCAAGAGCAAAAAGTATCACAGGCTACTGAGGCGCGAGACTATTCGAAAAAAACTGAAGGAGTTTGAGGAGCTGCAAAAAACCAATCCCGAGGAGGCGCTCAACAAGTTGGAAGAGATCGAGAGGGCGAGGGCTTTGGAACGGTACAGCCTGAGGCACAAGGGCACCGGGCGGTGGGCCAAGAGTAAACAATTTCGTGCGAAATACGACAAACAAGTGAGTGCTGTATTAAAACCAAGCCTCGATCTAATGTTTTTCTTCTATTTAGAGTCGGCAGGTTTTGGCGCAGCAGTTGGCCATTAGCAGGGATTTGACGCAAAAGTCGAAAGGGGACGGCGATTCGGACGAGGAAATCGCGGAAGACGACAATAATTTGCCCGAAAGTTATAAGGACAATCCGTGGATCGGGACTCCGAAACCGGACAAGGAAGTCGCCGAGTTTTATAGCAGTTACAAAAAATACTGGAGCGGCAAAGTGGGGGAGGGCGCGGCCGACCCCGCGAGCGGGAGGGTTGAGGGTCCTTCCGTGGGCTCGGAGCCAAGAGAGAGCAAAAAAAAGAAACCTCCGAAGGTCGAGAAGACCCAAAAGAGCATGAACTCGTCGTCGGGAGAGTGGGACATAGAAGAGCTCTTTCAGAGGGCCGAGAACGCGTTGGGACGCAAGTTGCAGAACAAAATGAAGTCTATGAAAAAGAAAACGAAATTGACCGTGCCGAAGCCCGCCAAAAGGGCCAAGTCGAAAAGTAAAGGCGCGAAAATTGACCTCTCCATGCCGACGCAAAGCAAGAGGCACGCGATCGACGAGGAAATGCTGGAAATGGCTGGCGAATCGAGGGAAATCCGAACGCAAGGCGTCGACGGGTTAAAGAAGGTGCTAGAGGGCGCGATCGGCGACGAAAAGGGCGTCGACATCGTCGTCCCCGACAATTTGCCTAAAGCGAGGGCCGCTACCGTCCTGGATTCGGCAAATCCGGACCTGGTCGAGGAGGACGGTAATCGCCAGGACGCGAATCAGGATCGGGTCATCGTCGAGGCGTTCGAGGACGACGACATTGACGCCGATTTCGGCAAAGAAAAGGCCGAGGAAATCGACAAAGACAAGCCGAAAGATATCGATTTGAATTTGCCTGGTTGGGGCTCGTGGGCGGGCGCGATGATCGATCCCAAAAAGCAGCGCAAACGGAAAAGGTTTATATTTAAAATGCCGGAGAAGATGCCGAGGAGGGACGAGAACAGGGGCAGCTTGATCATTAACGAGAAAGCGGAAGAGAAAATCAGGAGTCATCTAGTGTCGGAGGTGCCCTTTCCTTTTAAAACGGTGAAGGATTTCGAGGCGAGCATCAGGGCGCCGATAGGGAACACGTTCGTGCCCGAGACGGCGTTTAGAAAGTTGGTCAGGCCCGCGGTGGAGACGAAAATGGGCGCCATTATCACGCCCGTGACGAAGGACCTGTTGACCGGCAAGAAAAGAAAGAAATGAAAATCTATTGCGATCGGCGGTTGGTTTTATATATGTTTAATTAAATCGATAAAGTACCATTGTTTTTGGTTGGGCCCCGACACCAAAAAGCAAGATTGATTTCGAAAAATCGTTGCTGTGCAAAGCGACTGCTTCGTACTAAGCGCTATGTACTTTAAAAAGTCGCTACGCAGCTTGCACCCTGTCTTTCAGTTATCACCGAACTTCAAAGTCACGGCAAACTTTGGTAAATACAAAAATGTGTACAAATGCGCGATATATATCTCGCGCACCCTGTTTGACATAGGAAACCCATGTTTTACAGTTTTTCATTTTAGACTTTTTTGCCCATAATCGACACACCCTATACATAATCTATAAAAATGCCCGAATTAAACGTTATAGCCCCTATAGTATATGAATTTTTTCAGTGGGGTAAATGGCCGTAATAGGAAATGACGTCATCGTGTCTAGATTGTCACAAATTTGATTGGCACAAAACCGTAAACAAAAAAATTGTAGGCCTCGATGCGGCCTTCGTTACTGTGCAAACCAAATAGTCAAATATTTCACGAATTTTGATTTATTACTAATAATTTTATACCAAAAACAAACATTTTCGGGGAGAAACCCTGTACAGAATCGAAAAACTGCTCGAAATAAAAGTTGTCTCTCGCATTTCTTGGTTCACAAATTTCGGCGATCGGGTTAATAGTTTTCGAGAAAATAATTTTTTTCTGAAAGTCAATATATTCAATAAAAAAATTCAAAATATTTTAAAAAATACTTAAAATATAGATGTCGACTTTTACTTTGCTGCCAAATTTGAAGTCGATAGCTGCAAATTTCGGACACCTGTTAATTTTTCAATATAGCACGGAATATTTTGAACACCCCGTACAATAGGTGAAAACTCTAAATACAAAAGTTGTTTATGCCGACTATATCGCCATCTAAGTGAAACTCATATTTTAAACAGTCTTTTAGTTGTACTGAATTTCGATTAATTTCATTTTTTAGTTTTTTTGAAAATGTGGCGCACCCTGTACATATGTGTGGCAAATTTGAAGACGATAGTTTCAATTTTGGGACTCTTATCGTGTTTTATAGCAATGTCTGACAAACAGTCGAAAATCGAAAAAAAAAAACGATGTCATTTTTACTTTCATAGATTTTTCGAAAGTAACAATGATATCCTTTTTGAACTCGCAAATTGAGAATTAACGTACTTTGTTGCGATCCGTTTTTTTAGTAAATCGTTTATTCGTTATTGACAGTGAAATAAGCGAGACACAGATTAAAATGAAGGTAATAATGTGACGTCAGAATTGGATTTGATGTAAGTTTATCGTAACTTCCGTTTTCTTTCAATTGTTTGTTGGTGGACAATGATTATGAATATTGTTCTCTGTCTCGGACGTTAAGGCGGCTGGTCGATTTTTATAAAACGAACAACGAAAGGTGCTGTGGTGGCGACAATGTGTTCCGGCTTGGGGAGTTTTAATTTGTGGGTGTGGCGACCGCCTAGGGATTGTCAATTTTCGACTCGGGTGTTTCGGTTCGCCATTTTCATGAGAATTTGTCGGAAATTGCAGTGTTTTGGTGAAAATGTTGCCGAGTTCGCGTGTATTAGAGTAAAATCGCTAATAGATATTTCGAACAAAACATGGTTATTTTGTCCAACGGAATACGTGAGTACTATTCTGCCATCGACGTGCTCCAGTTCGGATTGCGTTTAGCCTTTCACAGCGGATTTGACATTTAAATGGTTATTTGAATTAATAATTGTATGTATTGCGAAAACCAAGTTTTGTCCTGTTTAGTAAAAAAAAAACGAATCTGAGGTTTATCGGAAAATCGATATAACTATAATCTCAAAGGCGCTAACGTTTTAAAATACAAAATGAAGGATTATTGACTTTTGGGGATAGGCAGTTGATAATTTAATAATAACCGTGGGTTATCGATGAAATTCCCGAAGCGTATTATTTTAAATAACGTCATCGTCTAATTTACTAGCACGCAGAGGCGGTTCACGATGTTATAGGTGGCCCGAAAAGGGGACGAAAAAAAAAACACAATTTTAACGGGAAATGTTTAAACTCGAAACGTGGACAGTTTAAAAATGAGTCCGAGTGAGATTTTATTGATTAAACAGTCTTTGAAATGAGTCATTTCCTGGTGCTGATAATGAGGATACCGTTTCGTACCAGATTGCCGACTAAAGCCATGTGTTTAAAATCGTCTGACGGTTTTTGTTTTGGTTATTTTTTTACGTAAGTAGTGCTCGGTTAGGCATATATACAAATGTTAAAGGATGCTTTTACTTAATGTCATAAGAATGAAACGTCAATTTCCGACAGTAAACATTTAATATCCTGTGGTTACGTTTTCAGATTCCCGAGAACCCCGCTAGAGCGCCCTAAACAATAACGGATCAAAATGCCACTGCCGAAAAGGGTCATCGAACCGGTTCATATCACCAGGGGCACCCTGCCCGAGGACCTGCCCTTGCCGTCGGAATTGGAAGGGGTAACCAACGGTACCCTAGCAAACACCGTCAGGCAGTTATCGTCTCTATCGCGGTAAGTACTAGCTTAGAGTTTGGGGTTGTGATAGGGAAGGTAATTGGTTTGCGGCGCCTCTAGGCACGCGGAAGATTTGTTTGGGGAGCTCGCCAGGGACGCTCAACAGATCTACGATCGATCGAATTCGCTGCAGGCCCGGATCGATCGTCTCGCGGTTAAAGTGACGCAGCTGGACAGTACCGTGGAAGAAGTGAGCCTGCAGGACATCCACATGCGAAAGGCGTTCAAGAGCGCTACGGTGTTTGACCAGCAGGTATTTACTTACAAGATTGCTTTCTTAATTTGAATTGCAATTGCAACTAACCAAAAATTGACATTTATGTAATAAAAAAAAATGGGTGTTGACGGGCACCTTTAAATTAGATGAGATATGGGATGTAAAGGTATGGAAAGCCCTTTATGCAGGGTTGAAGGGTGTCTGTGTCGTTTTTCAGATATTCTCGCGTGGCACTATGCCGACCGCAATGCAGGAGACGTACAGCTCGTGCGACAAGCCGCCCCCCCTCGACAAGCTGAACTGTTACCGGGACGACGGCAAGGACGGCCTGAAATTCTACACGGATCCGAATTACTTCTTCGAATTGTGGCGCGCCGAGATGCTGAACGACACGGAACGCATGATGCACGACCGGGGCAAGAACAAACCGCACCGTGGCGCGAGAGGGGCGGCGGACGGGGCGCAGGGCGGCGGTAACCGTCACAAGAAACGCGTCCGCCAGCCGCATAGCACGCGCGAGCGCCAGAAGCAGATCGCACGGGAGCACGGCGAATACATAATGCCCCAGAACACTATATACAGGTTAGTTCTTGTTTATAGGATTTTTTTATTTATTGAAGCACAAAAAATATATTAGTAAACAATTTTTGTGTGTAAAATTTTATATGGTAAATTGATTCCAAAATTTTTACCTATATGAAATGAATGTAATAAAAATTAGCATAGATTATAGACTATATTAAATCCATAAAGGTTCCTTTTCCTAATTGGTAGACAGATTGTAAAGCTTCCGAGTCAATCTAAACTTAGTATTTGTCAAAGAAGGGAACAAACAAGGTCTGGTTTGTTATTTGCTTAGTTTTTTGCAAGTTTGTGCTTCCAGAAACAAATGTTACAGAAATATAAAATTTTGTATATAATTCTTTGTCTTTTTTGTTAATGCAGAGATATTTGAAAATTTCTATTTTTTAATGAGGTTTTAAGTTTTAATTACTTTTCTCAGAGTGTAGAAAAAATTTTCTCGATTGAATAGTCGTTAGCTGTGCTTCGTTTGGGTATTTTGTTAATAATTTTCAATTTTGGTTAGTTAGGGACAGGTAAAAACTGCATCATAGGTAAAAATGGACGTTTACAAAACTATTTGTGGAACTTTTCAAGGAAACTTGTGGATTCCGCCTGTTTCGGTTGTTGATAAACATAACCCAAGTAAATATCAAGAAAAAAATCTGTTATTAAGATTCGGTGAAAAAATCTGTCACTCCTCATGACTCTAAACTCCCTAAAATTCACAAACCAGGATTACCCCTTTGCACAATTGGTACTCTTTATTAAAATATCCAGCTGTTATATTAAAACCCCTTACGGGGAAAACTGATAGTGTCATTTCTTCCTTTCGTCTCAAAGTATATTCTGGTTAGTTTTGATTAGTAGAATCCCTCTTTACTAAGTCCCTATTACTGAAACCGTTAACATTTTTTAAGATAAATTAAAATCAGAGATTCTGAAACTTTTTTAATTGAGACATGCCTGTTTGGAATATATTTTTTCTTATAATTGTCAAATTTTTGATGAACAAACGTCGGGAACAGTTACGGGTTCTCCATTAGTACCAGTCATGGCGACTATATTTGTGGAAGTCTTTGAGAAAAAAGTTCTTGCTTGCGCCTTCCATCTAACCACATATCAAAAGTTTTAAAGAAATATAACGTCAAAACCCGATTTACCACTTGTGGAAAAACAAACACAAAATTCCATTTGAGACGCCAAGAGTGTACAGCAATACATGCATACACGGCAAAGAATACATTTACGAAGAATATCAACTAGGCTCAAAGAACATGAAAGAGCCTTAAGACTATGACAAATAAACTCATCAGCAGTTGCCGAACACAATTTTATTTGATAAAACTAAAATTCTTGCATGTAATTAATTCTTCTACCAACGAAAAATCCGACAGTCTATAGAAATCTATAAGCGACCTAACAATCTTAACCGCGACTCCAGTCTCTACCTATCATCCCAGCCAGTGTTTGTGCCCCTCATTTAGTTCCGCAGGTACAGAGTAAAATGCGAGCCAATTCCGGTCAAGAAAAGTAATATAAATGTTATTTCGGTCGATCGATACAAAACAATTTGATCGGTTAATTCCACAGCGTTACGTAAAGGTGATCGTTTCTTAGTCGGTAAGCGTTGGCGAAACGGTTTGTTTTCAGGACGCCCCAGCACTTGTACCAACCCGAAATCGACGGGGGCTCGGTTCCCGAGCATCTGCTCCTTCAACAGCAGCACCAGCAACAACAGCAAAGAGCCGCTCGTCCGAACTCGATCGAAATCCGACGTTCGTACCAAAGGGAGCAAGAGGTGCCGGACGGGATGCATTCGCCGCCCCCGCAGCAACAGCAGGCGTCCAATTACGACGACCACAATCCGTATCAGCACGGGATGTACGGCCAGGGGCCGCTCAGTTCGGAGTCTCTGTACGCGGGCGGCACCCCCACCAGGGGCGGCAAACTAAGGCCCAGTCAACCGCCGCCCGCGCCGCCCTCTAACCAGAGCACTCCGTCGATCGGCACCCCGACCCGCGGCCGAGGTTCCGGTCGCGACCAGTTACCGCCGCCGCCGCCTCCGCCCGAAGGCACCGCCCCCACCTCGACGCCGCTGCCACGCGACGTCATATCCGCCTCCCATTCGGTCGTCTGCAGTCCCGAGGCGAACGCGCAAGAGTTGCCGCCTCCGCCGCCCACTCCGAAGCAACAGACGTCGCCGCCCAAACAGCAAGTCGCCGCCGCCCCGCCCCCACCACCGCCCCCGCCGATGCCGACCGCGATGCCCGGCCCGATGATGAACGGCGACCTGATCAGGTCGTTGACGACGTCCCCGCCCAAATTGACGCCGGTCAAAGATCGGGTATTGTCGAAAATGGGTCCGCCGTTGGCCGATCCGCGTAACGATCTGCTCAAGGCGATCCGCGACGGCATCAAACTGCGCAAGGTCGAAAAGAGCGAGCAGCGACAGGAGATCGACCGTAGCGCCAACGGTCTGCACGACGTCGCTAGTATATTGGCGCGACGCGTCGCCGTCGAATTTAGCGACTCGGAATCGGGCAGCGACAGCGAGTGCGACTCGGAGGGGTGGGGCGAGAACGAGACGTCCGCGTGACACAGGCGGAAACCGAGCGAGTCGTCGCAGCAACAGCAGCAGGCGTCCTATTAGGCGGTTTCGTTTGTTTCTTTTTTTTTCGAGCCGCGGAAGGGCGGGAAAAGGAGTCGAGTCAATTTTTGCTTCTAAAGGCTAATTTTAGAAATGCAGTGAAGTCCGGATAAATAACTAATAATAAATAAGTGAACTTTTGTACTCACCCGATGTTTACGCAATGAATGGAAGTTTTTACATAATATATAATATTATGTTGTAAAAAAGTGCCACGATATACTATCACTTTTCTATATATATATATATATATATATATATATATATATATATATATATATATATATATATATATATATATATATATAATGTTGGAAAAGTGAAAATTAAATATCATTATGTACAAAACAAGTAACAAGTGAACAAGAACAAGTAAATAGTATCTTAAAAAAAATACATGTATCCACCTGGTCTTAGATAAACAAGTCTTAAATTTTGGTTTGTACGCGTCTGTTAAAAAAGTTAAAATACTTAAATAATTTTCAAGTTTACAAAAAGAATTTCAAACTTTCCCAGGAACGTCGCGTAACTCTAAAAACATGAGTATCACTATTATTTATTTCAGTCATGGCTTTTACTGAAGGACCATTGATCATGGCTCCTTCCTCAATAGTCTCCACGTTCAGCTCGTCTTCGCTCAATTCTGCATTTGTTTCTGAAAAAAATAACCTAAATGTTACATATCATGTTGACGCTAACTGGATAATTTCGACTTCGTTTATTGAAACGTAACTTTCGAAGTCGAATTGTTCAATCCTATTCGTAATCTCTGCTTTTCGAGGGCTATTCGGTTAGAAGCAATTCATCATTAGAGTCAAAAATCATCTTCTGCTTCAAAAAATCCTGTATGTTTATAACAGTGTCTTTCCTAACTTCCTGCCAAGCACCCAGAATAAAATTTATACATCATCTAATAAGCTCTCTGAAAACTCTCGTCTATCCTCACTTGCTTCTTTCATCGTTATCAGCAAAATCTACCTATGGTGATACTTTTTGATATGGTTGAATGGAACATTGGGATGTGCTGCACTAGAAGAATAATTTTTCTGTTAGTCTTCTTCAATTCTGTATCCCGTTGAAGCAGCTCTTGGGTAAATAACTCAGATGTCGTCCCCTATTTGCTGTTTGTCCTGTACTTGACTGATAGGGTCTTGTTTTTAAAGCATCTGGGGTTTACTGATTTGCCGATAACGAACTGCTTTCTCTTTTCTGTCCCAGACATGTTTGCAGTAACCGAAACTGTTATTCGAACCTCGGATAATTTTCCACCTGCACACCTTTCGCCTTGGAATTTCAATATCTCATCAGGGGTTAGTTTGTAGAAAAGGCCGGTCACATAGGCCTTGTGAGACAGTTATTAACACAACATTCATATCAACTGATGCAGACTCACCAACAATTTTTTTTCCAGATATACAATTTCTCTTCTTAATTATTTTACTTCCCATTTCACTTGCTTTTTGCTGAAGAACTGGACCACTTAGGAAAACATTTTCTTTTCTTTTTTGGGTAAACCGCTATAAGTGTCCCTTATTGACGCCTTCCTGAGCGTTTTACAACTTGCGTTCACATTCACAGGTAATGGAGACAAATATCACTTTGTTTCATACCACTTTTAATTTTTTGTATAACGTATTTTTCGTTCTAAATGAATGCTTTTCGTTTTTGCTCCTCCATTTGAAGATCTGTCATCAATATTCTCCACGAAATTTAAATCACAACTGAGATCAAAACAATAACAAAAATGTGCTATGTACTTTAATCTTTCTCCCGGGAAGTTCATTAAAAACGGAAAATGTATCAAAATAAATAAGAACTAAGAAGAACTAGAAATTATATATTATGACATGACAATTGTTTCGACAACACCGTGCCTTTATCAAATGTAAAAAAAAAATGAAAAAATTTGATAGACACGGTGTTGTCGAAACAATTGTCGTGTCATAATATATAATTTCGTGAAAATCTGAACTTTTAGTTCTTATTTATTTTGATAAATGGATTTTTATCAAGTAAAAGTCACCTCAGTTCAATTTTCGGAAAATGTATCTTAATGTTGACGAAATTTAGTTCGCCATATCCGAAACTTCACTATATTCGGGTTCACTATAAACAGTAAAAATTTACGTTTGTCTTATGAGACTTTTTGAGTTATATTTCAAAAAGTGTTCATTATAATTGAGTGTTCACAATAAACGGGTTGACTATATCCGAACTCCACTGTAATCCCAAATAATCGCCACCTTTCATATTGGGCAGAAGTGGTAAACAAAAAGGAAATTTTTAAAAGCTATTTAAATAACTGTTATATCGTGATATCCCTTTGGATCCCGACGACACTTTATGTCTCAACAATTGCTATTAAAAAATGATCTATTATATTCCATCATATCGTCACAAATATTTTGGGACATTTTTGATTTTGATTTTTTCTTTGCCGCCATTATCCCATATCAGTTTGACATAATGGTTCCGTGGTAACTTCAACTAACCAAGACATTTTGATATCTTCCGAAGAGACACGCGTTCAGGTTTGGCGGCAAAATTTTATTCGGAATCGTACAATTCGGTTCTGATTCACACACACTTGTGCGTCCGTGGACTCAAAGAGATGTGTTGGTTTGTAGTCTCCCATATTTTTTTAGATTTTATGGGAAGCACATTTACTTGGTCATGATGTATTGTATAAAAAAAAAAATGCGGTCCACTGTATTTTTGTTATTCGCGAAACACGTGCATATAAAACTCCTCTCTCGCCCGACCTTATACTTTGAAAAAATTCCATAGTCGTGCGCGTCGCGCCAAATTTTTTTCAGTATTACTCGAGCTGTTGTCCGCGCGGCAAAAGCTAACTAACCGTTCGGCAAAAAATCGGATCGATTCGATCGATCATTAACTATTCCATGTATGGCGATGTATATAATGTACTTCTTTACCTTGTAAAAAATTGTATACAGTTCTTTTTCCATTTGTGGCAACGTGTATATGTATAGTGACTCACGTACTACTCGTAAATACTCTTTCGGATTAGATCGAAACCTAATGTACCTTTTTTTGCTTGTAAAGTATGTTTTAATGGTGAATAAAGGGAAAACAATTTTTTCCTCATCGTAGCGTGTCTCGAGCGCGTTCGGATTATTCGCAAGGGGACGGGATTCTAAAAATCACGGACACACATCTCGGGTTTAGACGTAAACTTTATAAAATAAATACATATGTAAAAAGGTTATAACAATCAACACAATTATATATTTCAACCGACTGCCTTTCAAAAAAAGACGCAACGCGGTGAGAGAGTTTGTAGCCCAACCGTTCTTCGGCTCTTTCGAATCCGGCTCGAAGGACCAAGTAGTTGAAGGCAAGGTACATACTACTGCATATTAACTCAACTATAGATTTATTGATGAAGTAGACTGCGATGTCGTAGAACTGCTAGACAAGTGTTCAATTTCCGTTTAATAACATAAAACAGGACTCATTCCCAAAAATCATGGTCACTAGAATATGTGTAACAGCTGCGAGACTAAAACATCTCCACTTGAGAACGCCTGGATACGAATTAAGACTTAACATGGGCTATACATGATAACATCAAACATGAAAATATCTGATTTCTACCGAGGACAATCTGCCAGAGTGCCTTGAAACGGGAAATTAATATCCCGAAGGAAGTCAGACGGTGCTGTTTAATATTTATTCAGAGTTTATATGATATAGTTATTATGATAGATAGCATCGTCGATTTGCAAAACGAATACGGTCTAAAAATCAACTTAACAAAACTAAATTTATGGTCGTTACTGAATCAAATAGATAAAAACACGAATTGAAACTAAACTGCACGATCAGCGTTTGTCAGTCGGGCTTAAAAAGTTCTTTACTTTCTTTACTGCGTGTTTCGGTGCTACGTATTCTCTAACCTTTTATATTGTGTGAAGGCATAGTAGCTAAAATTAATCAAATGGTGTTATAGAAGGATTTTGAAGATATGGCGGACAGAAACAATCCCAAACGTTGAGGTTTATAAAAGGATGGGAATACCCAGTTTCAAATTTGGTACTGGTTATCATCATATATCATATCATCATATATATAAAAGGATGGGATGTGAGCCGTAAATTCTTGTAACAATCAAAAATAGGAAACTTGAATACCTAGTATCAAGATATAGCTCGTTACAACAGATTGTACAAGTAGACTGGGTATTTAGAGAGATTGTCAAGAAGGCCCCCATTGCCATGAAGATTTCCAATCTTTGACAGAAGATGGAAATCCGAGAAGAAGAAGAAGAAGAAGAGTTTCATTTCCTGAGAAAGTGACAACAGCAAAGATTATGGATTATAACATTATGTCAACCAACTATAGACAACTGGCCGACTGAGCAAGTTCACGACCTGAAATTCCTTGGTAGCACTATAAATCATGATATCGCCAAAGAATTATAAGCCAGTGCGACTTTTACGAAACAGTATGTATGATCTTGAAACATCAAGACAATTGATACTTTTGAGTTGTTCTAAATGGAATTATGCAGCAGGCAAATATAATTTGGCCTCTCGGAACCGGATTAGGGCGTTCGACTTATTTAGACTAAGTCGAGTGACTTAATATCGAACGAGTCCTTCCGGCCGGATTCGCTACCGCGAGGCTGCCAAAAGTCGAAATATCAAACGCGGCGGCATATGTCGCCGCCTAGACTATAGTAATTCAAAAATTGCAACAATTTTACTAGAGATACACAGTATCGACTTAACCCGTTATAATACACGTTATAGCGTTAAACGCGACCTCCGAGGGCCCCGCCCACCGTTTGATTATACGTAACAATATATTATCTAACTAACGTGAAATTTACGCGCCTTTACTGCGCCCACACTCTTCAATATGAAGGCTACAAAGATCCTTAACTACGCCCCGCCCACCAGGCAGGGCAACACGAAATATGGATGTACCAGGTGCCCCATTAATAAAGGACGCCCTCCTTATCTCAGGAACCGTTATTCCTACAACGTAGAAAAAAAAATTATTCATAAAATGGCCACTAGGGGGCGTAACTTCTACTGTGAAATAGAAAAAACGGGTTTTCTGAAAAATATCCCAAATTAACATATATAAAAATTAATTATTTGACATAATCTACTCTAGATAAACAGCCTTTTTTGTTTCAACTATTTTTTTCTAGCTATATCACGAGATTAATTCTCTCACGAGCGCTTCATGTGAAAACAGCTATTTTTATGATTTTCTCGAAAATTTCAAATATAATGGTGATGAAATAAATAAAAATATGTTTATTAAACATATTTTTCAACAGTAGCATAGTAATAGTATGTGACTTGGGATGCTTAATTTTCTACTAGAGTAAAATTTGATTTTGTCGTAATTTGTTCATAATAATAGTTAAAAAATGAATCGTCAATATAATTTATTAATGCATTACATGTAGTGGGGAAAAGGGTAAAACAACTAAGTAGGCTTGGACGTTGCACGATGAAAACGTCAATTTATTGAGGTATTTTCTAAATAATTCTCTCTAACCTAATTTCCTTTCAATTATGTTTTATATATAAAATAAAAGTAGTATCGAACCTCTACTATAAATTATCATCCCGTCATAATACGTCACCTCTCGGTTATCTCCAATACTGCATTTATTATAGCTACCTAAAAAAGTATTTTTAAATAAATTTTAATTTACACCTCGTCCATATTTATACCACTATATTTGAAATTTTTGAGAAAATCCGACTCGTAAAAGAACTAATATCGACGCGCCAGTCGAAGCTCCTATAAACACGTTGTAAAACTAAACCAAATTCGTCGAAATCGGATCGACCAAAAAAATGTTATTTCAACTGTTTCCACACCAATATTTGACCCCCGCCCTTAATTTGACGAGATAAAAAAAATGGTTCAAACAAAGCAGTTTCCTTATCTAGAGTAGATTACGTTGAAACTAACTTTGATATAGGTTAATTTGGAATATTTTTGAGAAAACCGTGTTTTTTTTTTCTATTTTATGAACTTGAAAAAAAAATTCTTTTCGTTAAGTCGTAGGACTAATGGTTCCTGAGATATGGCCGGCGTCTTTTATTAATGGGCCACGTGGCACTATTAAAGTCTACCGGAACCTAACCTCGATAATGTCCTGCGACCGCGCGCGCGCGCGCATCCTACGTTTTCGAGAACATCGCGAGGATGGCCGCGCAGATTTTCTGCGCGTTCGTCTCGTCCGGGTACATCTGCATCACCTGCACGACCTGCTCTTCGGGAAAGAGAGCGGCCAGGTGGTAATGCAGTTTCCTGCGAGCGTCTTCCTGAACACCGACGAGACCGCCCCACCGCGCCGCCGCCGGCCACATGTTCAGCTGCGAGTCGGAGCAGCTGGACAGGCGGTGCACGGGGTGTTGCGGGGGCGGAACCGCCGCCGCCGCAGGTGCCTGCTGGGGCGGCCACCCTCCTTGCCCGCCGCGGTACGAATCGGGAGCTGAAGCGATACGAGTGACGTGCTGATGTCGCTCGTTCCAAGGGGGCGGCTGCGGCGGCGGGTACGACGAAGCGGGCGAGGCAAAACGGCGAGCGATCGCGAGCCGCGGGTCGCAGCCCGGATTGAGCGTGAGTTGTCGTTGCAACTTGCGGTGGAGATTGCTCTCGGGCGTCGCGGGCTGATACGACGCCACATTGCCAACGTTATCGACGCTGCGACTCTTCGACACCACCGCGTGCTGCTGAGGTTCTTTCGGAGGAGGGACGTTCGACCGGGTCCGACCCAACGGGTTCTTTCGGATGTCGCCTGCAAAACAAAGCGACCACTCGGTAGGGGCGACCAATAGGCAACTCGAACAAAATTTTATTTTTGAAAAGTATTGCTTCTGAAAGCAGTTCACGAAAGAATGCGTAGTTCTGTGCAACAAGTATTTAAATCCCCTTTGAAACGCGATATCATCGTTGGTTGTAACCGGTTGTGACGTCACTCCGCGCGTTAGGCTGTGCGCTATCCGGACGGTAGCATAGAGAAGCCATAGGAGGACGACAAAGCGTTCGCTTGGTGGTTCTAAATTTAATTTTAGTCTTGATCCTGTCGCTTGCTTTTATTTTCTTGTGTTGCCGATATTTTAAAAGGTCAATCTGATAATTTACCTTTACTCGGTATGTTTATGGTGACATCTTGCATACAAAACACCGAAAGTTTTTCTTTTGCTGAGGTTCGTGCTGCTAAAGCTAAAAGGTATATTCATAGAAAATTTGGCTATTAATTTTAAATTGTAATATTCACATCATCAAAACACTTTTCCCACATCGAGTCGGGCACCTACAAAACATGCTTTTTAAACGCATCAATCGCCTCTTCTGGCGTCAAAAATCGTTTCCCACATAATTTATTCTTAATGTATGGGTACAAAAAGAAGTCGTTAGGTGCTAAATCAAGGCTATATGATGGATGGCTCGTCGAATCGGCGTTTTTAATGCTCAAAAAGTTCTTGCATTGAGAGTGATTCGTCTTCGGCGGTTGGTTTTTCTACTTCCGGCCGGTTTTCCTGAAAAAACAGGCTTTGTTTCGGAAAGACCCACACAATCGACTGCTGCTTATTTTCAGGTTCATATGCATAGATCCATGATCCATAACCTGTCACGATATCGTGGACGTGTTTGGAAGCACCGCGATCGTATTTTTTTAGCATTTCCTTCGACCAAGCAACACTGATGCCAAATTGTGTGGAATCCAAAGCGAACAATTTTTTTAACGGCCAAATGTTCATGTCATGTTATGGTGACTCGCATGACGATCCCGCAAAAATCGCTTTGCGCACTGCACCAATGTTGTTTGGACAACGTTCACGAAGTTCATCCTTAAGAAAACTACGACCACGACTTAAGTCCGAAAACCAGCGATAAACGGTAGTCCTAGATGGTGCTTTAACTCCGAAAGTCCACGTCTAAAGTTGTAAAAAAATATTGCTCCCGGTTAAGTTCCATTTTTAAATATGACAATTTTTTTTAAATTTATCTCAAACAACACTGTTTCGCCAAATCCTAACCTCAAAATGTCGAACCTCCCGATAAAGACGTTAGTCGCCAGATGACGGGACTAGTTTAAGAAAATCCCTCTATTTGTTTTTACTAAATAAAAAAAGGTAATTTGAGTATTGCAGTTATTAAAAAGCAGAAATAAATTTTAACCAATTTAAACTCGCATATTAAATTGTCTTTCGAACAGCAAATATTTTTTTTATCTGGTTGGTCTGGTTATATGCACGCAAGTTCATGACTTACCTTCACGGGCCTGCAGGTGGCGTTGCGCGTGTTCCGACAGCCTCTCGGTGACGCTTTTGTGCGGTAGCGGCCCCCTTTCGGGATGATGGTACTTGCACTTGTTGCCGTACGTGCACTTTTTCCCGTAGGGACAGGGCGGCGGGGGCGGCGTGCCCGCGACGTCGCCCTTGCGCGGGGACGCCCTTAGGAAATTATCGAGCGTGGGGCCCGAGCGGCCCAGCGGGTCGTCCGGCGGCATGAAGTGATCGTTGACGAACGAATACATGAGGACGCGTTCCTCCACCACCTTGCGAAACTCGACGCTCTCCTGGCAGAGGTCGCTGCAAACGCGCACGCCCGACAAATAAATATTTATTTTTAACTTTTTTTTTTGTTTAAGCGCCCTTTATCCTATTCTCTGCCCTTAAAACATAAGCAAGTAGCTAAGCAGCCTACAAGGTCCCTATGTAGCCGGGCATTTTAAAGGCTTCTCGTCCTAGGGGGACAACCGATGTAATTTTATTGTGCTTGCGCCCTGCACAAAGTGCTGAACTTCCAAGTTACGGCAAATTTTGGTAAATATAAAACTTTGTTCACTAGTAATAGCGATTTCCAATGATATTTTTCGAAATATGTGGTGTACACTGCGTACACGGCTGACAATTTTTATCTACGAAAAAGGCGATTGTTAGAATCTTAGATTTTTCGCCCATTACAATGGCGTGCAAGGTTTTCGAGAAGATACTTGCTTTTTTGAAACGATGCAGTACGTGGTGATAGTAAATGACGTCATCGGGTCTAGATTGAACGCGACACATAACGACTTGCGCAAATATGTTCAGAAGCGTGTGTGATAAGACGAAAACCATAAAAAATAAAAATTGTAGCCCTCGAAACTGGCTACATGACAGGTTATGTTTGAATTTTGATTTTCAGGCCTTGTTAATTTTTGCCCATACACTTGAAAAACCCTGTATATAATCGAAAAAAAATGCTTGAAATAAAAATCATAGTTTCTTACCTGATTGGATAGTAGTTTTTCAGAAATAATCGATATTCTTTTCGGGAAACCACAATAATTTTTTGTTGTATTTATCGTTTTCATCTATTGTACAGGGTGTTCAAGATATCCCGTGCTACATTAAGAAATATATCAAGTGCCTTAAATTTGCAACTACCGGCTTCAAATTGGGCAGGGAGGTGAAATTCCACACCCACATTTAAACTGTTGAAACTGGGCGCCATCAAATATCGCGAAGAATTTTTGAACTTTTTTTTTGGTTTATTTTGACTCCCAGAAAAAAAAAAGGTTTTTTGAAAACCATTAACACGATTGGTAAAATTCTTGAACCGGGGAGATGCGGAAGATCCCGTACTTTCACTTTTATTTTTTGATTATATACAGGGTTTTTTAATTATAGACAAAAGTCTAAAAGACCCTGAAAATTTTTTTTCGAAGTAAATTATTAGCAAGAGCTACAATTTTTGTATGTACGGTTTTTGTCTCTCATATACGCTGATCGCGATATTAGTAAAAAACCATATGAAAAATCTGTCTATTTCTCGCGTTTAATTTAGCCTTGATGACGTCATTATCAAGAAATGTGGGAGAATCGGGCCTGTAACTTCTACTTCGAATATTTTTTAAAGTATATACGGGTTATTTTGGTTATGCGCAAAAAATCTAAAAAATCTTGAAATTTTCCATTTTTTTATGGTAAATTTTGGGTTGTAAATAAAAAACGGCAGCGGATGACATAATTTGGTTTAAACAGTATCATATACTGTGTCGCGAGCTATAATTTTCTATTTACGAGTTTCGTCCATCATAAAAAAAAAATTGTAATCGTTATTATTAGTACAAATATTTACATTGACCAAAGTTCGAAGCCACTTTATACAAGGGGCACGCACGATAAAATTGATTTTGCGAAAGTTCTATAGTGGTCAGCAGGAGCACTATAGAAAAACAATGCGGTCCTCGTTTTATTTTAATATTGTATATACAGGGTGTTTCATTTTTCGTGGGCGAATATCAACTTTCTTATTTTAAATGGCACCGCATATTATTTGTTATAGATAAATGTTTAAAAGGAAACATTTTAAAAAGTAAAAATATTAGGCATATACAACCTCATATAAAATTGCCTTAATTTTTTATACCAAATATGACAAGATTACAAAACTAAAAAAAAAAGGTTTTTTCTTCAATTTTATTTTTCGCGTACCCTGTATTAATATGTATCGAAATTTCTTAGGAAATCCGTTATTTGTGTCCTTTGTTTACAACAAGACTTACGAAATGAATACTTTCGAATGAAGAAATTGGCAGGTATCGCAACGGTTAGACTTAGGTATAGAACATTATAACAAAATATGTCTAGAATTTTGTATAGAATTCAAAAATGAAGTAGAATACCAGCTGTTCCATTTAAAATAAGAAAGTTGATACACGTAAAATTCGTCATTCAGCCTATAGCAATCGCCATCTCAAGCTGTTTAAACCTCACAGGGTGCTCCCACTTTTTTACGTCACCCGGTATAGAAAATAAATTTTAAAATTTAATTTTAACCATAAAACCTTCGCACAAACTTTTTTTTCCTTCTAAAATCAGTTCCCGAGAAAAGATAAGCGCAGGCCCCGCCCGCTCACCGATAATTGTCGTTGCTGACGACTACGCCGTCCGTCTGCGCGGCCAGTTTCAAAATGTACCGGTCGTCGTAACAAACCATCCGTTTCCCGCCGACCAATCGCGACGGCGTAAACACGAGCAAACGTTCCCTCTCGAGTTCGGCCAAAATCTCCTGGTCCTTTATCGGGTTGTCGCATCGGGGGCCCTCCTTGCGCCATTTGGGCACGAACACGGTGATGTTCTTGTGGCCACGCGATTTAAACCAATCGACGCAGATCTTGATGCCGCGACACGAGAACACCTCCTTGTTGCCGTGGCTCATCGCGACGTTGCTACCGTCGACTACGACCGCCCTCAGACCGTGGTGGTGATCGCCGGCGACGTCCAAAAGCCCTACGTCCGACGTAGGGCTCTCGGTGGGGCTACTGTCGCCCGAGCCGCCCTTTTGCGCGCCCAGTTTGATCAGTTCGGCGAGCAGTTCGTTTTGGGTGGGCGACGGGCCCAATTTTTGAAGGGCGGCCTGCACGTGCCGCTCCGTGTAGCCCAGTTTCAAGGCGAATTCGACCCTGGACGGTGGTTTCGTTGGTGAACTTTTTCTTTTTTAAATCGATTTTTGATAACGATTGCGAAGGGGGTGAGGGACTACCTCAAAAATTAACCAAAATTTGGTTATTTGCGCAATTTTAGCCCCTTCGCGTAATGCCAGGGGTAAAGTCTGTTCATAGATATAAGAAAGTGCGGGCAAGCTGGAAGGATGAAATATGGCCGAACAGGTCCGTACTTTGTTAGGACATATACTAAACAATACTTATTGATTTATTTATGTATTTATGTTTAAATCTAAAATAAAATTACAAATTATTTTCATTACCTACTTAAATTACTTAAAATTTTCACATAATGTTCTAATTATTATTTGTTCTATATTATTTGCAATATGGACATACGATTGTTCTGCTTTTACTATATGTTTAACAGAATTTGCCTAACTTTGTGGAGAGATGTTAAAAACTTCGGTTTCTATAAGTTTGCGGACATTTGAGTTAACACGGGGAAAAACATTTTTACCTGAATTTAAATTCCGAAACTATAGGCAATGATCTTGTTGCATTGTATGTCAATGACCACCCTTGGATAATCCCATTCAAAAGCAAATGGTCACTTTCTTATATCTATGAACAGACCATACTTTTTAAGGCGTCCAAATTTACCTCGCGGTGTAGCCCGCCGTCGTGTCCTGGGCCCCTTGAACGTATTCCGCGTATTCGGCGGCCAGGGTGTCGCTGACTGTCCGCGAGACATCCTGGTGGCCGCCCGAGGCTACGCCACCCGGCACGTCGTACGAACCCTCGCAGTCCGAATCGTAGCTAGAGTCTTCGCCAGCTGCTACGGTACCGGCGGCGACGCAACCCTCCGAGCATAAACCATCTACATATTTCTGAAAAACCACACAGGAATACGGAACTTTAACGTATATTTTCTTAAATTTATTTCAATATCAAATCTCAAAATGCAATATATTTAAGTTGCATGGGCCTTTTAAACGACACCCGCCAAAGGCGCGGGAATGATCGTGACGTCATACCGCTGCTTTTCGACCGGTACGGCTACATACCCACGAAAACGCAAAACGACTTTAGGAAAAATTCTTCGGGAAATTGCCCGAAGAGCGCATAGCTTTTGAGGCAACTATTTGCTAGCGTTATTACAAAATATTTTAGGTGATTAATGTAGACGTTGATGACACTTCTATTATTTGGCCTACAATTGAATTAGAAACTAATAATAACTTCCCATTCTTATATATTCTTACCAATAGAAATAGAATAAGAAGACTTAACATTGTTGTTGTTTTCAGAAAACCTACGCGCACGGCCCGACAATCAACGGTTATCAACTCTCTTGCTTACAGAGCCGTAAACCTATCCCTGTTCGAGTCACTGAACCCAGAATTAGAAAAGAAACGCAAATAGGGAAGTTTGAGAGACAACCTATACAAACAAAAGACAATAAAACCCCTTTGTTTACTATCGGGATTCCGGTTTGATGGCAGCGATTTATAAACAAAATCGACCGTAATTGTTTCGATAGAAACGGTGGAAAGTCTGCGGTTTCGCGTGACGATCCAAAAGCCGCCGAATTCCTTCTATCCCGTGCAATATTCAAAACGGTTCGACGAAATCGTCTTCGGAAAATCGACGACGAGTCTGATCGAGTCGCGTTGCGCAATCTTTTGATTTCTCTCGAAACTCCGTAAAAGTTTCAAATTGGCAAACTGACGAACGTGAGATAGTCGATTTCACCTCGCCATTACAATAAATCCACCTATCGAGATATAAACAAATATGATATATAACATATACACCGACGATCGAAAAATTCGGCTTTCTGGGATCATAACACATCTTGGTTGGCCTTGGTTGAAGCATATTGTAAACTCAAACAATCTTCCACAGACCACAAAACTTCTGGATTCCTCCTGCGTCGGTTATTGTTGAGTCGAACTTCTTCAGAGCTTGAATGAAATAAACGCCGCCTCGAATTACTGATTCCCATATTGGTCGGACAATTAAAGACCCGAGTCGCGGTCAAGATTGTTAGGTTGCTTATAGATTTCTATAGAAGAATTGATTACATACAAAAGTATCATCGACGTAGCGATTCCATAATTTTTATTTTAGATGGAAGGTGTCGAGAGGGTTTTAACAAGGAAACTAGATATTTCGCTGATGATTTAATTTAATTAATCAAAAAAACATTCTATTGGTTCGTCTGCAAAATGAGCTAAAACAGTCCCTTTTAACTCAACTTCGTCGTTAAACCGCCGTCCACGTAAGTCCTTTTTCAAATATCCAAACAAATAATAGTCGCTGGGGCCATATCTGGACTATAGGGAGGATGATCTATCTGTTGGAACGCACACTCTAAAATGGCAGCTTGCGAAACACCAGCAGTGTGGACAGGTCAGTTTTCATCGACGTTTTGCACGTATACAGTCTGACGCAAGGCTACTAAGATACATATTTGAAAGAAGACAGAAGAAGTTTTATCGTGATACTGGAGCTGCATCTATGTCAGGCAGGGAAATTTTGGCGCTAACCTCGTAGTTTCACGAATTACACCACGAATCAAATTTTGTACAAAAAAGATCTACACCCGATTATAATAACGGTTGTTCACCGACACCTTTCTAAAATAAAATTGTTAGCGAGAAGGCCCTAGCGTCTACAACGGCATCGAACATAACTATTAATTGCGGAAGAAAATAAATTAGAAAAAACCAAGGATGTTGTGGTGAGTATATTGCCACCAAGAGTAGGGGAGCAATCGGAGAAAATGAAGACCCGAACCCAAATCTACGGTGAAGTTGACGTAGGAGTTTAAACATAACAATAAAGATAAATCATCTTACTGGTAAGACTATTCCATATCTTTATTGCCATTCTATATTGTTCTTGTTTTTATTGATGATAATAATTTGTTTAAGCTTAGATTTCTGTAGTGAGGTTATAGTCAATAAAAAATGGCCCAAATTTCCACCGTAACATTTACTTGAAACAATTTTTTTTAGAAAAATCCTCATTATTTGCTTTTCGCCCCATTTCTGTCTTCGTCGCCTTCCCGGAGCTTCTGGTGCTTTTCGCATATACAGGAAAAATATTTGCGTTTTTTTAATGTGCGCAACATTGTGGTTCGATGATTATTTTGCAGCTTGTCCAAGAATTCCCCTATCAATGATTTTGTTTTCGTCCACATGCAGTAAAATGTTAAAATCTCTACATTTTCCGTTGCACATTTGCGGTTATTTATTACGGAGTATGATTGGACACGAACTACTGGGTAATTGGGTAAATTTCGCGTGATTCCAGAAAATTACATACACGTTTCCGACAGTTTTCTTGTTACTTTCGAAAAATCGAACTTTTCGAAAGTATCTACTCGTATAAAAATTTATATATCTCGGTAACGGTAGGTCCTATGGGATCGCCACCAACTGTTGGAACTGCAACATAAGCTTGACTGCGGCATCCATCTTTTTTTTGCGTTTTTCGAATGTTTTTTGAACATTGCTATGAAACACGAAATTTGAAGCTATCGACTTCAAATTCTGCAGACGAATACCGCTCGGTGTCCTAACGAAACTTATTGAAATTGGGGGGGTTGGGGGGTCGGGAAGTATTTAAAAAAAATTTAAAATCGATTTTTAAGTATTGTACAGGGTGTTCGCGATATTCCGTGCAATATTAAAAAACATAATGAGTACTCCAAATTTGTATTTGCGATTTCAGATTTGGGTGAGAAGTAGAAAGTCTGGACCCGCATTTAGACTCTTTAAATTGGGAGCAATAAAATAACGCGATTTTTTTTTTACTTTTGAATTTTTTTTTGAAGCGACTTTTTTTTATTTATTATTTATTGATTCGCGCTATTTGTGACGATTTTTCGAAAGCAATCTTGTTATTTCGGCACAGGTTGGAACGTCGCCATTATTACAGGTTTTCGCCGAACTGTCATGATTGTCTTCTTCGTCATCACTCAATAACACGTTTGAAATTACAGACTCCACAATTTGATCAACTTTTTACAATATCACTGTCAATATTAACATAGCTGCTAAAACTAAAATCATGTATTCATCCATTAATCGGATACTTTTATCGTAGCCGAATTCTGGATATAGTTGGTGCTTTTCCAACCGCTGGCTCAGCGGAAGATCGTCATATTCAGTCTGCACCATCACAATGGCGACCTAAATATTATTTGTTCAGAGACAGTCGGTGGCTAATTACTGAAAACCGCAAATCGGAATGAAAAAATCAGCAAATTAAATTTCTTTACAAATGACTGGAATTTTAATTTTAAGAGAAATCAATGTCTGCCAAAACAGACGTGTGAACTTTCGTACGTCCGCCACTGGTGTAAAGAATTCACTAAATAATGCGTTTTAGGACGTTTGACATTCAATTAGAAAGAGCCCTGTATAAAACTCAAAGACGGGGAAAAATAACTCGCCTCTTCGAGAATGCGTCATAATAACATAAATATCAAAATTGGGGTTAGAATTATTTAAACGCACGACAGCTTTATGTAGCAATCCCCCAAAGTTGGCAACGTTCGTCCAATCTATGTTCCGTCACCGAAACTCACCCCCTCCGAGTTGCCACGGCAACGACGGTAAACGTGACGTCGCCGCCACAGCCACCTTCGTTCACTTAACTAATTAAACAGAAAAAGGCAACTAACCTCGCCGAACGTAACTGTCATGTCTCGACCCGAGCGTACCCGGAACTGCGGTCAGCAAAAATTCGACGACGACGTCCGGGTCGCGAAGCGAACGAAAACCGATCGCAATTGTCGCGTGACATGTTTTATTTACGTCCGCCCGTTGTCGGCCGCCTCGCGTCGCACCGCATAACTATACGTTATTTACGTTTTCGATTCGAAACGGAGAGCGTGCGTCACGGCAACCTTCGACGACTACGTTCGCGGACTGACTGGAACGGGCGCGCGATACAACGAAGAAGATCGCGAGCGGCCCAGGCCAACCGGATGTTAGGCAAAAGAGAAAGAGACCGTTTGAGCGCGCGCGTGCGCGCGAAGCCGTCTAGAGAGATCTCGATTTGGCGATGCCTGTCGCGCGTAGAATTTTTTCGGCCGAGTTTCACCGCCCGCCACCCCGCGAAGCGCGCTCTTTCTAGAGGTCACCGACGAAATGAATGAAAAATACGAACCGGACCTGGCCGCGAGAGTCGCGAGATACGAGGGACGCAAGACAATTTTACCCGCGACCTACCGAACTGTTGTACCGGGTGGTCCCGTTAATTAATCAGGAAGCTGGAAATTATTTTCAAGTACTGCAAAATAGAAAAAAACGGCTTTTCTCAAAAATATTCCAAATTGACCTATATCAAAATAAGTTCTAACGTAATCTACTCTAGATAAGGAAACTTTTTGTTTGGACAATTTTTTCCGTCTCGTCAAATTAAGGGAGGGGGAAGGGTCAAATATTTGTTTAGGAAAACTTGAATAACTTTTCTTGAACTTAGTTTAACAGTTAAAAAAATGTTCCGCAGTAGATGTTAAAATATGTATATAAAATAATTAAATATCATAGAACACACACGAGGGCAGCGCCAATATTTCCCGGAGTGAATATGAAAGAAACAAAACAGACAAAGAATTTTTTATTATTTTTTAATATAATCCCCCTTAACTTCAATACACTTATTACATATCTTTATTAACAACTCAATCCCTTTAAAAAAATATTCCTTTGGTTTGTCCGCAAAATCAGCTAAAACAGCCTCTTTTAACTTAACCTCGTCGTTAAACCGCCGTCCTTTTTCAAATATCCAAACAAATAATAGTCGCTGGGGGCCATATCTGGACTATAGGGAGGATGATCTATCTGTTGGCACGCACACTCTAAAATGGCAG